ATCGAGACTCGTCACTAAAGACAATACTGTTCCATTCCTGATCCCAGAGTGACCGTTGTCTGCACCACTCGAGGCGATTACGTCGGTGTTCTCGAGTTAAAGGGAGGACCCAGTGTGGCCGGTATGAAAACAAGCCAAAACTTCTCATTCGTCGGTAAACACTTCGCATGCCAATAGGTCTTCCGTGTTCTGCAAACCATTCATTTGCAATGGACCTGGTAGTGGAGAAACGGTCCCTTAAGGCCAATAATCTTAGGCGCGGCGATCTTCACGGTTTGTTGTTCTATGGCGGCGTCCAGTGCCCCTTGCTCTTTGCGTACGGCCTTCTCGAAGCCATGCCTGACAACACCTAACCACAGTGTCTACACTTCTTTGCACTCTAACTGCAATTGCCCGAAAAGAAAGTCCAGCTTCCCGAAGTCCCACTATACGGCCCCTATCAAACTCACTAAGTTGACGAAATCGTACAGGTCTCCGTACTCTAGACATCGTAACCGATCGTAAAGGATGTCAAGAATCAAAATCCGCCAACGTTGATTCTTTACTGCGGCTGAAATATTCTTTTTTAGAGCGTGAGTGAATTAATAAAAAGCAGTATAAAAACCGGAATGTCCAACTGATAAGGCTGAAAATTTTTTCACTTGTTATTTACAGTAAGATAAATATATTCACCAACTTTTATTAAAATAAAACCATTTAAACTGGGTGTTCGGATTTATATGTCACTTAGTATACATACTTTTATACCTATGTACATGTACAACCGAGCGAAATAGAAACCTACTATTGTTTCCTTGGTCTATTATTATTATCTTGTAAATTATTCAGCATCATTCGCTTCACTATTGGTTGAATATCAACCCATTTTCCCTCGCGTATATGCGTGGCAAAATTGTCAGCCGAGAGCCTTTTGCCGAGCGTCAGTTCCAGCTGTATCTAGTAAAAAACCCACCTACCACATTCTAGTAGGTGATTCGGAGTATCCGCCTCTTCATTGCAATATACACAATTCAAGTCCTCTCGCTTTCCTAAGCTCTTCAGGTAGCTGTCAAAACAACCATGTCCTATGAGGTATAGTATTGCAACGGCCCTAGGACGGACCCTTGCGCTACTCCATTGGTTACCTTCATCGTCTTGTCCCCTACGATAAGTGTGCTCTCGTCAAAGTAGCTCTTTATTATGTTCAACAGATAGCTAGAGGGTGTCTAGCTTCTCGAGACATTCGACGATTTTCTGCCATTGTGCCGTGTTAAAGGCATTCTTAACGTCAAAAGCAACCATAGCGCAAAGCTTATTACTACTATAGCTGCCGCTATCATCTACTTTCGCCAACTGTGCAACTGCACTAAGTGCATCTATGGCAGACTTTCCCTTTCTGAAACCACATTGTGAGGGAGACGTCAGCCCGTTCCTTTTCTCGACGTAGTTTCTTAGCCTACCCTCTATCAGTCGTTCTAGAAACTTTCCAGACATACTCATATTTGAGTTCCCTATCGGTGGCTTTCGGAGGTTTTGGGTTGAGTAGCAAACCAGCCTCCTTCCACCTCTTCGGAAAGACTCCCGTTCTCAAGCATTCATTCATCACAGACAGCACGATTTCGGGTATGTATTTAATCCTCGCTTTAACGATCTCATTTGGTATTTCATTTAGTCCTGGTGCCTTACCTGTTTTTAAGTGCGTTGCCGCTTTTTCCAGCTCACTCATGGTGAACTCTGGTATGTACAGAATATCCTCAAAATTCGGTGGGTGAGCACTTCGGAAACAATCCCTCTGCAATTTTTATTTGTAGGTACGGGCTGTCTGTGAGTTTTTCAAGTCATTTGATAAGTCCTTCCACATCCTCTGTTTAGAGTTCATTATGAGCTTTTCTAGATCTTTTTTGGCATATTGATGTTGTTTTTTGGACTCGAACATCAGAACGTTATTCCTTTTCCATTTGCTGTATGGATTTTTCTATTTTCTCTTGTAATTCTACGTCTGATAGTTAGGTATTCATTGCTTTTTTGTGCTATTTCATTGTTCTACCAATACTTGGCTTCCCTCACTTTACCATTATTGCAAAAAGACAGCATTGAACAACTAAACATGCTGCTTTCGTCCATCCGACCAGACAGCCACCACCAGGGTCTAGGATCAGTCTCTGACCAGTGTATAAGTTCAGTTGTTCAATGGCAAGTCGACCACATCAACTATACTGCCATCTAGCGGTCACAGTGGTGACTTGGTTGTTAAACGTGATCTGTGATCTTTACAGTTCCAACAGATAGCTGCTATACACTCTTGCAGTGGTCGATTATGGTAATAGATGGTAGAACTCATAACTTGGATAGAGGATAGCTGCTATGCTTTCGTTCTTTATCCCAGAGAGCAAGCGTAGAACATGCTTATACTTTCCAAAAAGCACGAAACAACTACCCATGCTTGATTGTCTAGCAGCACGTTTAAAAAAACGAAGAGTGAACTGCGCCTATTTGCTGATACTACGAGCCCCTTCCCACTTCCCATCTATTGAAATCTTAGTTTTTTTCTTATCAAACACAAATAATAAAAATGTAGCAGGGTGTTATAGGTTTAAAATATTAACAATGGATATTTTGATAATATATAGTAGAAAACACCAACTTTATCACTCCCTAATCAAATTTGCAGCATAAAAATAACACATGTTGCAATTACAGCATATCACCTATTTTCATTTCAATGCAAAATAAGTCTATAACGCATAGGTGGCTGTGAAAAATAAAAGCCATGACAATTGTTTTTATTAATCACAGCTGTCAGAATACGTTTAAAATAGTTTTGGGTAGTTAAGGTTTTCAAAATGGGTAGAGGAAAGGTTATTCGTGAGAAAATTCGGTTACTGATAATTAAATTTTTTGATTCTGGGAAATCAAACTCAGAAGTTGCATTATCGCGGTACAGTGTAAGAAATATTGTTAGAAGATATAACGTAACTGGTTCAGTTAATATTAAGCCACGATATGTGAAAAAAAGTAATATGACAAATGCCGACCGAAGAGCATTAAGAAGAATAATCGTGAAAAACAGGCGTGCCAATTATGTACAATTAAGTGCGGAGTGACGCTGTTGGAAGGAGAATTTCGAGGTCCACAAACTGGGATTTAGCACTTGCAAGGTAAGTTTTCTTACAAAAAGAGTGAAGTAAAAACCCTAAAGTTGCACAACTTGTTTATAGGCTAAAGAAAAGCCACCATTAACTCAACTGCAAAAGAAAAATCGGCTTAGATGGGCTAAAGAACATAGACAATGGACACCTCAACAATGGTGTGCAATACAATGGACTGATGAGGCCCGATTCGAAGTTTGTGTTGGTGACAGTCGCAGTAGAGTTATTCGCAAAAAAAATGAAGCATTCCATGTTGACTGTCTGAAGAGAAAAGTGAAATTTCCAGCATCCATTATGGTCTGGGGCAGTATGTCGTCAAAAGGAGTAGGAAAACTTCATTTTATTGATGGAAATGTGGATACAAACAAATATTTGGCAATTTTAGAAGAATTGCTTTTAACAGTGATGGAAGAATGTTTGACATCCGGCCAAGATTTTGTGTTTCAGCAAGATGGTGCAGCGTGCCATACCTCAGAAAAGTCTATAAAATGGATGGAAGCAAATAATGTACCAGTTTTGAAATGGGTTTCTGGCAGTCCAGATCTGTCACCTATTGAACCTTTGTGGCACGAGATGAAAAAGGTTCTACAACAACATCCTGCTCGTACAATCACCGAACTGAGACAAAAGCTTCAAGAAATATGGGATTGTTTTACACCAAACTTGGTTAACACTATGCCCCAAAGAATTTCAGCCGTAATAAAAAACAAAGGTGATGTTACCCAATGGTAATCTTTCAATTGTTGCTTTGTTAACTTCGCGCATTTATTCGCACATTGTTTATTTGTTCAGATGTTCTATTAGTTATAGGTCTAAGTGATTTCAAATATGTATTTTTTACGACTAGAGTGTATCTAAAATTTTTTTGAGAAAATAAATTGTTTTAGAAGTAAATAGTTTCGTCATGTTTAGTTTATAAAGGCATGTTTTGGTACAAATCTTGAAGTGGGGCCAACTGAAGTGGGAATGGGCCCGTAGTAGTAATCTATTTCATGCTTAAAACTGCTTTAACCTTTACCTGAAGAAGCTAGATTGGTTAGTGAAAGACGTGTCAGATGTTTAAAAAACCAGTTACTCGAGTGGTAAAACTCTGCTATAGTCATACTCGCTACACCAAAGGATCTAACATCACATATATTCTATATACTCATACAGGGTGTTCATTTGGAAACTTCCCACCACGGATTTATCGAAAATCACTGATTAAAAGAAAAAAAGCCGAGACACGTAAAAAGATTTGTCAAGGGGGACAATTTTTAACCAAAAACTACTTCACCCCATGCCCCTAGGGTCATCCCCTTAAAAATTTTAAATAAAAAGGGGTATCGAGTAATAGCTGCCATGATATCCCACAACATGTTTTTGAAAATGTCCGTCAGGAATTTGAAGATCACTTATATCATTGTTTGGCCAACAGGCAACATTTTGAACACTTATTGAAATAAAAAGTGAAATTTTCGTGTGTTTTTGTTTTCTATAGGAACAAGTTATGTAAAGATTTTACTAATTTTCTCGAAAACGAATCGACTGATTTAAAAAAATCAAACGCCAAAATAAAGGACTTCGAAAGACCTTTCAAACTAGCTATTACTCGATACTCCTTGTCATTGAAAATTTTGGGACCGGAGGGTGAAAGGGGATGAAGTAGTTTTTGGTTAAAAAATTGTCCCCCTTGAAAAATCTTTTGACGTGTCTCGACGTTTTTTCTTTTAATCAGTGGTTTTCGATAAATCCGTCATGGGCAGTTTTCAAACACCCTGTATATTATGTATGTGATAAAACATTGGAATATCGAAATTTTTCGTCTACTGGCTTTGCTAAGTCCCTGAAAGTGAAACCTACCAATTAGTAACTGCATCCTATCTCTTCCAGCTCACAAATGTCGGCATCAACGTGGCGAACATCTCCTTCGCTACCTTGACGATGGAAAGCGACAAATTCATCTGCGTGAGAGAAAAGGTGGGCGATACATCGCAGGTGGTGATCATCGATATGGCTGATACGGCGAATCCAATTAGGAGACCAATCACGGCGGAGAGCGCCATCATGAATCCGGCCAGCAAAGTGATCGCACTTAAAGGTAGGTTGTTTTTTTTTTGCAAATGTAGAGCGTACTCAATAAAAATTGTGTTTGTTAGAGCTATCAAAATATGGCATCAACTACAATAAATAGACTCTGCACTTCCCACGCAACGCCCTTATCAGTACATAAAGGAATATGTTCAGAACAAACGAGACCATCTGAGGAAAAAGTCAGTCCAGGTGTATAGATATTCTTCCTCTGCCCTGCCGGTAGTGCATCTGGAAACGTCACCTCTCCCCGATATCTAACTCGGGCAAACATGGCACCGTGGTAACGCGGTTAGAGCATAGAAAACACTATGTTTTTGCGCAGCGGAAATACGTGTGATTCCACCACACCAGAACGCTCATCACTTACCCGTAATTTGAATGTAAGTGTGTGCATTCGCTGTCCTGTCGCTGTCGCGGCGCAGAATGGCACTTTAACTATCACACTGCCCATTATCCATACTTCATGCGGTCAGCCTGTTTCACACGGACGGACATAGTTTTTTGGGGTCATTTCTAGATAACGTATGACCTAAAAGTTTTGTCACAAAATATTCATCGAATTTTAATGAAGAAATTTATTTAAACACCAGCTAGTTATCATAAATTACGACTCAATACTTAACTAAACTATACTATCGAATTATGTGGAGTGGCCCATTCTACTCTAAAAGACGCAACTTTTTTCGAATGTCTCTCATGAGGTCCTGGACGGAATTCAGTTTTTCGTAAATCTGCTGTCTTAATTGTTCTTCATCTTGGGCTTGCCAGCCTCCATGATAAACCTTCCTAGACAGTAAAGCCCAAAAAACCTCTATTAGGTGAGCCTGCGCCAAGTTTTGAGGATTATCGTTTTTGGGAACAAAATGAGTTGCGCTTGAGTATTTGAGACACTTCAGTCTCTTTCGATATTTAAGACCAGCCAGTCTCCTTGTTGACATTCCAACCTGTTTTTTTGCTCTTCTCACCAATCTCTCTGAACTCTGTGCAGTAAATGCACGTGGGCTTCCACTTTTTTTGAGATTCAGACATGGTATTCCCTGCTTGCACTATTTTATGATAAATGGTTCTGCGTGAAATCTTTTCATACTGGAATATTTGACAGATTTCGGCTTTGGGCTTCCGCCCAACCAACTTGTAGATACTTCTTATTTCTAATTTATACATCTTAAAGCGAAAACTTCAAAATAAATAAAAGTCAACTGACAGTAAAGTAAGTAAACAAACATTTGTTTAAAAAGGCAACTTGATATTATTTTGTGTATGTTAAAATCAAAGCCAATGAATTTTGTGCCAAATTTTTAGGACATGCGTTGTTCATTATATTTCATTACCAGTTGTAAGGATTTTCATAGCTGGCCTTAGAACGTTTATTCAGAATTGAGTGGGAAGTACATGGCCAACAGACTTGATGCAATTTTTTCTTTAACAAATAAAAACAATACGTTTGTTATATAGGTAAAGCAGGTGTCGAGGCACAGAAAACTTTGCAGATTTTCAACATCGAAATGAAATCGAAAATGAAGGCACACACAATGTCAGAAGATGTCATCTTTTGGAAGTGGATTAGTCCCAATACTCTGGCTCTAGTCACTGAGACTTCAGTCTATCATTGGTCTATGGAAGGAGACTCTATTCCACAAAAGATGTTTGATCGGTAGGTTATATTGTCTTTACTTACTCGAACAAGAGCAAAGAAATTTTGACTTTTGTAGTTTCTCCCTTACAAGTTAGGGTAGATAAAGTTTGATTGGTAGGTAGCTAAAGCTGTGATATAACGTTGATACATTTCCTTATGACAAGACTATAAAAAAACGTGTGCTATCTTACAAATAGTATACTATTCGATTCATATTTGTTTTGAGATAAGAATTGTTTGGATAATATTTATTATATTATAAAAGAAAGGGCAATAACTAAAAATATCTGCACTACTCAGCTCTCAGAAACTGATTTCTTCACACAAAAACTAAGAGATAACATCTTAACAAAGGTAAAAAAAAGACAAATCGTTGACATTGTTGCCACAGCATTCTTTAAATATAGTCATTCTGTTGCCAAAAAACAAGTTGATGAAACTATTTTTTTCTGGGTGTAACACTTTTAATGTCACTGAGTATACGTATGTGTTACACACATATGCGACTCAAACCAAACTCGTACAGTTTAAATGTTGGTGTGGGAGACGCGATACTTATTGCTAATAAATTTTTTGCTTTATTATTTTGAAAATCGAAAGAATCCTTGAATATGATCTTAAAGGAGTTCATAAGACTATTAAGAAAATATACTACGGGTATTAAGTAAATAATCTCAATGCTTTCTTTCTAGTAAGTAGTAAAATATTGATAGGTATACATAATTTGTGCATAATATATGTTATTTTTTATTGCTTACATTATGATGACAATGGTGCAGTTAAATGATAACTTTGCATTCAAGTAATGAACGTATAATTTATCAATAGATAGTGATGATTTATGTATGATCTGTAAAAACTGGTTGGCATTGTTTTGTGAATAAAATAATTTGCGACATACTTGGGCTATAATTGAATTGTTTACATTTCTCGGTACGTTCGGCAAACTACCAATGCTCTAATATATGTGGTACTTCCCAAGTAACATTGTTTTAAGTACGTTAAGGATTCATTAAAACTGTGAAATAAAACTGCAATTAAAACCAGTTGGTTTTTAAATAAATCTAAATAGAAAACAAGAAAAACCTCAATTAGAAAGGAAAATATTGTTATCCATAATTTTATTTTTTTAACTTTGGAATAAATCTGAATTATGTACTCCTTAATAATTTGTCATTTTTATGTAAGCCTCAATATTGTTATCCATCATGGATTCCAGCGTATCGGGAAAGCAAAATGGTGGAAAATATTCTATATCATTCCAAGAGCACATATCCTAGATAAAAGTATAGTAGTGGAGAAACGGTCCCTTAAGGCCAATAATCTTAGGCGGCGATCTTCACGGTCTGTTGTTCTACGGCGGCGTCCAGTGCCCCTTGCTCTTTGCGGACGGCCTTCTCGAAGCCATGCCTGACAACACCTAACCACAGTGTCTACACTTCTTTGCACTCTAACTGCAATTGCCCGAAAAGAAAGTCCAGCTTTCCGAAGTCCCACTATACGGCCCCTATCAAACTCACTAAGTTGACGAAATCGTACAGGTCTCCGTACTCTAGGCATCGTAACCGATCGTAAAGGATGTCAAGAACCAAAATCCGCCAACGTTGATTCTTTACTGCGGCTGAAATATTCATTTTTAGAGCGTTAGTGAATTAAAGAAAAGCACTATAAAAACCGGAATGTCCAACTGATAAGGCTGAACATTTTTTCACTTGTTATTTACAGTAAGATAAATACATTCACCAACTGTTATTGAAATAAAACCATTTAAACTGGGTGTTCGGATTTATATGTCACTTAGTGTAGATACATGGTGTACTTTTTTCGGCTTATATAAACAAAGGTGAATTTAAAAACACCATCAAGTCCAAAGCCCAAAAAGTGCCAATTGAAAAGATCCAGTTTTTTGAAATTTCTTAAAATTAACTAAGTAAAAAAATAAAACGATTTGGCCAAATTTTAGTTTCTCAACGGCATGTAAATACGGCCCGAAGAACGCAGCTTTTTCCTAATTTAACACAAATATTAGGCCAAACAGCTCGCAAGTTCTTTATAAAACTGAATAGTTTTAAAGTTAATTGAGAATAAACCATTTTAAAGCTACAAGAACATTTTAAGGTTGATTAATCTTATTTAATAAACTCACTAGATTCGTTATAACTAGTTTTAAAAGCTAAACAATTTTTATGTTCTGGCAGTATATCTACAAAGTAACTTCAAAACCATTATCTTTTTATTTCTCCCAATATAACCGTTTTAAATTTCAAATAAACATAGGATGTTTACTTTGGTTTTCACACCGCACGTGTATTATTTAAAAAACCTGAAAAACGTAAAAAAAAAACTACGAAATGTCATCTTTCAGACTAGGTAGTTTTTAGTGTGCAAATAGTTCATTCCACGTTTGCTTCCTATGGTCGCTGTTCGCTGACGTTTAAGCAACACGTACAGGTACAAAACGAGTTCACAACAAGTGTACAAGATCTTGTGCTAAGTTACCAACATGTAGAAGAACCTACGAAATGTAAAAAAAAACGACGAAATGTCACTTTTCAAGCGTATTACCCGTGCTGTTCACTTTTGTGTAGGGTTATCTTTTCAATATTAGTAACTCTTAAAAAGCATTCTTATTGTTGACATTTTTTGTACGTTGCATATTAAAACATCGAAAATCACATCTTTATAAAAAAAGTAGACTGTTCAAACTCAGTAGACATTGACACTAGTTAGTTATGTGGTTCCAATATGCTAGCCATATTTGACTTGGGATATTTAAGGGCAGAGTAGAGCCTTGTTTTATCATTTCAATCATATTCATTGGTCGTTTCTTTATTTTTCCAGCCACTCGTCTCTGAACGGCTGCCAGATAATAAACTACCGTACCGATCCCAAGCAGAATTGGTTGCTGTTGGTGGGTATAAGTGCTCAGCAATCTCGAGTTGTGGGCGCCATGCAGCTGTACTCCGTTGAGAGAAAGTGTTCGCAGCCGATTGAAGGTCATGCCGCTTCTTTCGCTTCCTTCAAAATGGAGGGTAATGCGGAACCTTCGACTTTGTTCTGTTTTGCGGTCCGCACCCTGCAGGGTGGCAAGTTGCACATTATTGAGGTAGGTGATTGACAAAGTTGTATTTAGAGCATATACGTCCATATTTAGAGTGTTGAGTGAAACTTGGGTGCTTAGTATCAATTAAAACACAAGTGTAGCTTTCATAGGCAACTGACAATAATAATAGGACTTTGTTGAGGTAAGCATTATAAAATATAATGCTCCCCAAGGCGGAGTCTAGAAAAAAATATGCTATTCAACCTTCCCGACGAAGTGAATAAATTCACTTGTTTACGAGCCCTAACACAAAATAGTTCGGACATTATTGACTTTTAGTTTGTTTATTTTTTAAGGTTGCAAAATTTTTGTTTGTCTTTATAAGATATTGAAATATATTCTTTGAGCATCATATTAACAAAATTATCATCAAGTAATATGATATTGAACTATAAAACTAAACTAATATTGGTAACAACAATATTTGCTGACACATTATGTTCGGACGTACCATTTCAATAGCCCGTTACGTCTCCCATTCCCTTAATAACAGCATTAATTCTGGCTTGCACACTTTTAACAAAGCTTTCGCACTCTTCCGCCTTAAAATTATCCCATATATTTTGTAAGTTTTACTCGGAAATCAGACATGCTTCGTTATGGATCATTTCTTAACTGATGCTTCATTTTGTGTAATACAGTTTCGATAATATTTCAATCAGGACTACCGGAAGGACAATCAAGGACGGAAATATTATCCTGCAACCATTTTTTCGTGGTTGTTGAAAAATAAAGTTTCTATCGGGTGATAAAATTGGAATTGACACTAGAAAATTGGTTTCAAGGATGTTTTGATATTTAACGTTTACAGTTCCGTCCATGAGTAAAGTTTTCCAACGCCAACGGCAGATATGCTTCCTCATACCATTCAACCTGATGGAAACTTTAGTTTTCTCTTTAGGCAGTCTTTATGAAACGCTTCATTTTTGTTTCTTATACCTCGGGATCGGTGGCCACTCACACAAACATCAAATTTCGATTCATCGCTAAAAATGATCTATTTCCAGTCATCGTAAAAACCACAGTGCCCGTTCCTTAGCCCACGCTAATCGCCTTTTGTTTTGTCTTTCCGTAAGCAACGGCTTTTCTTTTGCCTAAAGCGAAGATTTTTATCCATATGTTCCTTAAATGCAACCTACGTACCTCATAAAAATGTAAACCAGACTTATGAATCCACCGGCGTTTTTCGTGAAACATTTCCTGATGTTTCTTCATTCCATTTTTTTGCTGTTATGTCCCTTGCAGTACCTCGTCGACCAGCTTTACAAATACGAACAAGTGATCTTTGCATTCTCGGACTGATCTTACGTGGCCTATCAACACCGTCTCTTGAAACTTGAGTTGAACCCGTGTCTCAATACTTTTTTACAATATCTGCCACCGTAAACTTTGCGACATTTATTTGTTTAGCAATATCCCGGAAACTATTTCCTTGATGAAACAATTTTATGATTAAAACTCATTGCACCGTTTGACGCTTTACCACCCGACATTTTAAAGCAAACTGATTTACAGAATTGATTCTTAAATCAAAACGTCAAATTTTACAGAATTGATTCTTAAATCAACACTTCAAATTGTAAACACTTTTTTGTTTCCATGGCCTGCTATTATTTTCTTTATATCGTGTCCGAACATTTAAGTGTCAGCAAAATGTTACGTGTTATCGATATTAGGTAGATTTTATATTTCAATATCATATTACTTGAGAACAGTTTTGTCAGTATGATGTGCTAATAATATACTTCATTGTTCCATAAAAAAAAACAATTAATTTTTAACCTTACAAAACTAAACAAACTTTTAGATAATGTCCGAACATTTTTGTGTTAGGTCTCGTATATCATAAAAAGGATTTCTCGATATTGAAGTTGAGTCATTAATTTTCAGATAATGATTGTAGAAGGAAGATAAACCAAAATATGTGTGTAAAAATAAAAAAAAATTAAAAAAAAAAATTACCTTGTTTTATAAAGTATCCTCCCGACAAGTATTTCAGTGCGGACCTGTATTTGATCGTGTGGTCTTGGAGCACCGGCATGCGTCCCCTGTGAGGTCTTAAGTCACCTGATTCACGAGCCCGTTGTACTACATTAACAAAGGCACGAGGGGTTGGTTGCACTCGATTGGGAAACCGATCCGCATAAACATGTGCCATTTTTTATTTCATTTGAGCCACGCAACAGACACCACTATTCACTCACGCGTTACCGACTGATACTGACTGTATACAACTGACTAAAATAATTGTAAAAACATCGTTCCAAATTCTTTCGCTTTTTTGGTTCCGATGCGATGAACCGATAAGGCGGATTCTATCCGTTGTTGCCAAACACGAGCACATAATATTATTATTGAGACAGGGCGGTACTCAAACTTCCAAAGGGCTATAACTTTGTTACTTTAATTTTACCAGAAAAATGGTAAAGGAAACAAACATTTCTTTTGATCAGATCTACTCACTGTTAAAATAAATGACTCAACTTCGAAGTCACCCTGTATAGTATCGAGTGCATTTGTAAAATTCAGTATATTATTTGCTAAGAGATATTCGCACATCTGGTGTTTAACAATAGATGCCCATAATGCTGTATCCCGAAAGTTTTATACAATGGCTATTTCTGAAACAAAAAGAAAAAATTAAAGACGGTATAAAAATAAAGAAAATAATAATTATTCAACGCGTTAGTAAAATCAAGCATGAGAAGAGATGACGTAGCAATGATTTGCTATTTTTTGCATAGTGTATGTCTGATAAAACCATAAACCTAAATTATACTTTGAGCAGGAGCCGTATTTTTGGGTTGGAAATTACAGAGTTTCTGTTGAAATTTATTTCAGCTGCTAAATTTCTGGGATACACTAACGTTTAATATCGTTTTATGCCAGTGTCCTACTGGTTAACTAGACACAAAGTTGCATATTTTCGTAGCTGAAATAGATTGTTTACATCCATTGTTTTCAAATATGATTCATATTATCATAGATTTTTGCTCGTATATTAAAAAAACTTATCTGAAATTTATAGACTAATAGACAGCTCAAAATCCTTAAATACTTCAATTTCCTGCCGAATTAATAAATGTAATTTTGCTTTTTCTTTCGGATAATTTAGAATGGAATCTAGTCAGAATTGTTTCTCAATAGTCAAGAAGGGATGTTGATTTCCGTTTTTCAACGATGATGCAGTTTATTCGTATATGTTGGAAAACATTTGAAGTTTGTACACTGGAAGAGAACTTAAATCTTCTGTATTTTCCGCCGAGAGATTTGGGCAGTACGATTTAATTTCTATTCCGGATGCCTACAGAACGTGACGATACATTTCAAGTCAAACTGTCAACTCTATAGACTAATGGTTATTATTCACGCTGGAACTGGCTTCGTCACAGCTCTGGCGTGAAGATTTGCGTTTGAACCACCTATTGACCACAGAAAACACTCAAAATATACACACATGTATTGAATGGTAGAGGTCCCTTGATTTTGTTCATATGATTAAAATACTTAAATGTTATGCAGGCTGTCGACATTGTACTTATACCTTCTGACATTGCAATGTTTTCTATTGAAAATCAACAAAATATATACTGACAGTGACAAGTACAAATGCGTCTGACTCATACAATGACAAGAAGGCGGTTTTGTACGAAATACTTAGAATTCAAGTAGCACTCAATACTTAAATGAATTTGGAGTCAGCTTCTTCATGATATTGTAATTTTCTATAGGTGGGCCAAAGTCCTCCGGGCAATCAACCTTTTCCCAAGAAAACCGTGGACGTCTTCTTTCCCCCAGAGGCCCAGAACGACTTCCCTGTGGCGATGCAAGTCTCTTCCAAATACGATGTTATATATTTGATCACAAAGTATGGTTACATTCACATGTATGACATTGAAAGTGCTATCTGCATCTACATGAACAGAATTTCCAGCGACACTATTTTCGTGACAGCGCCACACGAGGCAACGGGAGGCATTATTGGTAACTATCTGTCCTTAAAGTGTATTCAGTGACATTAGAAGTGTTACACCTAGAAAAAATAATTTCTTCAACTTGTTTGTTTGGCAACATAATGACTATATTTAAAGCATGCTGTGGCAACCATGTCAACGTTATCATACACCTGCATCAATATCTGATGCGTTTCGGTAAATGTTTTACCAAGTTTAACACAGAACTTAATATTGGCTCTTTGTTCGATGCTCATTTTTCGACCGATGCTGTCACTTTGAGCGCGATAACTCCGCCTGAAGTGGTTCGATTGTCATGAAATTTTGACAGGCTATCAATGAAAGATGTACCTAGCCAACGCTAGTCTCCGATAATATTAATAAATAATTAATAATAATAAATAATAGATGGCGCTACCTGTATAAGATATCTTTCAAAAATCCTGTGTACTTTGCGACAGACCTTGTATGTTATTCTCAATAACTAAGTCTGTCTGTGCCAGGAACCAGCATTAAATGTTGGATAAGGTTTACAATTAATTGAAAAGTTGTTTTTTAACTCAGGTGTGAACAGAAGAGGTCAAGTACTGTCAGTATCAGTAGATGAAGAGAGTATTATTAGATACATAAATACGGTTCTACACAATTCGGATTTGGCACTGAGATTGGCGACAAGAAACAATTTGTCAGGTGCCGAGGAGCTGTTTGTCAGCAAATTCCAAATGCTTTTCCAGAACGGGCAGTATGCCGAGGCAGCTAAAGTCGCCGCAAATGCTCCAAAAGGTGAGACTAATAAACGCCAATATATCATGCATCATCAACAAATACATGACTGTCTGATTCAAATATTAATTGCGTTCTACTATTTTTATTATGCTACAGATCCCAAAAAATGTAGTAACTGTTAGAAAAGCTACTTACAATCGGGAGGCTGTAAAATAAAAGTCTGTATCACTTTATTCGCTAACTTTTTACGTGGTTAGTGCAACTATATCTACAGCAACATACTTTTAATTATTATTTGAAAGTCAATTTCAAAATGTGTACATGAGGGTTATCGAAATCTTTTTTTTCTAATTTTTGTAGGAATATTGAGAACACCTCAGACAATCCAAATGTTCCAACAAGTGCCAACACAAGCTGGCCAGAACAGCCCCTTATTACAGTATTTTGGTATTCTGTTAGATCAAGGACAGCTAAACAGGTGAATAGATAATGCTGATTAAATTAAAATTTTCGGTCCATAATGACTCTCTTTCTCCTAGATATGAATCATTGGAATTATGTAAGCCAGTTTTACTGCAAGGAAGAAAACAACTTTTAGAAAAATGGTTGAAAGAAGATAAATTGGAATGTTCCGAAGAATTGGGTGATCTTGTTAAACAAGGAGATCCTACTGTAGCTCTTTCTATTTATCTTAGAGCAAATGTTCCTGCTAAAGTAAGTACTAATGTAAATCTTTCGTCGTCACAAAGACGACGTAGCATGTTGTTATGTCTGAGAACTTTATTAATCACAAAAAACCCTTAGGCATTGTTCTCACCAAGTGTAACTTGATGGCTACAACTTGATTTGGACTTCGGTTGCCTTGCTTTTACCTGTTCCTACCAAAGTGACTGCCAAACAACTTGCAGTCTCGTTTTGAAGTTGTCGGTAATGCCAGACTATACAGGGTGACTTTGAAGTTGAGTCATTAATTTTCAGATAATGATTGTAGAAGGAAGATAAACCAAAATATGTGTGTAAAAATAAAAAAAAAATTTACCTTGTTTTATAAAGTATCCTCCCGACAAGTATTTCAGTGCGGACCTGTATTTGATCGTGAGGTCTTGGAGCACCGGCATGCCGTCCATATGTGAGGTCTTAAGTCAAATGATTCACGAACCCGTTGTACTACATTAACAAAGGCACGAGGGGCTGGTTGCACTCGATTGGGAAACCGATCCGCATAAACATGTGCCATTTTTTATTTCGTTTGAGCCACGCAACAGACACCACTATCCACTACCGACTGACACTGACTGTATACAACTGAATGAAATAATTGTAAAAACATCGTTCCAAATTCTTTCGCTTTTTTGTTTCCGATGCGATGAACCGATAAGGCGAATTATATCCGTTGTCGCCAAACACGAGCACATAATATTATTATTGAGACAGGGCGGTACTCAAACTTCCAGAAAAATGGTAAAGGAAAAAAACGTTTCTTTTGATCAGATCTACTCACTGTTAAAATAAATGACTCAACTTCGAAGTCCTATATATGTACTAATTTTGATTCTTAAAAGTCGCGAAAGAAAACAATCGCGTGAGTCATTTCTAAAATAAAATCTAGTCAGGTCAATCAGCATATCTGGCATTTTTTTATTTACCGGAAAACTCAAAATACATTAATTTGTATACAAGTATAGTTCGTTTCACAGTTTTTGACAGTTAGGGTACAATGTTATTCGAAATAAGTAAGCAGATTGACTGATTTTACCGTGTGCAGAGCTTAACTTTCCTAGGGAAATTGTACACTGTGGAAGTCGACCCTTAACGCAACTGCTACTCCCTTTTGCACACGCACACACCTACACACGCGCACATACAGGGTTTGTCCGGAAAGTAATAGGACTGAGTCGATTTAAAAAAAAATTATTGAGCCAATCGTTACAATTCTTTAAAAACTTTCAAAATAGGCTCCTTCTGCGTCGATGCGCGATTTCCAAGCATTGAGGGCGTCAAGGAAGGCATTCTTTGTCTCGGGATCATACTCAAAGATCTACGACTCGTCACCTGTGCTTACGTTATTCAAAAATTGAGGGTCCCTTTCACACATGTTCAAATTTTCTTCTTCTTTCTGGTCGTCAGTGAGCACTTTTGGAACGATCTTCGCGCACACCTTGCGCATGTTCAAAGCTGTGTCCCAATGTCATAAACCACAGATTTTGGTAAATTTAACATCTGGGCAATGAAACGAATACTTAATCGACGGTGTGAGTTTAAAACTTTGTGTTTGTCGAAGTCGAAGGTCTTCCAGCACGGTCTTCATCAGCGACCTCTTCCCGGCCCTCCAAAAAGGCCTGGTGCCACCGAAACACACCACTTCTTGCTAAATCAACACCTGGTAAGCCTGCTTGATCATATCAAACGTCTCTGTCGCAGATTTACCGAGTTTCACACAGAATTTAATCGCGTACCTCTGCTCTAACGAACGCTGCATTTTCGGCTTGTACCACTCACAGAAACACGTAGCGGGAAAATGCCTGTCCTGACTCTCCAAGTGCTCTGAGACAACTGACCAGCCGCTCATTCGTTAGCTAGGAACGCCCTCTACCGAATCCAGTCGGTGCGCACGCTCCGAAGTACAGTCACGGCGGAAGAAAATGAGTCCTATTACTTTCCGGACAAACCCTGTACATGAATTTGATAATAGAGGACCATTGTTTTCATGCACTTTCTGAGAATACTTCAATAAATGTAAATTGTCGACATTGTAGTTGTATCTTTAGTCATTGCTATTTTTTATATTGCACGCCTACACCAAGCAACTGGTCATACTTAGAGTGACATGCGTAAATGTGGAATACTCGTACGTTGACAAGAAAATTTTCAAGACGGTGAGACAAAATTAAAAAACGTATCTGTGAACTTACAGCAACAAACGTCCGCACATAGGGGTCGATTGTATTGTATATTTAAACGGGATGGTCCAACGAAAATGTCGCACCCCCATTTGTAACTCTCCTGGTATATTTTGGGAAAAACGCTCGGACACGTCAACTTTGATTTCTAGGGGGACGTTTCATCTATCATCGTACAATACAAGGTGTTTCAAAAATAAGATATTTCGTCACACTTTAGATTTTTAAATGGAAACCTCCATTTTTTTAAGTTAAGAAAGATTTTGTTCAAATCTATTCCTCAAGCATGTCTTGAGTTATTTGCCTACATTCAGCCGTAATCCGCTGACGAAGATCTTGAATGGCGTCGTACTAAAAACTTTACTTTTCAAATGCCCCCAAAGAAAGTAATCTAAAGGAATTAGATCCGGAGACCTCGGCGGCCACTCGATGGGGCCTCATCTCCCGATCTTCTGATTCGGGAAATAGGTATCAACAAAATGTCGTACATAGTGCGTCGGTGTGGAAATGAATGTAGTTTTCATTATAATTAACGTCATTTGCTATTATTCCGGTAATTCGTATATTGTATTTTCTAACATGTCCAAGAACGTCTCTCCCAAGTTTCCAGAAATAATGAAAGGTACTATGATTTCCGCAAATGCAGGCCTACACATTTATTTTTTCAGGATATTGGGATTGTACCTCTCGAAACAAATGTGGGTTCGAGTCACTCCAATATCGACAAGTAATAATAATAATGATAATAGCGTTTATTTGGAGAGCAAAAAAATACAAAGAAAAAATTAAAAATGAAACATGAATTTCCTGCAAAAGGGACACTAGTAAACAGACGAGCTGATCAAAGTACTAGCCCAACAAACAAAATTACAACAGAAGAGTACTTAACCAAATTATATAAGTTAATATTCATAATGAATAAGTAGTAATTACAAACGTCTAAAAAAATATATGTATATAAAAAAATTATATAAAAAATATAATTTAACGTAAAAGGTCAAATTATTTTAGGCAGATTTAACAAAAAAAAACATTTAAAATATAAGAAGGAAAGGAACAATATAAAGTACACTACAATTCATCTAATAGAAATTTTCTGTAACTTCTTTTAAAAGCTGGCACAGACATAGACTTAAGGTTTATGGAGACGTGATTGTACAAGTGGTAGATAAAATGAGAAAAACATCTGTCAAACATAGATGTACGATGACGTGGTTGGGAAATCAGCTTCCGATACCGAACATTGATATTGTGAACATCACTTCGACATGGAATCTTATTATATAAATAAGGCGCAGTTTTATATAGAATAATTTTATGAGACAAAACAGCAGAGTGCAGATTTCTTCTAGCTTCCATATTTAGCCATCCTATTACAGGTAACTTATAAGAAATATGTTCAAATTTTTCCACTCCAAAAATAAACCTAAGACAAGAGTTTTGGACACGCTGTATACGATCAACATCATACCTTGATATACAAGGCCCATAAACTGAGTCGCAGTAATTGAATAATGGTAGAACAAGCGTGTCACAAAGCAAAGCCTTAACTTCGGTAGAAAAGATATGACGATGTGGTATGTCTATTCACAGCACCATGTCAATAGAACGTACACTCATGCGAGAAACAAATATTATATAACAGATTTGCATTGTTGATTAAACGTTGGGACATTAATTCGGAAAACACCAACCTTCTATCAAAATCGTCTTCATTAAGCTCATGGACAAGTTTTATCTTGTACTGGTAAAATTGATTGTCTTTCAAAATCCGTTGTACTGTTGAGCGTATAAATCTTGAAGTAGCCAGTCCACGAGTGCTTTGGGTGTTGTCAAGTGCTACGTCTCCCAAAACTGCTATTTCTGCGGCTTCATTTATAATTCGTCGATTACGGCGAATATTACACAGTAGACACAGGTCCAATTTCTTCAAATTTTCTTATCAACTCAGCCACATACTTATCGTTAATATTTTTGTCTGGATGTAACGCATTAAATAACCGGGCAGTAGCTCTTGCAATGCTCCCATTTTGGTTCTACAGTTTTGTTATTTCTACCCTTTTTCGAATAAGTCATTGTTCAATATTTATCACATCTAGGTAGGTAACTTAACAATTTGAAATGAAAGGCGTTTTTCTATGACATTGATTGATGCTAAATGTTCTTGCTGGTATCCATGATTATTATTTTTTGCCGTGCATTCCATTATTATCAGTTGGTCGAATATTATTATAAACTCAAATAGCTACACAACGATTGAAGATCGGTATAAACTTTATTATGCAAAAGTTACTAAAAAACTTCATGAAAAATCTAAAATTAAAAAAAAAACATTCCATTTAAAATTCTAAAGTGTAATGCAATACCTTATTTTTGGATCACCCTGTATTGTACCACTATAGAAGAAAATACGTCCCCCTAGAAATCAAAATTGACGTGTCCGAGCGTTTTGCCCAAAATATAAAAGGGAAGTCACAAATGGGGGTGCGACCTTTTCGTTGGGCCACCCTGTATGAGGAGATGGATGTGTGAAAGAGTCTGATGATCATTTATACACTTTTAACTTGCTTCTCACACCTTTTGTATTAACTGTAGCACTATTTTTAAAGGTTTTCGAAAGTAATTAGGTGATACATTTTAAAGTATTATTTCGTCTTTCAGGTGATCCAATGCTTCGCTGAAACCGGCCAATTCCAGAAGATCGTTCTCTACGCTAAAAAGGTCAACTACACTCCGGACTACATATTTCTGTTGCGTCAGGTGATGCGCACCAACCCCGATCAAGGTGCAGCTTTTGCCGCCATGTTGGTAGCAGATGACGAACCACTAGCTGACATCAATCAGATCGTGGATATTTTCATGGAGCAGAACATGGTACAACAGTGCACTGCTTTCTTGTTAGATGCGTTGAAGAATAATAGGCCAACAGAGGGTCATCTGCAGACCAGGTAAGATATAGCTTAGAATACAATTTGTTACCATTAATACTTATACAGACCAATCATCGTAGCTATTCTAAATCATCGTCAATGACAATTTGTTCCTTGCTACCCTTCCAGATATGTACAGGGTGGGCAACGAAGAATGTGCGGTACTGTATCTGAGAACCTATCCATTGTAGACGCTTGCGGCAAAAACAGTTACTACTAAACGGCCAAGAGAAACACCTGGTAAATATTTTGAAGTTTCTGAAATGGCCGAAAACTGCAATCTTGATTCTAAAAAAGTGATGTTTATGTGAATTCCGCTATATAACCCTAACAAAAAAATTCTTGATCTTCAAAGTCGAGGATAATGTGAACGTTTTCTGTTTGACAATTTTTGCTGTATCTCTAAAAATAAAGTGGGGTATCTTCTAAACGGCTGAGCCGATTTTAACAAACTTGGGCTAGTTGAAAAGAGCTATTCTTGGCCTACAAATGTTATAATACAGGGTGAGCCAAGAATTTGTTAACATTTAAATCTAATACACCACGCAAACAGATGCCGCGCAAAGCGCGGGGAGGGGTCTAGTCGCTAGCTCGTTTCTCGGAAATTCAGTCGCAGTGGATCGCTTCACGGGGCCGCAACGCGCTTACTGTGTGAAACAATTTTATTTAAACATCAGTTCGCTCATTACTGTGAGACGCTTATTTCGCGTTGAATACAATTTACACGACTTAAGTCAGTGTCCGAGTGCTCCTTTAATAAAGAAATGGGTGAAGAAGTTCGAAGAGACGGGATCTACACTGAATGTGAAGCAAACCGGCGGCCCACGGAGCGAAGAGAACGTGCTGCAAGTTTTCACTTCTGTTCAACGTGATCCAGATTTATCGACGCCCAAACGTTCGGCTGAATTAGGATTATCCCGCACATCATTACGCCGTATTTTAAGATTAGATTTGAAGTTACATCCTTATAAGATCCAGATAGTGCAGGAACTAAAACCGAATGATTTAAATTTGCGCAAGTCGTATGCCGAAACGATGTTAGCTCGATTCAGTAATTTTGACAATCTCTTATTTTCTGACGAAGCCCATTTCCACCTCAACGGACATGTGAATAAACAGAATTGCAGGTACTGGAGCAGCGAAAATCCCAAAGCTAAACACGAGAAGCCACTTTACTCTCCTGCAATTTCAACAAAAGGAATCATTGGCCCCTACTTCTTTGAAGATTCTCGCGGCCATTCAGTTTACTGTTAATTCTGCTGAGTATGTGAAAATGTCACGGGAGTTCTTGGCACCGATGCTACTGGAATTTGCTGGCTATAATCGTAACACATGGTTTCAACAAGATGGAGCCATGTGTCACACATCCAACGAGTCCCTGCCGGTGGTCAAAGAAATGTTTCCGGAAAAGATCATTTCCAGACGAGGCGTCATCCCATGGCCACCCAGAAGTCCAGATCTATCCCCACCAGACTCTTTATATGGGGTTATTTAAAGAGTCGTGTCTACGTCACTAAACCAAGTACACTCCGTCAACTAAAAGAAAACATCAACGAAGAGATGTCGGCGTTCTCGCAGTCTTTATGCCGACGAGTATTAGAAAACTTCGGTACACGTTTAGAAGAGTGCAAAAATCGTAATGGTGGTCATTTAGATGATATAATTTTCAAGAAACGAATTCCAGTTGATTAGCTTTCTTGTGAATAAAAAATTTTTAAAATATGTCAAATGTTTTTTTTCATACGATTTTTTCAAATGTTAACTAATTCATGGCCCACCCTGTATTTGAAGTTTTTTTAGTTTCATATGTGGCCACTAGAGGGCTTTTTTGGCATTGCGACAGAAATTGTTAATTTTCTCAAAATTAAATGTATTGGTATGATTTCTTTCATGAAAAAGAAGCTAAATGATGTCTAAACAAGCTCGCGAAAACCGCATCTCGATATCTTCTCAGTAATCTAAAATTTGGGCAAAAGAAAATTTTATACGATAATCCTTTATATTTTTATTTTTTAAAACTAATTTTGCTGGAATTTATTTTTATTATTAAGTTGTGACCCTAAAAAAAGCCGATTTTTAAAAGAAAGGTTTTTAATGCCTCCGTAAATGCTAAAAATGCTGAGCATCATGCTGTATGCATTTCTGAAACCTCTCGAGGGTAGACAAAATTGCAGCTTCAATTTCGGCTCTCGGTATGTTGTTACGTATTGCATTACAAATCCGGCTTTTCATATCTTCTCTGTTGTAGATTGAGTCTGAAACACGATGTCCTTTAAAAATCCCCGTAAATAAAAATTAAGACACGCGATCGCGAAGGCCCATGGAAACAGGCTTCCTCTTCCAATCCACCGCTGTTGAAATGCTGCATTGATATGCTCTCGCATAATAATAGCAAAATATGCTGGGCAACCATCCAACTGCAAAATTAAGTTTTACCGTGTTTCCAGTGGCACATCTTCTAACAACAACGGTAATTGACTGTCTAAAAAGTCACGACAGTCATTGCCATTTAGGGATTGCTCGAAAAAATTTGGCCCAATAATTCTGCCTCCCAGTATGCCGCAGCACACATTTAAACTCCAACGTCCTTGGTGCTGAACTTCACGCGGATTTTCTGCAGACCAATAATGCATATTGTGCAGGTTGACTCTCCCGTCACTATTAAAGATAACTTCATCTGTCCAAAGCATTCGAAATAGAAATTCTATATTTTCGAGTATCATGCCTAACATCCAATGGCAAAAGTCCAACCTCCGATCAAAGTCTTCATCTTTCAAGGCCTGATGCAAAACGACATGATATGGGTGCATTAAAAAAAGTTGAATTTATATAAATCGCTATAATTTGATGAACATTTCGAACTATTGTTTGTGATATGATGCTCAACTCAAAAGATAATAAATACCCTTGTGCTAACATGATGATTTTCTTCAATATATGCCAGTACGCGGTTAATATTTTCTTGTGTTCTTCCAATTCATTGTCGTTGAAAAGTAGACCGAAAACTACCATTGGCTCGTAAGCTCGCCACTAATCGAGGGAAAACTCTCGTATCGCAAAGCCGATTTGGATATCAAGTCGCGTCAACTCATTTTGCTACTGCGGCATTTTGAAGACATTCAAAATAAACTGCAAGCATATCAACAGCTTCATCGTTCGTAAAACACATTTGGTAAGCACAAAAATTGCTCAAAGTAATGTGAAACTATTGGCAATTTGAGGATTATTTATGTTTTGGTTAGGTATTTGTTTTGTTGTTGTATTCCATGGCCTGCTTCTATTAATTGTCTTTTTCGTATACTGACTGAGAAAAAAAGATAAACACCTATGTATGTTTATTAGAATTCAAGGATTTTTTAGATATTGATTTATTTCGCAATGAACAACAAATGATAAAATGGTCAGGTTTTTCTGTTAAGTTTTTGTGGTGGCTGCGTGTATTGTTTGGTGATAAAGAAACATTCAGTTTTCGTATATTTACGGTGTCAGTTAAATGTTAAATTTTGTGTGATTGTTCAAAATGCCTAGAGTGCGTAGAATTCGCCGGGTGTCCCAGACTTTGAGAGGGGTCTCTCGATAAGAGAAGTTTCTAGGAGGACCAACAGATCCTTACTCAGTATACTGCAGTGTGAACGAGCGTGGACTCAGGAAGGCGGAGGACAGCTAGCGAGGGGTGCTGGTCGCGCCAGAGGTACCACAGAGCGACACGACCGCCGGTTAAGACTCTGGCTCTGAGAGACAGATTCTTATCACCCACATTGGGTGCTACCTCTCACAGCTGAACATTGGCGTAACCGTTTGCTCTAGTATAGAGAAAGAATTCTATGGGACGGGGCATGGAATCAGGTGGTCTTCAGTGACGAATCCTGCCTCTGTCTGGGGAAGAACGTGAAAGACGTGACCCTCAATTTGACAGAGAGCGTCAGGTTCACCACACCGTGGAAGTTATGGTATGGGATGTTATTGCTTATGGTAGCAGTTCACCACTAATTTTCATCAGAGGCAATATGACAGCCGACGCTATATTCAGGAAGTAGTGGAGCCGCATCTTATTCCATACCTAAACACCATCCAAAACCCGATCAAGACAATGCCAGAGCATCTTTAGCCTTCATGGATCAACATCGCATCAACCGTTTACCTTGGCCACCACGATCGCCTGACCTATCTCCAATTGAACATGTCTGGGGCATGATAGGTTCGCACGCTCTTGAATTTGCTGCACCCTCCACAGACTTGAGCAGCTCTTAACTTACCCACGAAGTTGCAGTAGCCTGGAATGAGATACCCCAACAGGATATGGACCACCCTATCAGCAAGATGCACAGGGGGTGTCACTGAGTGTATATGAAATCGTGGATCCTCAAGCTTCTGCAGTCAGTTGACGAGTCACGCTGAAAATTTAATCATTTTACTAGTAAGGGACAAATTATTAAAATCGGATACGGATACGTCGGTGTTTACCGTTTTTTGCTACTCATTATATTACGAGTATATCCATAGTATATGCATTTAAACAAAAGATATGTCTTTTTTTACTAAGATTACTTTAGTGATATATTTTCATATTATAAAAAGGGTAATTTTATTCTGATGAATAAAAAAGAATTCTAGAAAAAATAGTTTAAAAAATAAAGATTTAAGGTATTTCCGTATTAAATATTCTTTGGCCTAAATTTTAGGTTAGGAACAAGATATCGAGATGCGGTTTTCGCGAGTTTGTTTAGAGATCATTAAGCTACTTTTTCATAAAAAAAATCATACCAATGCATTTAATTTTTTGAGATAATTAACCATTTCTGTCGGAATGTCAAAAAAGCCCTCTAGCGGCCACAAATGAAACTAACAAAACTTCAATTATTATAACATTTGAAGCCCAAGAGTAGCTATTTACAACTAGCCCAAGTTTATTGAAATCAGCTCAGCTGTTTCAAAGATAGCTGTTTTTACGGAAACCTTTGAATACCCCCCACCACTTTATTTTTAGAGATTCAGCAAATATTGTCAAACAAAAAAGTTCACATTATCCTCGACTTTAAAGATCAGGTATTTTTTTGTTAGGTTAATATAGCGAAATTCACAGAAACATCTCGTTTTTAGATGCAAGATTGCAGTTACGCCTCTAGTAGTATTTCAAAAACTTGAAAACATTTTCTTCGCCGTTTTGGTAAGAATTTTTTTTGCCGGAAGCGTCTACGATGGATAGGTTCAAAGATACAGTACCTCGCACTTTTAGTTGGTCATCATGTACAGGACCGAAAACCATGTCACTATTTTCGGCGGTCGATCAGTCTATCTCTGTCCACGAATAATTGACCTATCAATCTCTTCAAAAATACTGTACGGATTTTGATAAAATTTGGCACAAGGTCCTTACTTTGCCAAGGACCAAACCTTGTTTTATAACGTTCCACAGGCTCCTGATCATTTTATGAAATAATGTTGGGGTCATAAGTTGGGGGTTGGGAGTTGTAGGGGGTGAGAGAGGGTATATCTCAATTATTTGGCGTTAGCATAGTTATGCGCTTTCAACCTCAGTAATTCTACTCACTTATTTGTTATACAGGTTCATAGCTATTTTCTTACTCAGCGGCAAACCTGTACTGAAAGTGCCGAGTCAACCTACTTGACGACATTTTTTTATTTACTACAAAATATGAACTGAGCATGCCTAAACAATTCACTTTATTTGAATAATATTCGTTTGTTTCAGATTTATTTAGCATTAATGCTACAATATCCATAATATCCATATTACACAGTATATCACAAAAGATATTATGTCTTCAAGACTGCATATTTTCATACAAAATTTCACTACTATGAATTCTGTTTATCCATGAGATATTTTTTCAATTTCCCTTTGAACATTTTCAAACTGACACACATCTTGATATCATTACTTAATTTATTAAATTCGTACAATCCCTTTTGAAATATGTGCTCGTTATATTGCTACTGCAGTTTTGTAAATGAAGGATATACTACCTGTAGCAGAATAATTGTTGCACTCATTGTTCAATACAATAAAATTTTCTAAGTGATTTGGTAGATGATTTTTTAACTTGAATATGAAAATGAAAACCAAGTAGGCTATGAAATTTTTGATATTTAACCATTGTAGTTCTTTCAGCATAAAATTTATTCTAGTATATATATTTTTATTTAAGATGATTCTCATAGCTTTATTTTGTAATTTTGAAAATACAGTTTCATTTCCAGTGAACAAAATAATCGAATAATATAACAAATGAGGAAGAACGATAGTGTTGTACAGAATTTTTTTAGAATAAACACTTAGGCAATGCGAAATTCTATAAGTAATTTATTTTCTTGGATATTTTTGAAATAATATATTCATAGTGCCCTTCAAATTTTAATTTACTGCCCAAATATTTGACACAATGTTTTCATGATTAATTGTAAGATTTATCGTATTTTGATATTTATGTTTGGAATTGTCTCATAGAAAAATTACAAGTAACTTACTTGTGACATAGATTTGGATCCCCATCTTCGATTGATTCCACTATCTCATTTATACTTTCTATAAAATAAGCCTTCATTCGTTCTGCAATCAATATTTGTTGTGTTACTATACCATCTTCGAAGCACATTCTTGATAATTCATCCTTCCTACTGAGAGATACAATATTTTTAGTGTCTTCCACATCATTTTACTGTTATTTTTATTGCTATCGATTTTGTTTTCATAATATTTTTTCTTTCCGTTACTAAGATTTGTTAAACACTTGTTAATTGATTTCTTATATTGTATCCAATCTTCCTCAGTTTGAGTGATAATAAACTTTTTATAGTCATTATCACGCAATTTAGAGTCTAGAAATATTTGTGAAAACCAGAGTGTTGGCTGTTTCCTTTGATATACCACTTTCGTAATTTGTGCTTCTCTTATGCAGTTCTCTATACAATCCATAATTTTTGACAAGTGAGTCAGCATCATTAAAGATTTCAGTGATATTGGCTTGTACCTGTAAGAGAGACTCTCGTAACGTTTCAAAGTCAATAATTGTGATTTCTCTTGAGTGTATCTCATTAAACATATTTTCCACCTCGAAACATATCCACGAATGGTCGCTTATTTTTGGAGTATGTAAAACCTTAATACTCTATTTCTGTTCATTGGTTATTATTAAATCGATCTTAGTTCGTGAAAAGTTTGTAATCCTAGTCATTAACTTTTGGTCATAGACCGTGAAAGTTCAGTACCTGTTTGAATTTTTTTACATAAAAATCTTGGTTATCAAAATTTATATTGAAGTCTCCCAAGTGCACAGTGGAGCAATTTCGATAATACTGTATTTCACAAACACTCAAAAAAAAGTAAAAAAATCGGCTAATGTTACAGCTTGTAGTACAGTAGTAAACGTGTACAGTGTAATTTTGTTTCATCTTGATTTCAAAATTAATATACCACCATTGATAATCAACAACTACAGTATTATGTGTTTTTACTTCAATCATACTCCGTTTGTATGCCACCTGTATGTTTCGAAACTGTGTTTACTCTTACAGCATCAGAATGATGAATATCAATCTCCATATCTTCAATATCTTCTGTAATATGTGTTTCAGTCAAGCAAATATTAATATTTTAAAAAATTTATAACTTCATCCCTGTGCGATAAAAATCCTTGAATATTTATATGGTATACATTATTAGAATATTTTTTATCCTGTAATTGCTATTTGTCTCTTTATTTTTTGATTTTTCTTATTCGATTTGGACCATGTTGCAGGTATAGTAGAAGGATGAGTGATTTACATACATATATCGAAATTTGTGTTGTACTTCAAATTTGATTCTCTGCAATTTGTACATGTTATTTCATCTTTTGATGTCGTACAGTTCTGGGCCTGATGATCACTATTACCACATTTTAAACAAATACTGGTCTTGGTGCAATTCTTCGCTGTGTGGTGAAATCCGCCACAGTTGAAACACCTCAGAAGATCGTAATGCTCAAAAAATTTACCAACATCCATGGATACAAACAAAACTCCTTCCTTCATTACTGCTTCAAACGAGATCTTTTTTTTTTTTGAGATGGCGAAGTAATGTTGGTGTTTTCCTGTGTAGAACTTTTGACCATGTCTGCATAAGATTTATTGTTATTTGCAGATTGTAAATTCGCAATTTGTTTATTTAGTTTATCTATTTTTTCATATATGTAGTTCTTTTATCAGTTTTTCTTGTATCAAACTAGTATAGTCTTTTATATTTAAAATGTCTGTTACACAAAATCCTTTTTCTGCATGTGATACAATCACCTCATTTGCTTTTCCACCAGCTTCATCAGCCTCCATACGGTTCAACACGATATTTTTTTCAAGAAAGAACTTGACTCAGAAAACCTGAAAATTTGTGTCACTAATATGTAATATAACTTCCAAAAAGTGGCTTCGATCACTGTTTCTAATTTACCACTGCTCACTAGTAGCCTCCATTACTCTAGATATTATCACCAGCAGTTAAAAATCTCTGGAATAAGCAAATTGCTCTCTTTTTAGAAGTACCTAATGTGCTGTTAGTAGACAAGACAGTAACATATAGGGAATATTTAAACAAAAAAAGGTAAATGGGCCCATTAGAGATGCCCAGATGGCGTATCGAATAACCCACTGTCCTGATTTGAAAATCTGTCGACACTGGGCTATAAACCCTGTTTTTTTTCAGATTATTGGAGATGAACCTAATGTCCGCCCCACAAGTAGCTGACGCTATCCTAGGCAACAACATGTTCACGCACTACGACCGCGCGCACATCGCGCAACTGTGTGAGAAAGCCGGCTTGTTGCAACGCGCATTAGAACACTACACTGATCTCTACGATATCAAGAGGGCTGTGGTGCATACTCATTTACTGCCCGCTGATTGGCTGGTTAACTTCTTCGGTACTCTCAGCGTAGAGGATAGCTTGGAGTGCTTGAGAGCCATGTTGACTGCGAATATAAGACAGAACCTGCAGATTTGCGTGCAGATCGCTACCAAATATCACGAGCAGTTGACTACTAAGGCGCTGATAGATCTGTTCGAGAGTTTCAAGAGCTATGAAGGTAAGTTGCAGGTTATTGCTAATATCGTTTTTTACCAATAACATAATATTATAACAACTACTCTTTTTTTAGGTGGATTTTTCTTGCTCAGGATTGTCACGAGTACTAATAATCCAGTCGTACAATGCTTTTTTTGTTTTGCATATTATAGCTGCATATTTTTCAATGCAAAAATAATTTGTGTGACATCTTTTTCATTATTTAGTTTTTACAATCTTGTTAATAATGGTGAATTAATCAAATGCAGAAATGGCGGAAATGCATTACGTATATGGCCTTGCCGATGGTAGTGGTGAGCAAGCCAGACGGATTTATCACCAGAGATATCCCGATCATGCTTTGCCAGATAGTCGAACCTTTTCTAATATTCATCGTCGTCTTGTTGAAACTGGTTTTGTCCGAAAAGGAACATCAGAAGGTAGACCTCTAAGTGTGAGAACACCTGAAATTGAGGAAGCAGTGCTGCACGAAGTCGAAGAACATCCTGAAACGAGTACGAGGAAGATCGCTAGACACTTAAATATTTGCCATCAAATTGTTTGGAGAATTTTAGTGGATTTTTTGTTATATCTTTACCATATTTTAAAAGTACAGGCATTACTTCCCATTGGTTTTTCAAGGCGTGTGACCTTTTGTCAGTGGTATCTTCAAAAAATTACACAAAATCCGCAATTTGAATCAATGATTTTGTACAAGGACGAAGCTAATTTTGCTCGAAATGCTATTCAGAATTTCCACAATAATCATTTGTGGGCAGAAGAAAATCCCTGTCGTAACTGAAACCCATTTCCAATACCAATTTTTAGTTAACGTATGGGCAGGAAGTATTGGCAACCACTTTATTGGTCCATTCTTCGTGCCGGGACGACTTGACGGACAGACTTACCTCAATTTTCTTCAACAACAGTTGCCTTCGCTGCTTGATGATGTTCCGTTAGTAATAAGAAACAATATGTGGTACATGCATGATGTTGCAACAGCGCATTTCAGTGTAGCGGTTCGTAATTATTTACAAGCTGTTTATCCAAATCGTTGGATTGGCCGCGATGGGCCCCAAGAATGGCCACCAAGTCCCCAGACCTCAACAGTTTGGATTTCTTTTTGCGGGGCTATCTTAAGACACTAGTGTACACAAGTCCCATTACCACTGTAGAGGAATTAAGAGAAAGAATAGTTGCAGCTTGGGATAGAATAAAAAACAATCCAGGGATATTTCAACGAGTGCGCAATTCCATGAGAAGGAGGGCGGAAGCATGCATACTAAGTGAAGGGGGCCATTTTCAACAATTTTTGTAATAATTTCGTTGGGTTTAATGTTATGTTTATGTTGTCAGTTCAACAATTCAAGAAAGATCATTTGTTTTAAATTGAACGGAGAATTCAAAAATAATTTTTATTTGGCAAACATCCATTCCCGTACTATTTTTTTCTTAAAAAATAACGAAGTCAATACCCGTACGCACGCCACTGTCAAAGCTAAAAATCATTTTTGCATTGAAAGATATGCAACTTTATTAACTTTCACTACGTACTAGATATCAGTGAAATATATCAAGCGGTTCTGAAAATATTAAATAATTTCCATTTGTTTCCTAAAATTTCAACACCCCGAGTTTTTGTAAGGAAACATTTTTGGACCATGGTTTATAAAGCAAACTAACATTAATTTTTCATGTAGATTCACACCCTTAAATATTCGCATATCATTAAGGAACACCCTGTATATTATCTTTTCAAGATTATTGAAGATTCTTGTCCGAGTTGAACAGTCTTTAAAGACGTTGTTTATTTTAATTAAATAAAATATATGGCATATTAACTCTCTCTCGAAAAGTCGCTCAAAGCTTCATTTACAAAGAGTTGCGTTTTTTTTCTATATTTCTTGTTTATACCTCAAAAAACAAATAAGCCATATTATAATCGAACTGCGAAATTGTTCCATACAGGTTTGTTTTGAAAAAATGCACCCTTTAAGCCATTTTCTTCCATATCTTGCTTATCACATAATTTTAAACTACTATATGTTTTTAATACATTTGCACTTTTAAAAGTAAATCCTTTTTTCTAGGACTCTTCTACTTTTTGGGCTCGATCGTGAACTTCTCCCAAGACCCAGATGTCCACTTTAAGTACATTCAAGCAGCTTGCAAGACCGGCCAGATCAAAGAGGTCGAACGCATTTGTAGAGAATCGAACTGTTACAATCCGGAACGCGTAAAGAATTTCCTGAAAGAAGCTAAATTGACAGATCAGCTTCCGCTTATAATCGTGTGTGACAGATTCGATTTCGTTCATGATTTAGTGCTATACTTGTACAGAAACTCGTTGCAGAAGTATATTGAAATCTACGTGCAAAAGGTCAACCCCAGCAGACTGCCTGTAAGTAAATATTCTCTAAGAATGTATCTTATACTGGTTGACGCAGAATTGACATGGATCGAATTCTTTATAATCCATTTATTTAATTGATAAGTGAATTTGTTTTACTAAGCTATACAGGGTGTCCCGAAAAAGGTGTGCAATATTCTACCAGCGGTTTCTAGAGCTTAAAATAGAAAGAAAAGTTTATATAAACATAGGTCGACAAACGTCCCCTAAGGGCGCTACGGTCTTTTAAAGGGGCTCCCCTGAAGATGGTTTTTCCTTAATATTTCCGAAACGTGTTGATATAAAGACATAAAATTTGGTATTCTAGCCTAGTTTTTTATGCTGGATTTGAAAATATTAACAATTTTAGACAGTTTTGTTTGGAAGCGTATGTAACAGGGACGGACGGAGGTTATTTTAGCCCCAAAATTTTTGTGTGATTCTATTTTTGAAATTCAATTTTAGAATTTGAAAATTTAGTGTTTCCTAGATAAAAAAAGGTACTTTTATTGAATATCGATAAATTGTGCTATTTTTGAATAAAATCAAAATAAAAAATTTGTCACATGATAGGAAATGTACTGCGAATTTAAATGAATTGTTGATTATACATAGTTAGCCATGACTGCAAACAAAAGTTGTTTTGATTTGTTATGACTTATTTTGACGTTAAGCTGACATTGTTAGTAGTGCAAAATTACTAGATTAAAATCAAAAGTTTTATTAAATCGATTTAAAATGCCAAGATTTACAGTGGCAGTTCATTGGCAGCCGTAAGAGAATATCAAAGAAGATTTCCCAATCGCATAGTACCTGGACGTCGAATGTTTACTGATATTCACAGGAATTTGTCAAACCATGGAAGTTTTCAGCGCATGCAGGGCTCAGGAAGGCCACTCGGAAATCATCGTATGGATATTGCTTTAAATATGTTTGAAAATAATCCGCAAATAAGCATACGAAATGTTTCAGAAAATATGGTAATACCTCGATCAATAGTAAGAAAAGTTTATGAATACCTATTTGATAGTTATCCTAAAAATAATAATTTTAGATAGGAAGAATGACAAGAATGCAAGGAATACATCTTTATCATTTTAAACGGGTGCAGCATGTAACGGAGGCAGATTTTTTACCACGAATCGAGTTTTGCCAGTGGATATTAGCAAATAAAAACACTATTCCTAGAATATTATGGTCGGATGAGTCAATATTTACTAGGAATGGTGGTTTTAATTTCCATAACATGCATCACTGGTCAGATGAAAATCCAAAAGTTGTTCTCCGTACAAATTTCCAACATAGATTTTCATTGAACTTATGGGCAGGAGTAATTGGGGATCAAGTATAATTGGGCCTATTGTACTTCCCAATCGTCTTAATTCACAGGTGTATCGGAACTTTCTTCAGAATGAGCTCATGGATATAATACCATTGGATCTGCGCAGCAGTTTCAAGAAAATATGTTTTTTCAACATGATGGCGCCCCTGCACATTTTGGACGCAATGTTCGAAATTGGTTGAATGTCAATTTTCCAGACAGGTGGTTAGGCCGAGTAGGTCCTATAGCGTGACCGCCACGTTCACCTGACCTAAATCCTTTGGATTTCTATTTTTGTGGGTCATTAAAAGACCTAGTTTACGCGACTGAAGTGAATACTCAAGAAGATTCACTTCAAAGAATCCATCAGGCTGCAAATGAAATAAGAAGAAAAAGGTTTTCCACTTTTCGGGCTACGCAATCATTAGTTCGTCTTTTTTAAACAAATTTCAATTTCGTTCGTAGAAATTTTTTTTTTTTTGTTTTTGCCTAAATGTTAGCTATGTTGCAATAGAAATATGTATTTATGTAATATTTACCAATTATTAAATTAGTTTTTTCGTTGCCATGGATAATTATTCAAGAATTCATTTAAATTCGCAGTACATTTCCTATCATGTGACAAATTTTTTAGTTTGATTTTATTCAAAAATAACACAATTTATCGATATTCAATGAGAGTACCTTTTTTATGTAGAAAATCCTAAATTTTCAAATTCTAAAACTGAATTTCAAAAATAGAATCACACAAAAATTTTGGGGCTAAAATAACCTGAGTCCGTCCCTGTTACATACGCTTCCAAACAAAACTGTCTAAAATTGTTAATATTTTTAAATCCAGCATAAAAAACTAGGCTGGAATACCAAATTTTATGTCTTTATCTCAACACGTTTCGGAAATATTGAGGAAAAACCATCTTCAGAGGAGCCCCTTTAAAAGACCGTAGCGCCCTTAGGGGACGTTTGTCGACCTATGTTTATATAAACTTTTCTTCCTATTTTAAGCTCTAGAAACCGCTGGTAGAATATTGCACACTTTTTTCGGGACACCCTGTATATACTATTGGGGAGTTAGCTATGAATGAAAACATATCTTAAATATCAATCATACTCTGCTTCATGTACTCGTGTTCTTCCATAGTGTTTTCCATAAGGTTCCGCAATATTTTGGAATGATTGCGATTTCTGTATGAATGTTGTTTTTCGAATAATATGCATTGTTTCTTGCCTTATTTAAGTTCGCTCTCGGGTCTTTGCCAAATGATGCGACCCCCATAAAACCCTGAGCCGGTGGCTACTCTTTTAAAGTGTGTGCTGTAGTTTCATCTCGAAAACATCTCAGGTTTGGATAGTTTTTTACTGTATCCAAACCTTAAATTGACGTAGCGACGCACGCTTGTAAAAAAAAATGAAAGTTCTTTTTTTAAAGGCATACCCTCTAATTGTTCTTGAACAATGTCGAAACAATTTTAAATGAAGTGTTATGCATCTAGAACCAGGGAAACCCGTGTCGAGTTGCGTTGGAACATGTCAAAACTTTATTTATACTGAAAAGCTATCCTGCCTGAATATTTCAGGTACTGACAAGCTGCTAGAATTTTATCGTCATGAATTGACCAAAGAAGATGCTAGAGACGGCTATCGAGAATTAATGGAACTTTACATCAAGGTCGATGGGTGGTCAGAGCAGTCTATTCATTAAAATAGCGTTACTAAGTTCCCAGCTCAAGCTTTCTAATAAGGATAAGACAGCTCTGTTAGATATTTGCCTGTTCATCGTGACAACATACAGTAATGGACAACAGTATATAGACAAATATGAATATTTACCTAAATACCTTTAGAAAACTCCATTGCTCCATAAACAAATGCGTTATTAGTAGAAAAAGTAATTTCCTTGTTTTTACATTATCTGCAATGAACACAATACAAGTCTATAGAAGAATATAAGCACTTTTTTATGAGGGACAAAAATATGTAGACAAATTCTTTTCAACATTAGTTTAGTACAGTTTCGTGTCAGAAGAGGATTAGTTTGTGTTCATCAAGTATTGTGGAATAAGTTGAGTGATTTTAAGACCATGCCGCGTGGTCCACAAATTTCTTTCGATGTGAAAACTTAGGCCCGTATCGTCAGTCGTCCCTACAATTGTAAGGCGCCTTTATGGCCTCCTTGATTGTCATAGTTTTCTACTTCTTCCTGTCAGAACTCTATTTTGAGGTTATGTCACAAACATCTATTTGCATCAAATTGTGCTTGCTTTTGAGTTATATCATGTTTTATCAGCCTGAAATTTCCTACAATTTAAAAAGAAAACATATCTGCACAATAGGAGAGCGCTGACGCTGACACAGGACAAGTGTAATCTAGAAATTTTTGAAGGAGAGGCAGGAGTATGACAATCAAGGAGGCCATAAGCGCGCCCTACAATTGTAGCAACAATTTGGAAGCTGAAGCGTAAAGCAGTTTGGGCAATATTGAACAAATATAAACAAAAAGGTATCTTGGAAGCCTCTAAGAGAAGTGGTCGGCCAAGAAAACTAAATGCTAGATCAGTTAGATTAATAAAAGTAATTTTGTCCAAAGATCCGTTTAAAACCCAAGACAAATAAAAGCCGAAATCGAGACAAAAGGAATTGTCAGTGTTTCTACGAAAACTATAAGTAGAAGATTAAATGATTTGAAGTTATTTGCACGTCGCCCGAGTAAGAAGCCGCTAATCTCGAGGAAAAACCGTAAGGACCGATTACAATTTGCACGGTTGCATCTTGATTGGAGCATCTGTGACTGGATGAGGGTATGTTTCAGTGACGAATCCAAGTTCAGTATGTTTGGATCAGATGGTGTTCATTACGTTAGACGTCCGAGTGGACAAAGATTGAACCCCAAGAACACTTTGCCCACTGTCTAACATGGAAGCGGGTCTGTTATGGTTTGGGGTGCTTTTCGGAGTTTGGGATGGGACCTTTACATAGAATAGATGTCATTATAGATAAGTTTGTATACACAGACATGCTAAAGCATGTCATGTTACCCTATATGGAGGACAATATGCCCTTAAGATCAATTTTGACCCGAAGCACACTTCAAATCTCGCAAAGAAATTCTTTCTGGTTGAAAAAATACCAGTTCTCAAATGGCCTTCACAGTCTCCCGATATAAACCCCATTGAAAATCTATGGGAATACTTAGATAAGCAAATACGAGATAAAAATTATTCAAACAAGGATGAACTTTTTGCCGCTTTAGAGCAAAAGTGGAGACAAATTGATGAATCTTATATCAAGAAACTTCTACAATTTCTGCCGAGACGATGCCAGGCGGTGATTGATAATAATGGTTATCGTACAAAATATTAACTCAAACATGATTAGTTTTCTATAATTCAACGAACTTTGCTTCTTTTTTCTATAATTGTTTTGCTTTGTCTATATATTTTTGTCCTTCATAGTTCCAGTTTTTTTCAATTAATTTTTTATTGAAGGGAGCCTAATGAATTTATTTATGTATAAGTGAGTATTATGCTATAACGAATAATGTATCCAGGTTGGTGTATTAATAAAACAAGTTAAAAAATAAATACAGCACAATATTAATTTGTCTATATACTTTTGTCCATTACTGTACGTGAAATCGTAGAAGCAACTAACCAGGATTTATGTTTTTTAAAGACAGTGAAGGCTTACGAAAGAATATATAAAACCATTTTAAAAGCAGCGTTACAAAAGTTCTGCCAACATTTATAGTATTTGACAGATGAGGTCTCTGTCATCTCTGTTTGACGTCGACGCAGATGAGGAAACTAAAGTATATAATTGTTGCTAATTTAGCCAAAGAAAGCCCATCAGCCCACTGTAAATGCTACGTCCTTCGAAAGAACTTTCTGGCCCACTTTATGGTAAATCTGACGAATACACTTTCCTTTGTCTTCTTTTACTGCTTCGATATAATATGCTAATTGTTAAAATAAGCCAGCAGATGCCACCTTATACTGTCTTGTTTCGATGGATCTTATACCTCATATAGAGGTTAGTTGTTATGCTTTCGTTCGTTGTCCTGACCTGACTCCAAGCCTAGACGATGCTGATAAGTTCTCAAAAAGCACAAAACATCTGTCCATGGTTGACTGTTTGGGGTCGGACGGAAAAAAAACCAGTATGTTCAGGTGGTAGCTATTCTTTGTTTTTTCATTTCAGAGAAAAATATCGATGACTTTGTTTCAATCAAAAGCAAGTCTTTGTTCCACACACGATACACACGCATTACCGATATTGTAGTACAATTAACACGGCGGCCAATTTCGCAATAATTCTACCCAAAGTCGCTAACATGCTGATAATTTGAACGTCTTTAAACTCGAGTCATTTTGTTATGCTTAACACTAGTAAATGAAAGGGCAATAACTAAAAATATCTGTACTACTCGGCTCTCAGAAACTGCTTTCCTCGCAAAAACTAAGAGATAGCATTTTAACATAGGTAAACAAAAACAAAAATAAAACGTTGATATTGTTGCCCCAGCATGCTTCAAATAGAGTCATTATGTTGCCAAAAAAAAAACAAGTTGAAGAAATTATTTTTTCTGGGTGTGACACTTCTGAACTGAATATATTATAAGATACAAATAAAGCAGTGTTTTATTTGTCGAATAAGAATTATGTTTTGAAATCCATACATGGTTTCCCTATTAGCTTTCAAATTCAAAGTTTGGTCGAAAGGTTATCTTTCCCCGTTCTCAATAATATTTATTTTTTGAGTTGTTAGAGTCAAATGAAAAAAATGAGATAGTATGCGTATCTCAATTCAAACAAAAATTTGTTTGCCCTCATAGGCTGAGGTAAATCAACAGAAACCGGACAGGAAAAATAGAATTCCACGATTTTGATTCGTTGCTTCTTCTTTATCAAATCCTATAAGTATGTGGTAAATTTTGGTCAATAGATGCGTTATGAATCATTGAAACAATAATGTTCATTTTTTCGCCACCATATATCAGTTTGTTTAAGAAGGAAAAACATTTTACAGGCGATAAATTATGAGTGTCATTTTTTATTTTGATATATTTTATAGAGACAGTCAGTATCAACCAATTTTCTAATGAGTGCTTCTTACAGGTTGTCGTTGGTGGTCTTCTAGACGTGGACTGTTCAGAAGATATAATAAAGAACTTGATCCTTGTGGTCAGAGGTCAGTTCTCAACCGATGAACTTGTAGAGGAAGTCGAGAAAAGAAACCGACTGAAACTGCTTTTGCCTTGGTTGGAGAGTAGGGTGCATGAGGGCTGTGTTGAACCTGCTACCCATAATGCGTTGGCCAAAATTTACATCGATTCTAACAACAATGCTGAACGCTTTTTGAAAGAAAACCAATGGTAAGTACACAATTTTATAGTATATTGAAACTTTGCAAGAAAAAAGAAAGTAATTCGATAAGATCATCGTTTATTAGTGATATATTTTCGACCAATGCAAAGTTGTAAAACGTATAAATTCCTCGATTGGAATCGTTCGGCAGGGTTATTACGCAAGAAACATATATAATGCCAAAAAGCCGATAAAATGTCCACTTGTTCAAATTTGGAAATGGCAAGCAATACAATACAAAATCGTTTATGACGGCCAAGTTGCACATTTAGGTAGCTAATAAAATGTTACTTGAATAGTTTGGCAATTCAGAGTATTTTTAGAGAGACAGAAAATATGAATTTACCCTGAACCGTTTTCATTTTCTTCTGGCTTAAATTGAGCTGGGATTTCAATATAAATTGCATTAACAGTGGTACAAGCCTTGTACAAGTAACGCTAGTATGTTAGTTCATTAGTATGCATGTGTGCAATTAACCTTAACGAATCGAGCTGAAATTTGATATGCATTTCTGGTTCATGTGACAATACCTAATGAATCAACTGCCGCCATGTTGGATCTAATATGACGTATGTTACATAATGGCGATTTATTATTTCCATAGTATATGATGTGAGTATCCGGATGTATGAGCATGTGTAGTTGCATATGTGCATTCATGTCGGGCGAACAAGCAGAAATATGTATTGCTCGGGTTACCTATCCCATTTTCTGCTCAAATACACTTTCCTTCTTTTTGTGGCTTGAGCCCATTATTTTTCCTATTTGATATATATATACAGTAATGGACAAAAGTTTATAGACAAATATGAATATTTACCTAAATACCTTTAGAAAACGAATTCATACTTCATTTCTCCATAAACAAATGCGTTATTCGTAGAAAAACTAAATCCCTTGTTTTTACATTATCTGCAATGAACACAATACAAGTCTGAATATAAGCACTTTTTTATGAGGGTCAAAAATATGTAGACAAATTCTTTTCGACATTAGTGTCAGAAGAGGATTAGTTTGTGTTCATCAAGTATTGTGGAATAAGTTGAGTGATTTTAAGACCATGCCGCGTGCTCCAGAAATGTCTTTCGATGTGAAAACTAAGATCATTGAGTTATACAAAGATGGTCAACATCAAGTCGAAATTGCCAAAAATTTGAAGCTGAAGCGTAAAGCAGTTTGGGCAATATTGAACAAATATAAACAAAAAGGTATCTTGGAAGCCTCTAAGAGAAGTGGTCGGCCTAGAAAACTAAATGCTAGATCAGTTAGATTAATAAAAGTAATTTCGTCCAAAGATCCGTTTAAAACCCCAAGACAAATAAATACCGAAATCCAGACAAAAGGAATTGTCAGTGTTTCTACGAAAACTATAAGTAGAAGATTAAATGAAAGAGGGTATGTTTCAGTGACGAATCCAAGTTCAATATGTCTGGATCAGATGGTGTTCATTACGTTAGACGTCCTAAGGGACAAAGATTGTACCCCAAGTACACTTTGCCCACTGTCTAACATGGAGGCGGGTCTGTTATGGTTTGGAGGTGCTTTTCGGGGTTTGGGATGGGACCTTTACATATGATAGATGGCATTATTGATGTGTTTATACACAACATACTAAAGCATGTCATGTTACCGTAGATGGAAGACAATATGCCCTTAAGATCAATCTTCCAGCAAGATAATGACCCGAAACACACTTCAAATCTCGCAAATAAATTCTTTCTGGATGAAAAAATACCAGTTCTCAAATGGCCTTCACTGTCTCCCGATATATACCCCATTGAAAATATATGGGAATACTTAGATAAGCAAATACTAGATAAAAATTATTCAAACAAGGATAAACTTTTTGCCGCTTTAGAGCAAAAGTGGAGACAGATTGATGAATCGTATATCAAGAAACTTCTACAATCTATGCCGAGGCGATGCCAGGCGGTACTTGATAATAATGGTTATGCTACAAAATATTAACCCAAACATGGTTGGTTTTCTGTAACTCAATGAACTTTGCTTCTTTTTTCTATAATTGTTTTACTTTTCTATATATTTTTGTCCTTCATACTTTCAGTTTTTTTCAATTAATTTTTTATTGAAGGGAGTCTAATGAATGTATTTATGTATAAGTGAGTAATATGCTATAGCGAATTATGTATACAGGTTGGTGTATTATATTAATAAAACAAGTTAAAAAAGAAATACAGCACGATATTAATTTGTCTATATACTTTTGCCCATTACTGTATATATATATATACCGGGTGCGCCATCTTTTATGTCGGATTGAAACCTCGAATGACTTTCATATTTACCAACGGAGTGATTTGGTTATACGTGTTTCTGAAACGTCTATTAACTACAATTTTAGTCATGAATCGCTTTACACCGAAACAGCGCACCGAAACAGTCACAATGTACATTGAAAATCGTCGTTCAGTTGTGTTAACGCAACGTGCATATCGTCGAAAATATCGTGGCAAACAGGCACCCGTCTGACAACACTATCCGTCGTTTGGTTTCGAATTTTCTTGAGTACGGGACAGTGGGAGATCGTCAACATACCGTTCACCGACGACCAAGACGTACCAATGAATTGGTTGAAGTGGTTAGAGACAGCGTTGCCCAGAACCCGAAAGTGTCGTATCGTCACCGCGCTCAGCATTTTGGCATCAGTGGAACCACGTTGCGGCGCATTTTGAAGGATGATTTGCATTTGTTGCAATTGTGATGACCGACGAGGCCCATTTCACGCTCTCTGGCGGCGTTAATAAGCAAAACTGCCGCATTTGGCGGACGGAAAATCGATATGAGATCCACGAAATGCGGATGCATGACCGGAAAGTGACTGTTTGGGCCGGCCGTTACGCCAAATCTACCATTGGACCATTTTTTTCAACGAAAACGAAACAGTCGATGGAAATCGATATCGGTGGATGTTGGCTCATTACGTCTGCCCACAAATGCGTGAAAAAGGTTGATGGTTATTGGTTTCAACAAGACGGTGCGCCATGCCACACTGCAAATGAAACAATCCAGTTTCTGCAACGAAAATTCCCGGGAAGTCTGATGTCAGAAAGAGGTGACATTGACTGGCCACCCAGGTCTCCACCTTTTACCCCACCGGTCTTCCTCTTGTGTTGTTATTTGAAAAGTTCAGTGTACGCCAGCAAGCCCCAGACTACTGAAGAACTCAAGGCAAACATTCGTACCTCAATCGTCGCTATACCACCAGAGATGCTCGAAAAAGTAATGGAAAACGCAGCAAAACGGGCACATTTTGTGTTGGAAAATAAAGGTACCCACTTGATAGATGTTGTGTTCAAAACTAGCCCCAATAAATTGTAAAGGACCATATTTAATAAAAATACCCTATATATAGAAATCAGTTTTTCGTTTTCAAAGTTATTTCATGTTTACATACCGACATAAAATATGGCGCACCCCATATATATATTATATTTTTTTTCTTAGTCTAAAAAAAATCTTATTTGTAGGTACGATTCACGTGTAGTAGGTCGTTATTGTGAGAAGCGCGACCCGCATTTGGCTTGCGTGGCGTACGAAAGAGGCCAATGTGACAGAGAGTTGATTGCAGTGTGCAATGAAAATTCGCTGTTCAAATCGGAAGCTCGGTATTTGGTGCGCAGGCGAGATCCAGAACTTTGGGCTGAGGTCCTCCAGGAGTCAAACCCATACAGGTACGGAAGTTAGCTGCTTTCATTATTTTGGGTAAAGCTTATATGATTGCTTATGTTTTTATCTAAAGCTTTGTAGTACAACGCGATCGCAAAACCTTCACATTACCTATAGAAGTTTGTAGCCTATGCTCAAATAACTTATTGTTTTCAGACGTCAACTGATAGACCAAGTAGTGCAAACAGCCCTAAGTGAGACCCAAGATCCAGAAGATATTTCTGTAACTGTAAAAGCTTTCATGACAGCAGATCTGCCAAACGAACTGATTGAATTGCTGGAGAAAATAATGCTAGACAATACAGTATTTTCTGACCATAGGAATTTGCAGAACCTGCTTATTTTGACAGGTAAACTTCATGTACACCAAGCACACCACTCCATTTTTCTATTAACACATCTGGGATAATCCAGACTTAAAGTCATATACATAATTGTTTTTTTCAGCAATCAAGGCTGACGCTAGCAGGGTAATGGACTACATTAACCGTTTGGACAATTATGACGCTCCAGATATTGCAAACATTGCTATTAACAACCACCTCTATGAAGAAGCTTTTGCGATTTTCAAAAAGTTTGATGTCAACACGTCAGCTATCCAGGTGCTTATCGAACAAGTCGGTAACTTGGATCGAGCCTACGAATTTGCGGGTAAGAATATCCTATAATTACATATTACAATGTCGATTTTTTCAACTGTATATATTTTAATATATTCCTTATTTCTAGAACGCTGCAATGAGCCAGCTGTGTGGTCTCAGCTAGCAAAGGCGCAGCTTAATCAGGGCATGGTAAAAGAGGCCATCGACTCTTACATCAAAGCGGACGATCCAACTGCATATATGGAAGTTGTAGAGACTGCTTCTAAAGCTGGAAGTTGGGAGGATCTTGTTAGATATCTACAAATGGCCAGAAAGAAGACCAGGGAGAGTTACATTGAATCTGAGTTGATCTACGCTTATGCAAAGACAGGCAAGTTTCATGCCATAATTTTCAGTTAGTATGTTTTACTGTAGAAAATGTGTATCATAGGATTTTATAATATTAGCATTCGTAATGAACATGTTGAAAATTCATGTTTTTCTACCCCATTCACATATAGATTATTTTTTTGATATCTTTGTTCGCTCAAAAAACAAAAATAACTGGCGTCACATGTGATGTCTGTTCGCATGTGTACTGTACTCGAGAATGGAGACAACAGAATCTAAAATTACCAGACTTTTTCCTAAAAATAAGGCTAACTTTTATGTGTAGGTCGCCTGGCTGATTTGGAAGAATTTATCAGCGGACCGAACCATGCAGACATCCAGAAAATTGGTGACAGATGCTTTGATGACAAGATGTATGATGCAGCAAAACTGCTGTACAACAATGTCAGTAACTTTGCTAGACTAGCCATTACTTTGGTTCACCTGAAAGAGTTCCAAGGTGCAGTAGACAGCGCTAGAAAGGCTAACAGCACACGAACATGGAAAGAGGTAATTTTTCTCATATTTAATATGTTTTATCGTACTTTGTCCATTTTTTTTAGTAATAGTTTAATAATATTGGTAATTCTTTTCAAGGTATGCTTCGCTTGCGTGGATGCAGAAGAGTTCAGATTGGCTCAGATGTGTGGAATGCACATTGTAGTACATGCTGATGAGCTACAAGACCTTATCAACTACTATCAAGATAGAGGTAAATGTTTTAAAATATATATACAGGGTGTTCCATAATTATTGCGACAAAATGATAGGGGTTGTAGAGGGCATAAAAATATGCAATTTTGCCTTATAAACCCCTGTTCGTAAATATGCCTTTTGAGCACTACCGCTAATTTTACCTTAAGAGAAACAAAAAATTCAACAGCTGCAAAATGTTCGTCTAGCACATTTCATGGTCTCGCCGATTTGTAAAAAAAAGCCTGCTGTGTTTACATTTTTGTTATCGTAAATTCTCCACACCGATTCATTTAATTTATCTGAGTGGTGCGTCAAACTAGAGGCCAATCCGCGTACAAGCGTGCGTGCTATTGCACATGAAATGGGAGCGTCTCAAACTACTGCTTGGCGGGTTCTCCATGACCAGCAACTACACCCATACCACCTTTTAAAAGTCTCAAGCCATGGGTCCAGAAAACTTATCTGCTTCGTCGACGTTTTTGTCGTTGGTGGCTGCAGCAGGAGTTGAGGCAACCAAACTTTGGTCGCTACGTTTTGTTCACTGACGAGTCCTGTTTCACAAAGGACGGTTATTTTAATAGCCGTAACAGTCACATTTGGGATGAAGAAAACCCTCATGCCATAGCCATCCATAGAGACCAACATAGTTTTCAATTAACATCTGGTGCGGCATTGTGGACGAGCATATCATCGGGCCATATTTGCTTCCACCACGTTTGGATGGGCATGCTTATGGTCGATTCTTACAGCATGTGCTACCGGAACTATTAGAAAATGTGCCACTGAACATAAGAGCCAACACGTGGTTTCAACACGATGGCGCTCCAGCCCACTTTTCTTTACAAGTGCGGCAGTATTTGGACGACAAATAGGTGGATAGGCCGAGGTGGCCCTGTGCCTTGGCCTGCGCGGTCACCCGACCTGACCCCACTGGATTATTTTCTCTGGGGCCATCTGAAAGCTTTAGTGTACGAAACTACTGTTCCCAACCAACAAGAGCTACTGGGAAGAGTGATGGCCGCGTCCGCACATGTTCAGGACAAACCGGGGGTATGCCACAGAGTTCGCCGATCATTGAACAATCGTGCACAGCTGTGTATTGAGCAAGGTGGAGGACACTTTGAGCAATTACTGTAGGTAAGCTGTTTCAAGAAACTGATCTTTTTTTTTGCTGCATCCCAAACGGCATATTTCCGAACAGGGGTTTATAAGGCAAAATTGTTCATTTTGATGCCCTCAACAACCCCTATCATTTTGTCGCAATAATTATGGAACACCCTGTATAGATTTATTTTTTATTTTTCAACAGAATGTCCTTGAAACTCTACATACTTCTCCCAGTGACGGTCCGATCTCTATAACCCGTCCAAACAGTACTCGGCGTTTGACGAAAATCTGTCTCCCGAGCTCAATTTTTATTTTGGTGTATAATGTATGATGGTGTATCCAAGTTTCATCTGCTGAAATTAATAGGCGCCAAAACTCTGATTTATTGCGCCTAAACTGCGCCAAGTAGGCCTGAGATATACGACTCTTTTCTCTGAGCTCGCTCATTTCGTGCATCTCTCTTCAGTGATTCGTTCGTTCGGATTCAGAATATACATCATACTATGAAAATGAAATGAAAGGTTAGGGCTGCCGATGTTATTGTATTTATTTAAGTATTAATATTTTTGGTTGAAATTAAATGTAACGAATGTATACATTCTTCCGTAAAAAGAAGGGATAAGTGGTTCGGTTTTGGGGAATTACCGAATTCTGAATCAAAATGCAATTTTTGCTCTCAAATCCCCTCATTTCAACGTATAATTTAATGAGACATCTCAAAACAAAACAACCGGGTTCCCTAGATTGTGTCTGTTATCAGTTCGCAGTTCAGTTGCTGGTTGCTGTCATCTTCACCCTCGTATATTTGATTTGCTTGATGTCTGTCTTTTCACGTTACCTACATAAGAGATTTGACGCTATTCCGTTCTTCAAATTTAGAACAGCCAGGTTCCTTTTTTGTCATTTATCAAGTATTTGCTGTTCTCACAAAATGCGTGTTCCATCTAGTTTTAAAAAAAATTGATTTATCTTTTTGTTTTTTAAGGATATTTCGAGGAATTGATTAGTCTGCTAGAAGCTGCTCTTGGATTGGAAAGAGCTCACATGGGCATGTTTACTGAGTTGGCGATATTATACTCAAAATATAAACCAGCAAAGATGAGGGAACATCTTGAATTGTTCTGGTCTAGAGTCAATATACCTAAAGTGCTGAGAGCCGCAGAACAGGTAGGTTTTCTCCATGTGCAAAAAATACTTCAACACATTCTGTTGTGTGTTCAAGCACTCCTCTGTGTGAATCTTGTACTACTGTCAACAAAGCAGGATTTAGGAATCAGTCTAGGGGGGTTTATTTCCTGAACTTATTATTTTCTGTTTGTAATAATTCTTTTTTTGTTGAATCTGAAACTTGCTTATATATTCTATGATACCTAATACAGTAGTTATTGAAACTTTCGTGTTTTATTAATTTCAAGATGTTTTCAATCCTATTGCAATTCAGCTACTTTTTGCAAAACAAATCACTAGGATGTAGGAAGCAGAACGAGATATGCTTCTGTCACTTGATGATATGGGCTATTTTGAAAATGAATTATCAGCTGTTATTTGTTATGTTTTGACGAATTGAAATATCTTGGAAAATGGTCTAGCTTATATATATTAAAAATATTTTTTGTTTTATAGGCTCACTTATGGGCAGAACTAGTATTTCTGTACGACAAGTACGAGGAATATGACAATGCTGTCTTGGCGATGATGGCACATCCAACAGAGGCGTGGCGTGAAGGTCATTTCAAGGACATCATCACGAAGGTTGCAAACATCGAATTGTATTACAAGGCCATCCAGTTTTATCTCGACTTCAAACCACTGTTACTGAATGATCTACTCTTGGTGCTGGCGCCTAGAATGGATCACACAAGGTAAAGAAACTTCTTCAGTATTTCCTGTGATTATGATTTTTTTCCATTTGGGTCACCAACAATTCAAGTTGCATAAATGAAGCATTCAGTTGTGTTTGGTATATTTTGTCCTTGTCCCACGCAAATCTTAACAAAATGTGAGTCTCCATGAGATACAGTGAAAGCTATTATCCACAAACTTAAGTGTTTAATTTACCACGGCACTGAACCAATAGGTACATTTCATAAACTTGCTCTTGAGACCTAAATATGACATAAATAGTGACTTATAATTAAATGTTATTTAGCTTATCAGTAAATCCTGTTGAATAAAAACATTCTGCACAGATCAAATATGTTATTTGGCCGTAAAATATTTTTATTTGACGTTTCGCCAGCACGAATGGTTGGCATCTTCGGAGTCCAGTAGCTCAGAACCAAATAACATTGGATGTTGGCTGCGAAAGCCTTTCGCATTTCAGATCAAAGATGGTTTTTAACTAGGCAACTCCTCCATATTTTTTATCATCCAGATGAAAGAAGTTACATTTGACATACACAACGATTTTTATCAAGAGATTTAATCATGCTTTCCCATTTTTAGATTTTTACATACGTCCCAAGGTTGTAGCATTGTTCCAGTTTTGATGTAAACCGCTTGTTTTTGATATGAAGTTTGAAAAAAGTATTCATTTTAATTTTTAGCTTTGATTAACCTATTTTGCTATACAAAAAATTATCGTAGATTAGTGATGAAAAAATTGAAGTAATCGAGTCATTTAAATATCTTGGTATATATGTGGATAGTAAGCTACTATTTCACGAACATTATGAATACATTATTTCAAAAATATAAAAGATAAATTACTCCTATAGAGTTTCCCATAATCTTACTATGTATTCCAAAAAAAATTGTGTATAACACTATGATTCTTCGCCATTTTTTATATTGTTCAACCATCTTGTTTACAGCAAATAAAGCTATGAGAATCATTTTAAATAAAAACAAATATGCCAGGATTAAGTCTATGTTAGAAGAACTGCGGTGGTTGGATGTGAAAATTTTTATATATTATATAGTTCTCGTTTTCATATTCAAATTAAAAAATAATTTATTACCACCTCATTTAGAAAACTTAACAAAATTAAATAGCCATTATCGTAACTAAGAAACTAGAGGGGCAGTATAGATTTTCATCTGCTAAGGCTCCTGCACAAGCTTGAACACCTCGGAATCAGGGGAAATTTGTTGTTATGGATTGAAGCTTTTTTGTTAGACAGATCTTTCTCCGTCCGTGTTGGAGACGCCTATTCTTCTAGTCATCGTGTTACTAGTGGAGTTCCACAAGGATCTGTGCTAGGGCCAATACTTTTTCTTCTTTACACAAGCGACCTTCCCACCCGACTTTATTCTATGTGTTCCATCTATGCAGATGATACTAAAGTCTATAACACTGTCATGAACTCATCTGTGCTTCAAGAAGACCTCAAGCTGATCAGAAAGTGGTCAGAACTCTGGCTCCTGCCTTTGAATCTATCGAAATGCTACGTTCTCCACCTGGGAAAGAATAATCCGAACTTAACATATAAGATTGGCAAACATACCTTAGAGACTGTTCTTCATCACACAGATCTTGGTCTGACAGTTAATAGCCGGCTCACCTGGTCGGAGCACATTCAGAACATAACCTCTAAGGCAAAGCGGTTGCTATATATGATGGAAAGGTCATTTAGCGGTTGCACCGTTAGTACCTCCTCCTTTTTGTACACAACTTTCGTACGACCCCTACTGGAGTTTGCTGGTCCGGTATGGGATTCAAACCTTGTTCGCGATAGCAGCTTATTAGAGGCCGTTCAGCGTCGTGCTACACGTATGCCATATGGCACACGTAGGCCAAGTTATGAAGACCGCCTCGAGCTATATAACCTGCCTGCTTTTGCTGATAGAAGAGTACGAGGAGATCTCATCATCACTTTCAGAGCACTGCATAATTTGTTTGGTGTGGACATGTCGCATCTGTTTCGTCTGGCAACGAACAGTCTCAGAGGCCATAACTTCAAATTGCAGAAGGAAGCTTTTAGAACCTCTACTCGTCAGCGCTTCATCTCAAACCGTGTCTTCGATGCATGGAACAGTCTTCCATCTTATGTAGTGAACTCGGAATCCGTCAACAGTTTCAAAAACAATTACGATAGACACCGCAGTGCTTAACATATTGTTCCCATTCTGTATATGTCTACTTCAGAAGTGCTAAGATTGTCAAATTGTTATATTTCTTTTGTCTGTACACTATTATCTATTTTTGTGTTTGAGTTTATAGTACTTGTACTCAACTCAAATTTGTTGTTTAATAATAATAATAATAATAATAATAATAAATTGTAATAATAGCGTAACTAGTAAATCTATATTTCAAAAGGTAGTATTTGAATTTAAAAAATTGAATGACATTAAATAGAGTTCGAATTTAAAAATGTTTAAGGTGAAATTAAAAAATCACTTTATGAATAATCAAAATTCATAGTGACGTAATTTTAATAGACAAGAATGTAAAATTACAGAAAATGGATTGAAGAAAAATATGTAACCAAATCATTATACAAAATTGACATTGTAGCACTAATGCTAAATAAATCTTCAACAACAACAACAAATGAAATATCCTGGTGTCATCTGTGAGAATTTGTCACAGCTATGTTCTTCCACTCAGCAACTATCAGATATTTACTTTGAAGACACTAAACTTTTCAAAGCAGATTAATCATTATTGCAGAGAGATGAGACAAATTCTTATAGATTACTCCCCATCTTTGTCTGACCAATGAAACCACATGTATTTAAAATTCTTTAATGTATAGGTTTCACTCACAACAGTGACCTTCTTTAGTACATGAACCTTGTGACTGAAACATATACATTAAAGAAGAATTTTAAATACATATGGTTTCATTGGCCTGACAAACATGGGGGATTATTGACATGAAAACCACAGGATAAGTTTCCAATGTTATATTATCTCATTTCACCTCTGATAATTTTTTGGATGCTGAAATACAATACATGGGTGGCTATCTTCAGGAATAATACGTTAATCAGTGCTTTAACACAGGTCCCAGAGATGTAGTAACTGTCGCAAAAGCTACTTACAATTGGGATGCTGTAAGATAAATGACTGTATACTTTATTCGCTAACTTATTACATGGTTAGCGAATTATACCTGCAGCTACATACATTTTCAGTTTATACAAAATACATATATTATATAACTGATCACATTGTTATGTGAGAAGCACAAAATTGACTTTCTCGATGTTACTTTTCTAATGCAATACTTCGTGGTTTTTGCTTAGTTAATTAGTGTATTTGTTTCATGATTTCAGGGCAGTTCAGTTTTTCACGAAAACAGGGCATTTACAACTAGTCAAGCCGTACCTGCGTTCTGTACAGAATTTGAACAACAAAGCCATCAATGAAGCACTGAACTCGTTGCTTATTGAGGAAGAAGATTTCCAGGTAATTTTTTTTATTAACATATCAGGTATGATTTTAAAGACCTGGTAAACTTTATAAATATCAAGTTGTGATTGACATTCAATATTCAGACACCATTGTATACTGTTCCCTACAATACAATATCAATTATACAGGGTGACTTTGAAGTTGAGTCATTAATTTTCAGATAATGATTGTAGAAGGAAGATAAACCAAAATATGTGTGTAAAAATAAAAAAAAATGTTTACCTTGTTTTATAAAGTATCCTCCCGACAAGTATTTCAGTGCGGACCTGTATTTGATCGTGAGGTCTTGGAGCACCTGTGAGGTCATAAGTCACCTGATTCACGAGCCCGTTGTACTACATTAACAAAGGAACGAGGGGTTGGTTGCACTCGATTGGGAAACCGATCCGCATAAACATGTGCCATTTTTTATTTCGTTTGAGCCACGCAACAGACACCACTATTCACTCACGCGTTAGCGACTGACACAGACTGAATAAAAACATCGTGATCAGCATTTCAAATTCTTTCGCTTTTTTGTTTCCGATGCGATGAACTGATAAGGCGGATTATATCCGTTGTTGCCAAACACGAGCACATAATATTATTATTGAGACAGGGCGGTACTCAAACTTCTAAAGGGCTATAACTTTGTTACTTTAATTTTACCACAAAAATGTTAAAGGAAAAAAACATTTCTTTTGATTAGATCCACTCACTGTTAAAATAAATGACTCAACTATATAAGGCAAGTATAAGGCCAGTTGTTCTTTAACTACTTTTAAATGGCGATGGAGTTAATTTTTGGCATGCAACCATTTATTTTAATTCCTTATTTATCCACGGAAAATATCAAGGATTTGAGATGCTGCATCATTATTAGATGTAATTCGTTGAAAACCTGTGGTGTTTATAAAATAGCTCAACATTTTTTAACAAACTTTACACACGTAATTTTTGCAAAAAATGTATCACGAGATAGAAAAGTAGCATTGCCAGCTATAAAAGCCCAGTCGTTTTTTAACTACTTCTAGACAGGGATTGAGTTAATTTTAGCATGCAACCATTTATCTGAGTTGATAAGTTTATTTACAGAAAATATCCAGGATTTGAATTGCTGCATCACTATTCGATGTAACGCGGTTTCCTTCGCTGCGCCTTGCAACTTCCAGCTCCTTTTCTGAAATCATTAAAGAGAGATGTTTTCATCTTTCAGCATTTTATACAAGATCTGTCGCAAAGTAAACAGGACAAAGAAAAAATGATAAAAAATATTTTTGTTTCGGAAAATCGAAATTATTTTATTCAAAATATACTAAGTGACATATAAATCCGAACACCCAGTTTAAATGGTTTTATTTTAATACAAGTTGGTGAATGTATTTATCTTACTGTAAATAACAAGTGAACAAATTTTCAGCCTTATCAGTTGGGCATTCCGGTTTTTATACTGCTTTTTTTTAATTCACTAACGCTCTAAAAATGAATATTTCAGCCGCAGTGAAGAATCAACGTTGGCGGATTTTGGTTCTTGACATCCTTTACGATCGGTTACGATGCCTAGAGTACGGAGACCTGTACGATTTCGTCAACTGAGTGAGTTTGATAGGGGCCGTATAGTGGGACCTCGGGAAGCTGGACTTTCTTTTCGGGCAATTGCAGTTAGAGTGCAAAGAAGTGTAGACACTGTGGTTAGGTGTTGTCAGGCATGGCTTCGAGAAGGCCGTACGCAAGGAGTAAGAGGCACTGGACGCCGCCGTAGAACAACAGACCGTGAAGATCGCCGCCTAAGATTATTGGCCTTAAGGGACCGTTTCTCCACTACCAGGTCCATTGCAAATGAATGGTTTGCAGAACACGGAAGACCTATTGGCATGCGAAGTGTTTACCGACGAATGAGAAGTTTTGGCTTGTTTTCATACCGGCCACACTGGGTCCTCCCTTTAACTCGAGAACACCGACGTAATCGCCTTGAGTGGTGCAGACAACGGTCACTCTGGGATCAGGAATGGAACAGTATTGTCTTTAGTGACGAGTCTCGATTTTGTTTAGGCATGCACGATGGTCGTGCCGGGGTTAGAAGGCGACGTGATGAAAGGAGGAATCCACGCCAGGTCACCTTTAATCTTCATCAGAGGTAACATGAACGCGCAGCGTTATATCCACGAAGTTCTAGAACCCCATCTTTTCCCCTATCTTGACACCCTGGCAGATCCAACTTTCCAACAAGATAATGCCCGACCACATGTTGCAAGAGTCACAATAGACTTCTTTCAACAGAATGATGTCACATTGTTACCATGGCCACCAAGATCTCCCGACTGATCCCCAATTGAGCACGTGTGGGATATGATGTGTAGGAGATTGCTCAATTTGCAACGTCCCCCTCAGACTCTAGAAGCACTTCGAGAGGAGTTGGTGGTTGCCTGGAAAGAGATACCACAGGAGGACATTGACCACCTGATCAGAAGCATGCTTAGGCGCGTTGGAGAATGCGTAGCACATCAGGGTGCATCCACACATTATTAAAGGTCAAAGGGCTTTAAAGCAGTGCAATCATTTTGAAATTTTTATCATTTACTTATTATGCTTCATTAAGTACTTATACAAAATTTTATTAAAATAAAACCATTTAAACTGGGTGTTCGGATTTATATGTCACTTAGTATAGTCTCTTTCAGAGTTAATACAGCGATTTGCACCGGCCAAAATATTTTCGAATGACGATTTTAGCTCATTAACCTTGGTTGGGAAAAACGACAAGAAATACCTTGGAAACTACAAAAATGGTCGCCGACGCCTTTTGGATGACTTCTACGTCGGCATACCGCTGTCGCTTCATTGCCAAATGTAATTTACTGAACAGTAAATAGTCACACGGTGCCATATCAGGAGAATATGGGGTGTGGTTGATGGTTAAAATGCAATTTTTTGTCAAAAAATTGGACACAAGCGTCGTTCGATGAGATGATACATTATTGTGCAACAAGGACCAGCTTCCTTCTTCGCGATATTCAGGACGAGTACGCGACCGCAAACGCCGTCTCTTAACACCAAGATAAAACACAGCATTCACCGTTTGACCTAGTGGAACGAATTATTTGTGAATAGTAGAAACAAATTCATATTGACTTTGGACTTTTCCATTCGGCACTGACGCTTGGCTTCGGAATCGTATTGAAAACATCACTATCATGACCAATCACAATCTCCTACCGAAAGTTTTTGTCTTTTTTGGCCTTTTTAATGATGTCTCTCGAAGCCTATTTTTTGGTCATCCGTGAGCTTGTGCGGAACAAACCGTGAACACACCTTCCTCATGCCCTAATTCTTGGTCAAAATGCGATGGATTGAACCTTTAGAGATATTTAATTCCATTTCTATGTATCTCCATGGAGATTTTGGATCATTTTTGATAAATTCACGCACTTTTTTGACGGTTTCTAGATTAATTACAAATTTTGGCTAGCCAACACGCTTGTCGTCTTCCAGCGTCTCACGATCCTCTTTGATCCTTGTAAACCACTCGTGGACTCCGCTACGAGATAAATAATCATCTTAATTTACTTGCATTAACATCTGATGCGTTTCGGTAAATGTTTTACCAAGTTTAACACAGAACTTAATATTGGCTCTTTGTTCGATGCTAAAAAGAGACTGTTACTTTGAGCTCGATAACTCCGCGTGAAGTGGTCCGATTGTCATCAAATTTTGACAGGGCATCAATAACAGATGTACCTATCCGATAATAGATGGCGCTACTTGTATCTGATATCTTTCAACAGTCCTGTTTACTTTGCGACAGACCTTGTATATTTCGTATCTGAGTATAAATCTCAACGACAATATTTTTTTTCAGGGTTTGAGAACGTCAATCGATGCGTTCGATAACTTCGACAACATCGGTTTGGCGCAGCGGCTGGAGAAGCACGAGCTGACCGAGTTCCGCAGGATCGCAGCCTATCTGTACAAAGGCAACAACAGGTGGAAGCAGAGCGTAGAATTGTGCAAGAAAGACAGGTTGTTCAGAGACGCGATGGAGTATACGGCGGAGTCGAGGAATCAAGAGTTGGCGGAGGAGTTGCTCGCGTGGTTCTTGGAGAGAAACGCGTACGATTGCTTTGCTGCTTGTTTGTATCAGGTAGGAATTCAATACATGCTGACCAAATTCGCTACTAATATTGCACTGACAGTTACACACATCTCACAGCGGTTCTTCGTACAAACATCTCTGTATAGTTTTGGCCAAAAACATTGAAAAAATCCTACTAAATATAATAGCTGGAAAATCGACCTATTATTTCTATAATTTTCATTGGTCCATTTAAATAACTGACCGTTTTTTGTGAAATGATGAAAATTTGAAATTCTATGAAAGTTATCCTCATTCTAAAGCACAAAGACAAAATATTACATCTGTAATGTGCCCATATTTATAAGGCAACCGTTTTTTCACGACTTATTCAACATTTCAATAGAAATCACTGATATTCAGATAGCTTTCACAGCTTCCGTCAAAATGAATTTCGATAAGGTCTTTTCCTGTTGGTCCAACTGACCGTCAAATGATTAATATTGGTGAAATTGGCCCTAAAGCTGTAAAATTAATAATATCCGAAAAACGTTCAATTTACAATGAACAAGTGTTGACTGGATCACAACTTTTTCAGTGTTTTTTTTCTCATTCCTCCTTGACAATTTGCTGATGCTTTTTTAAGTCAAATGACAATAAAGATATTTATTTTTTATTTATTTATTTATCTGATTGGACCGCATTTTTTACCTCCGAGATTCAATGGTTAAGAGTATCGCCATTTTTATGGAATTCATTTTACCTGAACCACTAGAAAATGTCTTGCTCGAAGTAAGAGGAGCAATATGGTTTATGCATTATGGGGCCCCATCTCACTTCAGCATATATATAAAAACAAACAAGATTCCAAATGCATATATATATATATATATATATATATATATAAATATATAAAATAAGTTATGATATAGGGATACAAAATATAAGATAATTTCAATTATTTATGACTTGTTCCGAAGCAGTCAAGGCAAAAGTGGGGATTTCCTTCACAACTGTCACAATATGTAGTAACTTTTGGAATTTATTATTTTATTATTAATTATTTTTGGGTATTTCACCCCTTATTTTTTTACTATAGCATCCTTTACAAAACCGTCTAACTTCATGTGATTTTCCTTCTTTTTTTCAGTACATGTCGTTCCCGTCTTGTGTCAGCTTTTGACGTACACGGTGGATTAGACACATTATTTGTTGGGAACATGACTGGCCTGATGGACATTTTTCTAACATTTTGTTTGGCGTTTAGTAGTAATTATCATGCAGTGAATACGTGAACCTTCAAATGTGTTTTCTTTCAGTGCTATGACCTGTTGAGGCCAGACGTGATCTTAGAGCTATCATGGAAACACAATATAACAGACTTTGCGATGCCATATTTCATCCAAGTCACAAGGGAATTGACCACCAAAGTGGAGAAACTAGAACTGGCTGATGCGCAACGTCAAAGTGAAGCCGCCGAAGAACCCAAGCCTATGATGATACCAGAACCACAGCTAATGCTTACAGCAGGACCTGGAATGGGTATGTGTATTTTCTCTTGACACAGAAAATATATTTTTCCACAGCTGCAGGAAAAGTTGGATTTATTAGCCACATCAAGTTGCGTGTGTCGTAGACCGATTGTGAATGACAGCAAGAAAATAACAGGAATACTCGCTAGATATGAATTTCATATCTGTTTTTGAGACCACCACGTGTTCCCACCGTAACCTGGATTAGAGGCATACGGGCCACCAAAAGGACCCGGCGCATAGGCCACTTAAACGGGCTCAAGCCTTGCCATTGTAGCTAACTTGAGTATGGCCTTGAGTCCAAACTCCTCAACGTTCTAGGGGTCCAAAGTGATGGACCCCACTATAGTCTGTCTGTCAGAGCCTCACAGCGACACAGAACGTGCGCCCAGGTATCTTCCTCTACTCGGTAGCGCTCATACAAGGGATCCCCATCCACCCCCATCACGTGCAGGCAGCGCCTTAACGTGTTATGGCCAGACAACAGTCGCACCAGCAACTTTAGGTTGGCTCTATTCAAAGATAAGCAAAAACGTCCATCCTTAGCGCTGGGCCCTACAATAAGTTCCCGTATCTGCGGCGTGCCCACACTATCGATACCGGATGCCTCGCTTAGTGCCTTAATTGCAGCCTGGCTGTCGGAGATTGTTATTCTTCTCATAGCCCCCCCACCAAAATGCGGGATACACAAGCAAGACTCGCAAAGATTTTCACCTGGAAAATAGTGGTTTATCCACCAAGAGGCAGAGATAGCCTAGTTCTATACCCAAAGACTCCGACGCCAGAGCCCTATTTCCAATGTCTTAAGCACAAAAGGTGAAAGGGTATTCGGACGAAAATCCTTCGGGCCAGAGTATCTAGCTCTGTCCGGTTTAGGAATAAATACCACTTTAGCCTGCTGCCAGCTTCTAGGTGTGAAGCCCGTGGCCACACATGCTCGACACACCTTCAACAGGTAAGGAATAACAGAAACCCGCCCGTGCTGTAACATGGCCGGAAATACGCCGTCCAGACCCGGACTTTTGTATGGAGCAAACGAATGGATCGCCCATACCATCCTTTCGAGTTAACAATCTCCCTTGCTATGCGCCAGTCCTCCCCTGAGGGCCTGCGCAATGGTATGCACTCTGTGATTGATTGCGCTACTTTGGAACCGTTAAAGTATCCATCAGAAGTCTCAGAGTACCTTTCTTAGAAGTAGTATTATCTCCCAAGGGATCAGACGGAGATCCCTATCTTGCTTTAGTATCTTTGCATAGGATTCTGTGCATTCTAGCTGTAGCAGGAAAGTGATTAATGGACTGAAAGAAGTTCGTCCAGCATATTCTGGAGGTCCTTCTAATCTCCTTTTTGTATTGCTGCAAAGTCTTCTTCTGGTCTTCCTATTGGGGAGAGCATCTCCTGTGCCTAACTCTATAATAATAATAATGTCTTTTTTCCCACAAAAGAAAATACAAAACAAGTTGCAAAACCAGTTTTATATGAACATATAGTGGGAGGGGCGAAGTTCGGCATATCCGCTCTTCCACCTAACCCCTGGTTTTAGGTTTACATCATAATAAGATAAGCATATATATAAATATATAAATGAGATAAAAAATATATGTATGTATAAGCAGTATCAGAGAATGGACCCTAGCGGCTAATTTGATAAATGGTACTATAAAAATACATAATGACTCCAAAGTCATACCATGCAATTACCTGCAATGTAATAGCGTATACGTTTTTTAAACAAATCAATAGAAAGAGAAGTATACTCTCGCGGGATATTATTATAAAGTTTACTGATATTATACGAAAAAGATCTTTCGAATAAGGTGGTAGAATGAAAAGGCGGTGACAGTTTTGTTTTGTTGCGGGTATTGCGATTGTGAGCTAAGTAACGGAAATGAATTTTTTCGTGTAAGTAGGATGGTAGTTTATGTATAATGATCTTATGGTACTGTACGAGGCTATGCAGCAGCCTGCGTTGCTTCATGTTCAGCCAGCCAGCATCAGTAAGCTTTGATGAAACAGAATCGTATTTTCTTGAACCAAAAATAAGTCTCAGACAAGAATTTTGCACGCGTTGTATTTTATCAGAGGTGAATTTAGTTAGACATTTGTCATAGACAACATCCCAGAAGTTAAAATGCGACAGAACAGGAGAATGACTTTAGTTTTTTTGTTCATGTAAGATTTTTGACCGTATATCGTCTTTAAAATTACAATACGCCCTTCTGGAGCACTTGTTAACATGATCCTCAAACCTCAAGTTTTTGTCAAGGTATAAGCCTAAATTACGCGCTATCGAGGTTATTTCTAATGTATTGTTATCGATGTTTATTTTCACCAGAGGTTCACAATGGTCTCTCCAATTTTTCGGCTCGAATAACATGACTGTACTTTTAGCCGGATTCAAGTCTAAGCATATGTTTCGAGACGCTTTAGTGAAACGGTCAAGGTCTTTATTTATCAGATCAACAGCAGGCAATGTTTGAGCTGGAGGAAATGATAAGTACACTTGTGTATCATCTGCATAAAAATGAGCTTTACAAGAGTGAAGACTGAAGTATAGATTAGAGGTATAAAGAATGAACATTAGCGGACCCAGAATAGAGCTATGAGGAACACCAATGGTCACTTTCAATGGCGTGGAGTACTTATCATTCAGCATTACCTGCTGTTGACGATCGCTGAAGTAGCTACGCATTAGAGACTCGGCCGAGTAGGTCATGATGTATCCTGTCAAATGCCTTCGTATAATCTAAGAGCACCAAGGCAGTGAGGTTATCTTTGTCAGCACTGTATCCATCCACCACTCCCAGCAATGCTGTTGCACGGCTATGCGCCGGACGGAACCCTGATTGTGTATCTATAATGAGGTTATTCGTTCTTAAGTGTTCTCTTATCTGAATATCCATTATTGATTCAAGCAATTTAGACAATGTTGGCAATATACTAATATTACGCAAATCCTTGAGCTCAGATGGGTGAGCAACTTTAGGCAAAGGCACAATCAAAGCGTGTTTCCAGCAGAAAACAAAATAGCAACGCAATATGCATTCATTAGAGATATGTGTAATGAAAGGAATAATTTTGGGGCAGCAATACAACAGCATTTCGATATTTATCAAATCAGCACCAAATGCTTTGGTTTTGTGGCCAAACAAAGTATCTTTGACCTGATCTGTGGACGCCAAAGCGAATTCAAAGAGGGATACATTAGGTTTGACATTATTCTTATAAAAAGAAAGTGTATCAGCATCAGGTTCTATACCTGCACTAGATAAAGACTTAAAGTTCCGGTTCATTTCGTCACATCAGCTAAATCTACTGGAATAGATGACCTGGCTGTCTTATTGCCAAAGTTCATAGCTTCCAAATCATTTCATAGAGTCTTATAGTTCGTACTGCTAATTTTATGTTCCAAATGAATCCTTTTAGCATTATCAGTTGCTAATTTTACTATATTTCGTAACTTCTTGTATTCCTCCCATTTCTGATCACACCTTGATCTTCTATAGGCAGTGAATTTTCTCATCTCTAAGCTTCATTAGACATTCAATATTATCAGTCAGCCACGGAGCTGGTTTTTTCGTAAACCTTGCCACTCAATAGGGTGCAAATTTGTCAAATAGCTCTAAAACTAATTGATCAAATATATTTAATTTCGTATCTATATCCTGACAATGAATTATCTGCATAAAGTCTATTTCATCCAGAGCAGTCTTAAAAGATTCTTGGTTGATATTTTTGAAATCTCTGTAGCTACGTAGTACAGGTTGTTTGGTTTCTACCTCCTATTTAAGGACTATAGTTATCAAACTATTATCAGACAAATTTGGTATATTACATACATCACAAGTACTTGGAATATCATCAGAGCAAAAAAAGAGATCTAGCAACGTTTCGGAGGAGACTCCAAATCTGGTCGGCGAAGCTACTATTTGATGCAAACCAAAAGTATTCAACGAATCATCAAATAACTTTACAGCATTACTGTTTTATCGAGAAAGTCAATATTAAAATCACCAGTGCAAATCATTTTGTCATATTTCGGATATAACAAACTAAGCGAATCTTGAAACTGATTGATAAAATCATAAAAGTTACACTTAGGAGGCCGATAAACGACTCCAAAGCAAAGACTCGTCGCTTTAATTTTGAATGTAACGCACAATTGCTCAACTGAAGAGATAATGTTAATAACGCTGCATTTAATTTGGTTTGTTATATAAATCAGAACGCCGCCACCTCTGGAGTCTACTCGAGCATTCCTGAAAAGAGTATATCCATATCCAAAGATATGAGATCATTGTCTACATTTTGATTGAGCCAGGTCTCAGTTAATGCAATAATGTCCCAATCCCGGGAATTGACCACAGTGTTTTTGAAATCGACAAACTTGACTAAAAGCGATCTGATGTTTAATACTGCTATTTTAAGATTTTTGTTTTTATACATATCAGTAGATAGATTAGCCATAGTCGACTCTTTCTTTTAGGTTTTGTACATAGTTTTGGTACATTGGACAACCTCTAAAATTTGTGGCATGATCACATTGAATATTTTTTTCTTTGTTCTGTTATAGTTGCGGCAGTTTATACATTTTGAAACATCAGACTTACATTCCTTTAACATATGACTTCCCGAGCATTTTGAACATATTATTTCCGTGGATTTGCATTCTTTTGTCGAATGACCGAATGAGTGGCACTTTATACACTTCACAATATGAAGGTGATCGCTTACATGAGACTTCTTCCATCCTAAGAACACAAAGCCCTCTTGAAGCAAAGCTTTCCGCACTGCCGGTGTAACTTCAATGACTATGTTGACACTGTTGAAGTGTTTCAGCTTCGTGACAAATTTTATGTCAGTCTGCTGAATGTTTGCGAAACTATTTAAGGAAATAATATTATTTACTATGTCCTCGGGCGAATTTAAGCCCTCCAAATTTACATTTCTGACAAGCATGCGAGGATTCAGTTTCGTGGCTTGAGTGATGGAATATTTTGATCCAAGGTTGTTATTGAGACTGGTTTTGAGCGTATTAAGTGATTTATCATCTTTGCAGTGAACTGCTACACCATTCTTTATTCGTTTAGTGGAGTTGATGCAAACGTTCAGATTAGCTGGGTTAACACGTTCACTGCGAACGACGCTGATCCGCGTCCGACCGATGTTTAACGAAAGGCGGCGGGCGCGGATCCGCACTTCTGGCTGATATAAACTCACAAGACTGTGGTGTTCTGAAATTAATTAAAGAAACATCTTTAATAGGGTTTCAAGACATGTTTCGTCTTACTGCACGAAAAAAAAAACGAGATAGAAGAAGAAAATGTATATATGAAATAGTTTTCAATTACACAACGCACATCCAATAGGCTTACGACGCGAATCCGCGCTTCGCTTGTCAGGCGCCTAAAATCGTTCAGCCGCTACCGTGCGCGCGGCGCGAGGCAGGTCGCAGCGAACGTGTTAACATATGACGTGATTTCTTGGAAAATATTCTTGCTATCAGCATTTTCCACTGCACCTGCCTTGATCAGCAACACAGATGAACTAGCCGTGGATGGTTTCTTTGAAATATCGCTAAATGTGCTTGGATTTGGTGGCAATGCAATTTTTGGTGTCACATAAACATTATTTTCGTAAGACTTCAATAATGTTTTCTGTAGTTCACTGGAGTACTCCAGTTCTGACATCAATCGCTTTGTAAGCTCCATTTCCCTATTGAGACATTCAACTTCTTCTCGTAAGATACTAGTCTCAGTTTTAGATGAATCACATTTCTTATATAGGAAGCAACGGCAGTCATCACCGACCCAGAGCAGATTTTCACACTCTGATATTATTTTTATCCAGCTGTCTTTGACCGAGACACAAGAAGAGTGGAATTTAGATGCGCAAATATTACAGTTAATTGCTTTAGTACTCACTGTAAAATTATTCGCGCATTCCTTGCACAGCTCGACATCGGGTGCCATGACGAAAACATAGACCCAATGTGTGCAGTCAAAAATAGACCGTAGTGTATAACTACTTATGGAGAAATTGCAATAGATCAAAGACAACAGACGATATTCACATACCTAACTCACACGAAAATGCAGACACTACGCACTTACACGTATGCTGAAACACAAAATTATTTATTGTCTATGCTATGCTATCACAGCTCGTTTCCTATTCTCTAACTCCTTGGACCAGAAGGTTCCTTACCTTGAACTTGAGTAAAGTGCAGTTTTCCTCATATGAACCTGTCAAGTCCCTGCTCAGGGACTCCACGGTTGATTCTATATCTGAGCCCCTACAAAGGCTATATATTTCTTAAGTTGGTAGCAGCCTTACTTTTGTTTGAATTTAGGAATATTCTTTAATTTCACTAATATATCTTGAAAAAATGAAGTTGGTGTTAAAGTTTACGTATGCGGTATCTGTGTGTGCCAAAACTCTCTCGTTATTTTTAGGCACCACGGATAACTGTGTTAGTCTTGAAATATGTGCACGTGATTCGTTAAATGTGTTTCATGAGCGACTAAGTAGTAATTCGCGCTCCCACTAGATAAATGCCTGTTTCTGGCACTATGGTTTATTCATTAGCTGCATTACAAAATGTTTATTAGGAATGTTTTCTATAAAACGAAGTATTTATTCCAATAATACCTTGTTTCTGTAACCGCCAAAGCTTCACTTAAAACCGACGTGTATTTGGCCTAAATTATCTGATAAAATCATATGATGAAACGAATTTACCTGTAACTGATGTTCAATCCTAATGAGATGGTGTCTCGTCGAAGTAAATAGAATATATAATGTAGAACCCTCGTATCTGACCAAACCCACGAGTTCAAAGCTCGCACGCAGCAATGGAAAGCGGCTCACCGCGCCCTCTTACCTTCCTGGTCTCTGGCCGCCCATAAACTCTCATTTTCTTCAAAGCCAAGTTGTTGCAATGGAGGGAGCTATTAACTTTGACTTTAGGATCGAACATCACTTACAGGTAAGTTCGTTTGATCACGTAATTATGTTCCGGTCTCGTCTCGTAAATAGAATAGATAATGGTAGATGTTCAAAGAGAGTTGCATCAGCATGCTACTAACGCTGTACAATAGTAAACGATGTTTTGAACACATCTACACAGATTGTATGTGTCAACTAAATGTACATTTCCATTCTAACAACTCCGATTAGGGCTTTTAACAACAGGTAATACGACGTACACATAGGTTCACAAATTACCATTCGTTACATGTTAACAAGCAAATAACGTAATAACATAGTTATGTTTGAGGTGTGGAGACTTGGTTAACCTCAAATGCCGCTTGAGCAAAGCCCACAATGCACATCTATCGGCCAACCTTCGGTCCAGTTGTCTAATATGTTCAGCGATTCCTTGACATTGCTGAAAACTTAAAATTGACGTGTTAACCGTTTTCCAGGAATGAGAGTTTATAGGCGACCAGAAAGGAGGAAGGTAGGAGGGCGCGGTGAGCCGCTTTCCTTTGCTGCGTACGCGCTTTGAACTCGTGGGTTTGGTTAGATACGAGGGTACTACATTATCTATTCTGTTTACGAGACGAGCCCGGAAAATAAATATACGCGGTAGGCAACGTAATTATTGTAATTTTTTTGGAAAAATCGCATCGTGTTCGGCCTTAATATATTTTTTTGTTGATTCGATTTACTCACAATTCTTTTCATTTGCAGGTATTCCTCCCCAGCAGTACGTACCTCCCCAGGCGTATCCTCAAACCGCTTACGCCCCCCAGATGCCGTACCAGGCGTATCCTGGCATGTAATATAAGGCCCCTGATCTAGCCGGGTGGTCTACCGGCACACTGAAATTCTAAGCAACCTTCCACCAGCTGGTGACTTTCGGGCGATATAGTGATGTCTCTTAAGTACAATTTTCAAATATAGATGTGCGGCATGTGAACTTTGTGAGAGTTTGCTGCGCCTCACCATCAGTACTTCGGTTGGTAGCGCGGGTCTATTACAAAAGTAAAACCTTGGGCATAAGTCGTCCATCGCTTTCAAATACGTTATTATTGGATTACATGCATTGAAAGGGATCAGCAATTTAGGTATGTCAAGTTTGAGTACATGATGAACATATTCTTTTTCTATGATCTGTAAAATTGTTAGAGCCATGTGACACAACATGAAATTTGATATGAAATTCCACGTGGAATGTGGGAAACTTGAAATAATGTATGATGCTGGGTTGCCAATTGCTCAGCCAGTTGTTATACATATTATATTACACATAACATCGCTTATTGCTTTTTTGTCAGGTATATTTTTTTCGTGTCAAGAATTCCACATGTAATTTCATAGTGTGTCGTAGCGTCCTTACTGCTGATTTTCATTTAAATGACATGTTTAGCGTATGGCATTATGTCAGGTAGAACAAAATTGCCGTTCTCTGTCAAAGTTTCTTAAACTTTCAACTGTTTTAAAAATACTGGACTGGATTAATAATACGGCAAAGGTCTCCTTTAACTTTCAATCGTGGTTTGAACAAATATTTATCAAAAACCAACACATGTTATGTGGTGTATACAGAACCCCTTAACGGAAAAAGGGAAATTTTTAGCAAGGTATTTTACACTTAATTTTGTTTAGAGGGTACAGTGAGATTCGTGCTACTGATAGACAAATGATCTTAGAAGAACCTAGCAAATTACAAGCAACGTATTCCATTTGCCCGTAATGGAAAACCATTGCTCGTGATCGATATTTTGCTATATCTGTCTGGAAATTTAAGTAGATGTGCATGATATATGAAATGGATACATGTAAATTTTTACTCAAGTCTACGTGAGTATGTAGAAATAATAATTTTCAAGACTTGTTTTTTGCCTGTTCATGAATATCACGTAAAGCACTATATATGAAAAAATACAATGCTTCTATGAGATAGCATCTATAGTTTTTATTTAGCATATATTATGAATATGCTTAAAATTTCTAAACTATTTATAATCTGAGTTCTTAAAAAACTAAACCCGCACCTTATTACATAACAGGAAGATGATGGCGACGGCGATTGCCAGACGCAAAGTGACGCTCGTGATCGCCTTCTATTCTACTACGTGCTGGCTATCATTCACAGGTGCCACTAATAGAGTCCACTTATAGCTTCTATGGCCTGAGCTGTTAATTCGGTACTAAAGTGGACTCGTCTTTGGGGAATCGACAAATTATGCAAAGTGTACGCTCTTAACTTACAACTCAAGCTTTCGACAGTGTATGCTGTCATCATCAGGAGTGTGTCAGTGAGATTGGTACTAAAAAAGCTGGATTTATGAGGAACTTTTTGCAGTGTGCAGTAGTGCACTTCCTCCATAAGTCACGTTCACCGCGAGCAGACGTGGCGTCAGATACGACTAGCCAGTACCCGAAGTGAATTATGGCGATCAGATCCCCATCATAACGATTATTTTACATAATACAAAGTATCAGAAATGAATGAAAATTACTTCCCATTTTAAAGTCGTTGCCTTAAATAATAAGTTGTACATGGAATCAGAACTTTGCTTGCAGCACCTTTGCCATGCTTTACTATTAAACTTGAAGTTTTTGGTGTACCATTCGACACTATTTTTTGATGGCAAAATTGGAGTGCTTCTAGGACATCTGACAGATTACAAACTTTCATTTGCTAACACTGTTCTTGCTCATGTTCTCATATACATCTTTAGTTGAACTGATTACTATTTTTAGCTTCATTTCATTATATTAGTATTGTTTAATGGGGTTTTAATAAGGTTCCCCCCTTTGCCCCAATTGGATAAATTATGTTTGTGAACCTTAGGAGTACTGCCAGATAAAATGTAGTTTTCCAAAACTTTTGCAAACTATTGAGAAATATAACCTGCCATATTATAGCAGGAGATCGGTTACGGTTATTGTAAGTTTTTTGAATCAGTCCTTAAAATACCCTCCAAATGCGTTCCTAGAGACGAACTACTTTCTGATTGTGACTTATCGGCTGCAAAAAACTTGTCTGGACTCAAATGCTAGACTTTGAATTAGTCGTTCAATGGCCTTCGTAGTGACTGACTGACCTCTCATTCGGACTTGTTTTGAAAATGTCCTTGTTATGACCTTGAAGTGATTTTCAAAGGCTCTCACAAATACAAACTAATCCCAGACTTAAAATCAGCGGCTCAAAGGACCCTGTTTTTCTGAAAATCATATAAGTGCCATAAAAGTTGTATTTTGACAGCTTTTCGGTGACTAAGTGTCAGTCTATAGGATGTGTCTAAAAGTTTTAGTGTGCCAGTGATGGAACTGTTATCTTTTGAAATCGACAAATTAATATGTTTTAAGCCGCAAGGAGCAAATGAAAAATGATACTGCCAATGAAAGGCCAAGACAACTAGAAAATGTTAGCTTCTCAAAAGTTTACATGTATCTCATACGATGCTAGCAAAATGTTGTAATTCTGTTTCAGAATTGCCTAAATGTAGCTAATTGAACACGGGAAAATTGAACGTGAATATGTTTAAATATATATATTGTTTTGTCTGTAAGCGTACAGTTTTGTTGTTTGACATTATTAATCATAGCATAGCTATCACAGAAAATGTACATAATAGTTACTATTTCACTTGTATGGATTGTATATAATCTGAAATTGTTCTGAGATATAACCCTATCCCTCCCTTAGTAGCTTTTTTGTTAGTTAACTTTATCATTCCCTTTATTTATACTTATATAATATGTATATGCAAGATGTTTATTAGATTATATTAAAAAGTTCGCCAAAGTTTTTACTCGTCTTTTTTACATTTCGTTGGTAATTACAAATTATTTTTTTATTGAGTTATTTAAGTGATTCATTGGTGAACTTTCTGATTATATGTTTTACTAAATTAGCTATCTTTTTCTATGATAAGAACAGCAAATATAATGATTTCTTTAAGCATAATTTTGATTCATTTGTGGATACCGCCTTTGCAAAATCTAAAATTTGCTTTTACCGGACTATATCTGAAATTAAAGAAATCGAAGATACGAAGATTAGTAGATGTCAGTTTTGTGGATGGGTCGATTATAAAAATGTCTAGTGAAATTAAATGCGTATTTCACAGGTATACCGTATCTTCAAGTGGGGTAAAGGAAATACTAAAGTTTTTCAAGCCAAACGCCCGAATAGTAGCAGATGCCGTTGGGAGATTAACGATCGTCGTCCCTTGAAATTAGATGTTCAAATTTATTATGCATACATGTATTACGAAAGTCTAATACGTTGTTTGGTGTATTAGAGAAAACAGTTTGGTGAAATTAACTTCGCAAGTTTAACTGGCAAACACCTCGAACTAACGAAAATCCCGCATCCGGCAGACTCCTGCGGAGCCATCAAATTCTACATGTGAATATTTGTTATCAAGACCACAGAATCGCAAGATGGTATGGAACCACTAATCTGATCCTGCAACAGAACTGGCGGGAATAGTTACCTGCCCAACAGGTTGCAAGTACCTAAGATAAGTAACCTTAATCAAATTCAAGCGAATAACCAAATCAAAATGGTATTTACCATTTTGGATTAGTATTTACCGATCCGTTCAAGCGAGTGTGTGTTCTATCAGTTTGGTCATAAGGTCCGTGACGTCAGCAATCAGCTGTTATGTGTCATAGTTATCACCGTAAAATTGTGGTATTTACCCAACTCCGGAGTAGTTTTATATTTCTGGTTATTATTAGAAATTGTACAAGTTAGAATTTTGGCGGGTATTGGATATTTTTGTTGTACTTCAGCTTTATTTTTGGGAAACTTGATACAGGTTGACTTCAATTTTAGCATAGAGCACCTTATCAGTTATACTCATTACGTGTTGGGGACACTTTAAATCTAGTTCCTATGCTTAACTAAGTATCCTGTGTAGCCATATACCACAAGGATATTAAAATATGGTCATATAAACTCACTGGATAGTGTCCACCTGTATACTGCTTTTCTAATTTGCTAATATCTTTTTCCTATGATGTCTGGTAAATCAATAAATGTTTTCTTTGAAATACGGAAAAGTTTAAAGATTTGAAAGTTATCATAGCTACAGTCATGGCTTCACCATTAAAATTTTTGGCGTCATATCTTTTATTGTTACGACAAACTTGTTTAAAAATAAGAGAGATTTTCTCAAGTGATTAACACCCGAACAATATTTGCTGAAAAAAAACATCTCCCATTAGCACCGATTATTAAGTAATAATGAAAATAATCAGAAAATATATACGCACTTTTCTAAAATAAACAACTTTCAACAAAACCGCCTTTAAAACAAACGCGTTCAAGCGATTCGAGTAACTGACGTCATCATCTTAAATTACATTATAACCGCGGTAAATAACAGAAATTTTGGTTATTCGCTTGGATTCGATTCTTATTTCATCAAAGATGGGGAATGATGGAGCCCTCAGGGTAGTAACCTGGGACCACTTCTTTTCATAACATTTACTCAGTATGCAAAAAATTGCAAAATCCAAATTTTTGTTGATGATACTTTAATTTGTCTAAGTACCCAAAATTCTCAATCAGATACCCGATTAATGATGATTTAAATCTTGCATCAGAATGGCTAATATCTAACAAATTAAAATTGAACACAGATAAAACAAAACTATAATTAATGGAAAAAATGATATTGCAAATTTATACGTAAATATTAGGGGCAAAAACATTGATTTTGTACGTATAGATTATTTCAAATACCCTGGCATAATTGTTGATAGTACGAGGGATGTCTTTTAAGTTTTGCATATGGAATTGAAACAACATGGTAGGTAGTTTTAAATGACTTTATTGTCTTTCGACGTATTCTCCACGAAGATTAATACACATCTGCATGCGCTCGAAAAAATTTTCGAAGCACTTATTCCACTTGTTTGCTGGCAGATCCAAAACAGCATTTTTGAATGCGTCAACTGCTTCTTCTGGTGACTGGAACTTTTGACCACGCAGTCTGTCTTTAATTTTCGGGAAAGTAAAGAAATCGTTAGGACTTAGATCGGGACTATATGGGGGATAGTCCAATAATTACACATTTCTTCCGTTAAATACTGAATTGTTTTTTGGGCTGTGTGCGAGCTTGCATTGTCTTGGTGGAGGATGATTTTTCTTTCGGGGTTGATTTTTCGAAGCTCGTCGATGACTTTTCGCAAACAAATGGTGGTATACCAATCCGCAGTAACAGTTCTTTGCTCATTAAGAGGAATTGTTGCAATATGACCCGCTTTTGACATGAATGTCGCGACCACCTTTTTCGAAACACTTCGAGAACGGATGAACTGTTGGCTTTTCTTCACCTGGGAACACCTAAACAGCCGACTGTCGTTTATTTTCTGATTCATAACAGTAAATCCACGATTCATCACCACTAACAATGCTATACACATTTTTTGAGTTTCCGGAATTGAAACGGTCAAGCGTTTTTTGACACCAATTAACCCTGGTGATTTCTGTTCTTCAGTCAACAGGTGGGGTATCCAACGAAAAACTAATTTTCTTACTCCTAATTGTTCATGTAAAATTTTTTGAATTTGAGATCTCCAAGGACGCCTCAATCTCGGGATATGTCACATGTCTATCTTCAATGATGAGTTTGCGCACAGCATCGATGTTTTCCTGGGTTACTGCCGTTTTTGGTGCACCCACCCTGGAATCGTCGCTAAGACTCACCCGTCCACGTTTGAATTCTCCATATCGACGGGAACTTGTCGACTGATGTGGCGCTTCGTTGCCGAAAACAGACAGTAACTCAGCAAGGCATTCTTGTTGCGATAATTGTCTCTGAAAGTTGTAATAAATTATGGCGCGAAAATGTTCTCGGTTGAGTTCCATTTTTCTAATGACTTGGTGACACTTAAAAATTCACTGTAGTGAGAACACTGCACGTATCGTTGTGAAACTTTGAATTTAAGTTTACTAAAGAGTGAGGTTAAGATTCAGTACTGACGTACGATCCGCGCGGCCTACTATGTTTCTATATGCAAAACTTAAAAGACATCCCTCGTAGCTTAAATTCTGAACTAGATTATGAAAAAATTATCAATAGTGATAGTAGTAATCCATACAGCAAGAAATTCATAATTTAATTTTAATGCCAAATTTTTTGTATCGCGCATTTGTGTTTTACCTGCCTAATGGTTTCGTTTTCTAAAGATTTTACAAAATAAATGTATGATAATACTAAATAAAAATATATATGCTCCAATCAATCAAATGCGCGCTACGGCTCAACATTAAAAATTTGATTAAATATCTGCCATGATTTTTATTTATAAAATGAAAAATAATTTATGGCCAACATGTCTATCTGCACAACTTCTGTACATGCCGGCTATCGTTTCTATGACACCAGATACAAGCAGGATTTCCATTTAAATGCAAAAACGCAGTGTATGTACGAAATCGGTTTTCCAAGCCTAATGGATTTCAATAAACTAGATTCATATATAAAATGACAAAATAGCCTGAAAAAAAAAATAAATCAAAACTGAGGAATTCTCATGTAAGAATTGCAAATATGACGCTGCACCATATGGTTTGAATTTATTATTATTGATATACAGGGTGACTTCGAAGTTGAGTCATTTATTTTAACAGTGAGTAGATCTGATCAAAAGAAATGTTTTTTTCCTTTACCATTTTTCTGGTAAAATTAAAGTAACAAAGTTATAGCCCTTTGGAAGTTTGAGTACCGCCCTGTCTCAATAATAATATTATGTACTCCTGTTTGGCGACAACGGATATAATCCGCTGTATCGGTTCATCGCATCGGAAACAAAAAAGCGAAAGAATTTGGAACGATGTTTTTACATTTCATTCATTTGTATACAGTCAGTGTCAGTGAATAGTGGTATCTGTTGCGTGGCTCAAACGAAATAAAAAATGGCACATGTTTATGCGGATCGGTTTCCCAATCGAGTGCAACCAACCCCTCGTGCCTCTTGCCATGAACAACAAGTGATAAAATGGTCAGGTTTTTCTGTTAAGTTTTTGTGGTGGCTGCGTGTATTGTTTGGTGATAAAGAAACATTCAGTTTTCATACATTTACGGTGTCAGTTAAATGTTAAATTTCGTGTGATTGTTCAAAATGCCTAGAGTACGTAGAATTCGCCGGGTGGCCCAGCTTTGAGAGGGGTCGAATTGTCGGGTTGCGTGAAACCGGTCTATCGATAAGAGAAGTTTCTAGGAGCACCAACAGATCCTTACGCAGTATAGGGGAGACAGGGAGGAATGAGACACTACATTTATTTCCTAAAATCGGGAAGGCAGAGCCATCTGTTATCCCATGAAATAGACGTTTAACAAGAATTTTGGGTATATAGGGAGACATGAGACAGTTGTTTTCGGGAGACATGAGACGCCTCATGCCTCCCTATGTAGCGTTTTATAAAATCATCTAATCTAAAATTTCGGTTAAACATCTGAGTCACTAGATTAATAGTATTCGTGAAACAATTAAAACATGCTGATCTGATTGAGAAATAATTGGATAATACTGTTTCAGATACAATATGCCCCGTTTTTGGATTAAGAAAACGAAACGAATAGTTCCACCTTCTGACGTGATGAAAGCCGCAGTGGAAGAAGTTCTTGGAGGAGCTAAATTACGCGCAACTGCAAGGAAATATGACATAGACAAACAAACGCTGAGCAGATATGTGAAAAAAAGGAATTTGGATGCCCCTGCTGAAAACATTACTTATTCACCTGATTTTAAAACTGCGTTACCCATAAAGAAGACGCTAGTCTATCGGATTATCTAGTCCGTGCTTCGCAAATGCATCATGGTTTAACAGTTACGTGCGCACGTCAACTAGCCTTTCAATTTGCTAAGGCCAACCGTAAAAAGTATCCTATAAAATGGGATGAACAATCAATTGCTGGCTACGATTGGTATCGAGGTTTTAGACATCGCCACCACGAGTTATCGCAGAGGACTCCATAGTCAACCAGTTTGTCACGATGTACGAGTTTTAACCGCACAAATGTTACCACGTTTGGAATCTGTCCTAAAGCGCGAAAAGTTTGAATCTCATGAGATCTGGAACATTGATGAGACAGGGCCTACAACTGTACACAAACCAGCCAAAGTCCTGGCAGCGAAGGGTGTTAAACAAGTTGGGAACGTCATGTCTGCTGAACGTGGCACATTAGTAACTTCCTGTTGTGGTATTAGTGCTGAAGGGAGATTCGTCCCGCCGTTTTTCGTCTTTCCAGGAGCACATTTTAAGGAGTATATGTTACGTGGCGCTGTTCCAGGAAGTGTTGGAGTTGCTAATTCCAGTGGATGGATGTCTTCCGAAAACTTTGTTGTTTTCCTGGATCACCTCATAAAGCATAGTGGTTGTTCCATGGAAAACAAAGTATTGCTACTAATGGATAAGCATGAGAGCCATATTTCCGTTGATCCCCTGAGGAAAGCAAAAGAAAATGCTCATTTTTCCACCTCACTGCAGCCATAAAATGCAGCCCTTGGACGTATCGATTTATATACTTCCCCTTTAAAATATACTATGATTCGCAGTGTGCATCCTGGATGGTTTCCAATCCAGGCCAAACCTTGTCCCTTTACAATATTGCTGTTTTAGCTAGTCTAGCGTTCGAATTAGCTTTCACACCAAATATTCAAGACGACGCCTCAATGTCAAAAGCCCACGTGCAAGATCGCACACTAGGCAAAATTTTGTTAGTCCAGAAATTTTGCGACCGCTTCCGAAGGCAGGCCCACGAAAATGGATTACAAAACGAAAGTGTGGTTCCACAAGAATTCTCTACCGATACACCAGAAAAAGAAGCAATAGAGGCTGAAGCAACTGCTCGGAAGATAAAAATGTCCTTTCGTTGAAGCATGACGATCTTTTTTCAACAAGCAACAAACAAAAATCTTCACAGAAATCTGCAACACCACCACAGTCTTCTTCAAGTGATGAAGAGGAACAAAGCGAGTTGGGCGGAAGCAGCGAAGATATTTCAGATGTTGAAAGCTACTAAAGACAAATGCTTCAGATTAAAGCTCATGAGGGTGTCAAGACCCTCCAAGTAGGAGACTTCGTTTTGGTTAAGTTTTACACAAAGACTTCAACTATGCATTATGTGTCACGGAACCACCTGGTAATTTGTTTATCCACCAGTGGAAGATATTTCTTCAGTCCGAGAACAAAATATAGTTTTGAAATTATCGTTTCCAAAAAATGTGGGTGGAACAGAAAGAGTTAAATGTACTATGACATTTGGTCTGGACTTCCGTTATTATCAAAATGTCCGTTGATTTTCTTTATTATTGTGTCATTATTTTTTTTTCAATCATTAATAGACAGTTTTCGTTGTTGATTAATAATTAATAAACTTCTTGAGTTGTAAATTTTCTTAATTTTTTATTTCTTCAACAATTAACAAACGTTTCTCAAAAGCTTACAATGTCTCAGTGCTCCCTATAGCTTGTCTCAATGCTCTCTTACCTAGGGAGCCTTAAGACAATTTACACCATTTGGTTGAAATATACTAAGTGACATATAAATCCGAATACCCAGTTTAAATGGTTTTATTTTAATAAAAGTTGGTGAATGTATTTATCCTACTGTAAATAACAAGTGAACAAATTTTCAGCCTTATCAGTTGGACATTCCGGTTTTTATACTGCTTTTTTTTTTTAATTCACTAACGCTCTAAAAGGGGACCTCGGTTGGCCGCGTGGGTCAGAGTGTCGTGCTACTGATCAGCCGGTCGGCCGGGCCGCGAGTTCGAATCTCGCCTTGGCCATGGATGTTGTGACGTCGTGTGTTTGTCCATAATTAGAAATGTAAAATATAACAACCTAGCTTCTGGCTGCATGGATTAGGTCCTAAAGCCAAAAAAAAAAAAACGCTCTAAAAATGAATATTTCAGCCGCAGTAAAGAATCAACGTTGGCGGATTTTGGTTCTTGACATCCTTTACGATCGGTTACGATGCCAAGAGTACGGAGACCTGTACGATTTCGTCAACTTAGTGAGTTTGATAGGGGCCGTATAGTGGGACTTCGGGAAGCTGGACTTTCTTTTCGGGCAATTGCAGTTAGAGTGCAAAGAAGTGTAAACACTGTGGTTAGGTGTTGTCAGGCATGGCTTCGAGAAGGCCGTACGCAAAGAGCAAGGGGCACTGGACGCCGCCGTAGAACAACAGACCGTGAAGATCGCCGCCCAAGATTATTGGCCTTAAGGGACCGTTTCTCCACTACCAGGTCCATTGCAGAACACGGAAGACCTATTGGCATGCGAAGTGTTTACCGACGAATGAGAAGTTTTGGCTTGTTTTCATACCGGCCACACTGGGTCCTCCCTTTAACTCGAGAACACCGACGTAATCGCCTTGAGTGGTGCAGACAATGGTCACTCTGGGATCAGGAATGGAACAGTATTGTCTTTAGTGACGAGTCTCGATTTTGTTTAGGCATGCACGATGGTCGTGCCGGGGTTAGAAGGCGACGTGATGAAAGGAGGAATCCACAGTTTTTTGTTGAAAGACATGTTCATCACACTGTTGGAGTTATTGTTTGGGGTGCTATAGCTTATGGTTCCAGGTCACCTTTAATCTTCATCAGAGGTTACATGAACGCGCAGCGTTATATCCACGAAGTTCTAGAACCCCATCTTTTACCCTATCTTGACACCCTGACAGATCCAACTTTCCAACAAGATAATGCCCGACCACATGTTGCAAGAGTCACAATAGACTTCTTTCAACATAATGATGTCACATTGTTACCATGGCCACCAAGATCTCCCGACTTATCCCCAATTGAGCACGTGTGGGATATGATGGTAGGAGATTGCTCAATTTGCAACGTCCTCCTCAGACTCTAGAAGCACTTCGAGAGGAGTTGGTGGTTGCCTGGAATGAGATACCACAGGAGGACATTGACCACCTGATCAGAAGCATGCCTAGGCGCGTTGGAGAATGCGTAGCACATCAGGGTGCATCCACACATTATTAAAGGTCAAAGGGCTTTAAAGCATTTTTAAATTTTTATCATTTACTTATTATGCTTCATTAAGTACTTATACAAAATTTTATTAAAATAAAACCATTTAAACTGGGTGTTCGGATTTATATGTCACTTAACTGAATAATTTGGAAGCATGAAAAGTTATGGCAAGTTTAGCTAAATCGCACACAATTCACTTGCCCTATATGTAATCTTTGAATTGCAAATTGTATAATGTGTGCGAAATAAAATTCATTTTTTGTCTCAAGTCTCCCTAGTCTCCCCTACTGCAGTTTGGCCTTGTTTCTTATCGCCCACATTGGGTGCTACCTCTCACAGCTTTGGTGTAGCGAAAGAATTCTTTGGCACCGGTAATGGAATGCATTATTGCCAACGTTGTAGACGAACACAGAAATGTTACTTGCTGATCAGGTGTTCACCGGTAGACGTCAAAGCAGGATGGATACTCGTGACATAGGGTATAGAACACCTTTATGACCTTTTCCTAGTAGTTTCTTTCCTTGTTGGTTGGGGTGTTTCTAGATTTTTACTGTTCCGTGACAGCGTCAGCGTTCCCCTATTGTGCAGTTATGTTTTCTTTTTAATTGCAGGAAATTTCAGGCTGATGAACAGATGATGTAAATCAAAAGCATGAACAACTTGATGCAAATAAATATTTGTGATATAAGCTCAAAATAGATCGCAGACACCGAACAGTAGAAAACTATGAAAATCAAGCAGGTCATAAAGCCGTCCTACAATTGCAGGAACGACTGACGATACGGCCCTTAAACCTACCTTAGTATGCTTGAGGTTTTATTTACAGTTTTGCGAGGCTAGATCATATGTCGCAGATCGAGACTGTGCAGCTTCTAAAATGTAACAACATTGATTACCTCTGATTTATGGACAAAGCATAAATAAAACACCAAAATATTTATAACGTTATTTACTTAAGTGCAAGATCTCACTCCATACACTTAATTGCTCACTCTGGACGGAATAACATCTTCCATATTACAAAACAATACAATCAACCATCAGGGTCGATTAGGAAAAAATATCAGTTCCCAAACATAACACAAAAAAAAGAATGTCCATGAGTCCTGTTATAGCTGTTCAATGACAAAAAGTTTCAATTTCAAAATAAAAAATGCAAAAGTCATACTCAAGTTTTATGCATTGTATCTGAAAAATGCACGAGAATAATAATTTGGATTTTCATGTAGACGCCAACTGATGTTAATTCATAATCGATAAAAATGCCATAGATAGAGAAGCAAAGCAGCGTTATTTCGGCTCTGTGCCTACGGCCTGACCGTTGAGATTACGTTCCCTATCTACAGCTCCGGAGTCAGTATGTGTGCGTCTCTAGTCCCCCTTACCTTCGTCCTCCTCCCCTTTCTGTACGCCCATGCTCCTTGGAGCGATGCGCGCGCTGGCTAGTGGCGAGCGATTCCCCGCTCGCCCTTCAGTACGCTTTTATCTATCGCACGGATAGGGTGTGTGCGTGTGCGTATGTGTAACATCGCGAGTTAAACGTTGTGTAACGTTCGAGAGAATAATAGTATAAATGCAAAGGTAAGAGACAAAAAACCTTAGTTTTACAATTTAGTGTAGATGGCTACCATTTGATATAAAATTGTCACGGTCTCGGATCACTCGGTCCAGACGTGAGACTCCCTTCTAATGCATCTTGGGCAAATTCCCTAGAGCATAATATGGGCACTTGTGTGCAAGCGCACAATGCCCATTCATAGGAAAATTGAAGGGAGTCCTGCAGCCGGATCCATCTACACAATGTTTCGGCCCGACCGGCCCGTCAAGTCGGCCCGACCAGCTGCAGACTTCGGCCCGACCGGCTGCAGACTTCGGCCCGACCGGCTGCAGACGTCGGCCCGACCGGCTGCGAATTTTGGCCCGACCGGCCGCTACGTTCGGTCCGACCGGCTGCAAATTTTGGCCCGACCGGCTGCAGAATTTGGCCCGAACGGCTGCAGATTTCGGCCCGACCGGCTGCATTTTTGGCCCGACCGACTAACTAATTGTAGCACATCTGCTTCCAGATAGCGATGGCAACCAATTTTGTTACTCTGGGTGAACTCTGGTCCAGCCAATTCTACCCAGAAGCAACATCGGTGGGAGAGAAAACCTACCGAAATATAAAATTGAGGCTTCTCGACTGGAACCTCTGTAGAGCATTGATCATGAGCCCACGGCAGGTAGCGTGTCAGTTACGAGGATCTATGGCTCAAGCGGAGCTCTTTAATAAGGCGGTGGAACCACTTAAACATACTAGGCGTTCCAGAGAGCTGACGTCGGGGGCCCTTTCAACGGACGGGGAGTCTAATTATACGTCCCGAAGTAAAAGGAGACGGTGTCAATCGTCCAGCTCAGACGACGAGTACCCGGTCAGAACCGAGAAACCAATGAAGAGGAGGCGGCGAGTATTGTCTTCGAGCTCGGAGGAGGATGTCAATGAGACAAGGCTACGCCGCGTGGAAAGCATGGTCGAGAATCTTTACCACTTGGTCTCAGGAAATAAAGAGAACGATGGCAGCGTCATGAATTCGACGTGGCAAGCTCCAACTCCTACAGGTGAAGAGCTGTATGACGCCGACAGTATTGGCACATGTGGCAGCGTAAACGACTGGGACACGATTTCCCCTGTCACTAGGGAAATCGAGCCTACAGTCCCTAGGGCGGACCCAGTAATCGAGACACAGGGCATGAAATGCCAGCGTTTCGGGGAAGAGACATGGAACAAGATTCGTTACGTGGACGCTCAGAAAAAACTCCACGCATCACCAGTCTTCAGTACTCTGAAGGTTAACTCATCCTTGTACAACAATGGACATGCAAGCCCAATGACAGATATGTTATCCAAAAGTGACCTGGCCTTCGGGACTATCTCACACGGTCTACTGAAGCAACGGAGAATCATACATGAGGCTCTGAAGGAGGCGGGGAACAAACAACCGGAAGCGGCAGACACTTTGAAAAAAGTTTTTGCTGCTAACAGTGAATACAAGACCATCTCGGACGACCTGCTGCAGTTCGTTTGCGGAAAAAGGGCGGAAATCATCGAAAGTCGCAGGAAACTATACGAGCCTAAAAGTAGTTACTATAGGTCCATCGTCAATGAGATTCCTCCGTCAGGTACGCACTTGTGGGATGAAGAGCAGCTGAAAGATGTGGTTAAAATGCATGGAGTGACGAAAATTGCTCCTGTCCGCTGGCAGAGTAATCTGGGAAAAGTCGCACTGAGACAGAAGGTGCCTCAAGGAACTTCTCATGAAAAGTATCTGCGTCAAGGTTCATTTAAAAAAATGAAGAAGGCAGAGTTTAAGCATTCGCGTAAGCCGGGGGCGAAAAGTCATACCAAGCTAGCTCGTAAGGAGCAACCACCTTTAGATAAAAGGCGGAGTTTTTGACAGTTTTCAGGCAGGACAACTCGCCAAATATGTCTCTGCTTGGAAAAGTATGGGAGCCTCACAATCGATTCTCAGTATCCTGAAAGGCTACGTGATCCCTTTCTCAATAAAGCCACCAATAACAGTACTATCCCAAACGATACTAAACAAATTCGAGACACCAGCATCCACACAAATGGATCGAGAAATACAAAACCTCATAAATCAAAAGGTGGTAGTAAAACTGCAAACAAAAACAGGTTTCTTATCAAAGATGTTTTTGACGCCGAAATCGGGGGGCTTGTGGAGACCAGTGTTCAATCTAAAAAGGTTGAACAGCTTCATCACGCCCAAGAAGTTCCGCCTTATGAACCATCGCAAACTGCCATTATTTCTCCAGGAAAGAGATTATATGGTAAAAGTCGACCTTTCTCAAGCATATTTCCATTTGCCAATAAAGCAAAAGCATTGGCGTTATCTGGGACTTTATTACCGGCAAAACACCTACGCTATGACAGCACTACCATTTGGCCTAAGCTCCGCTCCACAGGTGTTTGCAAAAGTTACGAACTGGGTGGCGAGCTACTTGAGGAAACAAAACATTCGAGTAATGGTCTATTTGGACGATTTTTTGATCGCAAACCAGAATCCAGAAGAACTAAAGCGAGAGGTATCCACCCTGATAGATACTCTCATAAAGCTGGGTTTCTGCATCAACCTGGAGAAGTCCGAAATAAGACCTACACAGAAATTGGCATATCTAGGTATTATGTGGAACACCATAAGAAATCAAAAGAGTTTACCGGAGGACAAAATCCACCGTCTGCAAACATCAATCCAAGCTGGAATCAAGAGCAAGACTTGGAGCTGGAAGCAGGTAAAGGCACTGCTAGGGAGAATGGAATTTGCCTCGTTTGTTATCCCATTGGGTCGACTACATTGCAGAAAGATACAAAGAGCAGTCAATCGGATGTCAGAAAACCAACCAAAGAAACTGTTCAATATAGACCTGGACGTATTGCGAGAGCTAAGATGGTGGGAGAAAAACTTAAAAGGGTCATCCATAATCTGCATGAAAGAACCGGAAGTTCATATAATAACCGATGCCTCAAACACGGGCTGGGGAGCCCAAGTAGGAGACACTTTGAGGAAAGGAAACTGGACAGAGCAGCAGGAAAAGTGGCATATCAACAAAAAAGAAATGTTCGTGATCTACTTAGCGCTAAGAAACCACCTAGATCGATTGGCAAACAAAACACTGTTAATTCAGACGGACAACAGGACGGTGGTTTCCTACTTGAGAAATCAAGGAGGAACCAAGTCGGTCACGCTTTTGGCATTGACCAGGAAGATCCTGGAGCTGGCACATCAATACAGTATGTCTCTGAGAATAAATAGAACATATTCCAGGAAACTACAATATTGTGACCGACCACCTATCCAGAGGAAAGGATCTGCCAGACTGGCACTTATCAAGGATAGCTCAGAAGAGGATCTTCGAAAAGTGGGGAACCCCTTGCATCGACCTATTTGCGACTCCAGAATCAGCCGTCGTTACAAGATTTGTAACGCAATTCCCATGCAAGGAGGCAGAATTCGTCAACGCATTTACAAGAACGTGGGAGTACAAGCTAGCGTGGATATTCCCTCCTCCACCCCTAATACCAAGAGTTCTCCAACACCTCAACTATTGTCAGGGAGTTTTCATAATGATAGTCCCCAGGTGGGAAAGGGTGTTCTGGCGGCCCCTGCTGAAGAGACGTGCCATCGACCACCCGTTCACCATTCGGAATCTGAAGGCTCACCTGGAAGATCTTCAAACCAACCAGCCTCCTCCAAAGGTAATGGATTTACACCTGGAGGCATGGAAGATACGGGGTGGTCCGATATAGCGAATCACTGGTCAAAGGATGAAAGGAGAATCTTAGAAACATCCTGGCGCAAGTCAACTCTCAAAACGTATGCCGTTGCATGGAAAAGTTGGCAATCGTGGGCGAAGAAAAGAAGAGTTTCAGTTAAAAATCCAAACCCCACGCAGGTGGCTCAATACCTCTGCTTCCTACACAACACAAGAAAATTGGCGCTTAGAACGATCCTATTACATAAATCCACCATTGCGACATTCTCCAATCCACTACATAGTGAAGGAGTTTCCAGTAGCCCAACAGTGAAACAGGTAATTAGAGGTATTGCAAATGCAAATCCTCCAGCAACTAGGCCAAAGATTTGGAACATCGATAAACTTCTATCTTGGATTAATGATAACCATCCAGATACGAATAGTATCTTTCAAGTGGCCCGGCATCTATCGCTGCTTTTGCTGCTATCATCGGGAAGGAGAGTCCATGACTTGACACTCCTTCGAATAAATTCTGGTTTCTTTGAACAAACCGAAGAATACATAATTTTCTGGCCACAACATGGATCTAAGACAGACAAGCATAACTACGTCCAGTCAGGCTGGAAACTCCTCAAAAATCGAGAATGCATCTGGGATCTAGTACACTGGACAACCATATATCTAGAAATATCAGAAAAGGGAAGGAACCTCCACTGTCGACCGATTCCTCAACTATTCGTCACAACTCGTGGGAAGATAGGACCGGCATCTCGGTCAGTGATAGCAGGATGGGTCCGCACAGCGTTGAAATCGGCAGGTATAGAAGGAGGAGCCGGCAGTACCCGCTCGGCAGTGGCGACATCCCGCTTCAACGATAACATGCCATTGGATGAGGTTTTGCAGAAAGGAAATTGGCAGGGATCAAGCAATTTCTTCAAACACTACTATAAAAATATCGATAAGGATTTGGTACCTGACAACAGCAACAGAAGACTTATTTCGGATAAATTTGTCCCTATATAAGTATTATCATGGCTGTGAGCCAAGAATGACTGTTACTTTTCTTTTTATGAACTGTTAGAGTTATCATATTCTGTTTATGTCCTTGTATTGTTGATATTTTCTGTAGGGAAAATATAGAAAGTTCAGTATGGTTTAGTGTACCCATGTCACAGTACGCTTTCTAACACCGTGGCGCGCCGGCAGATTGTAAACACTTCTCAACGGTCAGGCCGTAGGCACAGAGCCGAAATAGAACAATTTTCCCCCTGAAGGGAAGAAAATTGATATTTCGGGTCTTGCCATAGGCCTGACCTAGGTAACGCCTTGCCGGCGCAAGAGTACTGAAGGGCGAGCGGGGAATCGCTCGCCACTAGCCAGCGCGCGCATCGCTCCAAGGAGCATGGGCGTACAGAAAGGGGAGGAGGACGAAGGTAAGGGGGACTAGAGACGCACACATATTGACTCCGGAGCTGTAGATAGGGAACGTAATCTCAACGGTCAGGCCTATGGCAAGACCCGAAATATCAATTTTCTTCCCTTCAGGGGGAAAATTGTTCTATTTTGCAATACAGTTTGATTGATTTGATTTTGCAACTGACTCCTGACATTTCGCAAACTGCTTAAGTTGAAAATATAGCAAATTTTATAAGGCCTTGAATTGAATACGATAATTACTGTTATACAAATACTGCAGATTTTATCAAAATATCAATGACTCTCATGATTTGCGATATCTAAGAAGTTAAACATCACTGTACGTTTAGAACAGTTTATAACTGATTTTCGGTAATAAAATTTTTTCTCAAAAGGAACTCTGAATGATCTAGATACAGATGAAATATTAAATATTTTCTCGATAGAGAACCGTTGTTTCTGTTTGAAAACAAAATTTCAGGTAAAAATATACAATAATAAATATACAACTTACAGAGCAATGATAAATAAGTGTGTGTTAGATACTGTATTGAAAATAGCATTTTTTTGTTAATAAAGTAACATGGAATTCAAAAATCAATAGTCTATTTACGTGAAATGTGCAAAAACTATTCATGCTCAAAATTTAAAAGCCTTGCAATGAAATACATTCAAACATGACAGTTTTAAAAAAGTGTGATGCGCTTTGGCTGTCACAAAGTAATTATTTATCGAAATGCACATATCTTACAAACTAAAGATTTTCTATTAAAATACTACATAATATACATTAAGTACAAATATAAAAGCTTGCCTAAATCACAGTATTCTTTAACATGATACTATTAATAATGTGGAAATCAAGTGGAAAATAAAATAGGAAAATGGTGCGATCCACACAGGGTGATAGTTACTATATCAATCTTTTCACAATAACAAAACTAGAATACTAGTTTTCATCTTTGTAAACATCCTTATTAAAATAAGGATGTTAGCTTTATAAAAATTACAGCAAAAAATATAACTGATTTTATGTGACGTCAAGCGAATGAACAAATATTTGTACTACTTTCAAAATAATCAATAATTTATTTTCTCATGCTTCTTTAAGAGTATATCTAAAAGATTCAAATCACCCTATGTAAATCAGGAATTTTAAAAGATCTACAATAAACCAAGCCTCAAGTCTATTCAAGCAATCTTAAGAAAATTGCTCCAATAGCATTTTATGGGTAAGTACGACACAGTATGATTAAAATCATTTGAAAAAATCAAGTCAAATAGGAATGAGGATCAAATCAATAGATATGAAGTCGTTGGAAAAAAATTGAGATTATGAATCATACATAAAATATATGATCTAACGATTTTTAATTTTTTACATTCCTAATTGTACTCTTTCATGATATAGATGGCGACCTTTTTCCATTACTGATTATTCATCTAGAGTAAAAATGACTAGGGATAAAATTGCACGGAACAATCGCTTTTTTTATACATGGGAAACAAGTTCACTAGATAAACCATCTTTGTCGCATCGTATATACATCTTCACGTAGTAGAAAATAATGCATACAATTACTTACGCAATATTACAGCTAAAAGGAACAGACAACAACAATGTACAAAATAAACTAAGGTTTCGGAAAATCCAAGATTTACAAAAATACAAGAAAAATTACAACTCCAGCATATTATCAAATTGATCCACTGAATAAGAAACACACTACTAAGTGTGTAGGTGTTTTAGCCTCGTAATTTTTGAATACGAATGAAAACCAGGTGTAATAAATTTACATAAAATAATTGTATTGAAATCACAAAAAATTAATTCATCTTGGTAGGTCAAAGCAACATACATGAAAATCTCAATCACGAGTTTTTGATATTCCAGTCTCCGTCTCAAAATTTCATGTTAAGATGGTTAATAATGTACAAGTATGTTGCTTCTCTAAAAAATCAAAATTAAACGAATTACAAAACGACACGAGACAGAATTTACACGCTAAAAACCTCAAAATATATAGTTTTACCGCATGAAGAAACTAAGTAGCTTTCTTCTGGTCGAGGTCAGTGACGTCACCGGTTCTTGATTATTCTTTTGTACCCTGATTTCCTTCGAAAGCTTGTTTTTGAGCTGCTCATCAAGTAGCTCCTGCATATCCATCTGAAAATAAATATGACTAGGCATGAATTTTTGCAGCTAAACGCCAACCTTGGGGTGAATTTGGTATGGCGAGAATTTTGCGCATAAAATATATTTAAGACTGATCTAATCAATTAAGTAAAGCAACTATGGAGTGCATCTTATGTTGCTTGTTTTTCTTTAGATCTTCAAATAATCATTTGCCATTTAAAAATAATCAAGTGGGTTTTTTAGTTTTATGTTTAGCTGAGCGCATTTGACAAGCACAATTATGATTCACGAAGGCGCAGTATAAAATATCATTTAAACCAAAATCGCACATGTATCCCAAATATTTACTTGTTTATAATGAGATAGTGGTTCTCATAGTAAAACCTTGCATTGTTTTTTTAAAATAACGTTTCTTTGGATAAATTGGTTTAATTTGTTCATATCCATCGTCTATTATACGTAGATTTCTTTAAGATGGAAGCAAAAAGAATAATAACGTATGTCCCAAAAGTTTTGGCACAAAATTCATTGGCTTTAATTTTAACAAACACAAAATAATATCAACTTGCCCTTGGAAACAAAAGTTTGTTTACTTACTTTACTGACAGTTCGCTCTAAGATCGTTGCCAATGACAAAATCATTATTTTTGATGACGAAAAGTATTTCACTTAGTAATTCTGAAATGAAGGGAAACGTCGGATTTTATACGGACAACGTAGATGAATGCCCTGACAATGTTAGGTACAAACACGAAGTGAAATTTGCAGATAAAATCCTTGTCCGGTGCGCAATTTCTAACAGGAGTGTATCCCAACCTTTTGTGGAAGAGTGAGGGGTGAGCTTTGAATAGTCAGAGCTATATTGATAACTGCCTTTCCAAATTGCTTCAGTTTGTCATCGAACATCATGCTAATGATCATATCATGTTTTGGCTAGACCTAGCAACTTGCCATTACTCAAGAGATACCCTAAACTGGCTTCGACAATGCAACATACCTTTTGTTCCCAAAAACAATAATCCTCCAAACTTGCCGCGGCTAATTTACGAAGACTGAGAAAATTGATCTGAATTCCGTTCAGGACCTCATGAGCGACATCCGAAGAACGTTGCGTCTGGTAGAGCAGAATGGGCCACTCCACAAAATTCGATAGTATAGTTTAGTTAAGTATTGACTTGTAATTTATGATAACTAGTAGTCCATTAAATAAATCCGATAAATATCACTGGACAACAAATTTTAGTTTTTTAATTGTATCTTGTGGGAAAAGTGCACTTCCTTGTTGATTTTGGGGCGCTGAATCCAAAAATGACAATGAAATAAAAAAATTAGTTGCGGTTTAGAAAAAAACTTTTTATTTTTAAGGATATGTTAAAAAAAGTAACAAGATTCATATACTTATAAGAATCACTATATGCGCTGTCTTTTTGCTGTTCTTTTATGGATCGTTTCTGGAGCATCTCTACCAAGAGTCCAACAGTAGTCTGCAAGCATGGAAGGATTCCACTTTCCCTGGTACCTTTCTTCCATTGTTGAAATATCCTGATGAAAACGTTCGCCGTGCTCATCACTTACGGCTCCGCAATTGTCAGGAAAAAAGTCCAGGTGTGAGTGTAGGAAATGTATCTTAAGAGACATATTACAGCCCATCTTTTGATACGATGACAGCATATTTTTGACAAGGGTTTTATAGTTGTCAGCTTTTCTATTTCTCAAGAAATTAGTGACCACCACACGGAAATCATTCCAAGCAGTTTTTTCAATACCTGTTAAAGTGTTTTCAAACTGTGTATCTTTCAAAATATTTCGAATCTGTGGCCCAACAAAAATACCTTCTTTAACCTTTGCCTCACTTAGTCTTGGAAATTTCTGACGCAGGTATTGAAAAGCTGACCCATCTCTATCTAATGCCTTGACAAAGTTTTTCATTAGGACCAACTTGATATGCAGTGGTGGTAATAAATTTTTTTTCGAATCTACTAATGGCATATGCTGTACATTTTTTTGACCTGGCTCTAGGAATTGACGAACAGGCCGGTTTTGTCTGGTGTAATGAAGTGCCTTTGCCCGACTGTCCCATTCACACAAAAAACAGCAAAACTTTGTGTAGCCTAGCTGCAGCCCAAGTAAAAGTGCAACAACTTTCAAATCGCCACAAATATGCCATTGGTGCTTATCGTATTTTATGCATGTCAATAAATAGGTACTTCATATTGTCATATGATTCTATCATGTGAACTGCATACCCTACAGGAAGAGATGGTAAAATATTTCCAATATGCAATAACACTGCCTTTAAACTCAATGTTGAACTGTCTATAAACAATCTCCATTCTTCTGGGTTATAGTTTATATTTAAAGCCGCCAGTAAGCCGTTGAGGTTACTGCAGAAAACCAAGTTATTCTCCATATTGAAAAATGGTTCTAAGTCTTTGTGGCGTTTACGAAAAACACATACCGAAACATCGTCTTCTAACAAGTTCCACTGCTGCAGTCTTGATCCAAGTAACTCTACCTTACATTTTGGAAGTTCTAAATCTCTTACAAGATCATTTAATTCTGACTGTGTTATTTTGTGCGGTTGGTGGCATGACGTACTCGGTATAAAATCAGGATCTCTTGACGTTGATGGCATATCTTCTTCCTGACGAATCACTCGATCGCCATGATCTGATTCGTTTTCTGATTCGCAAGTGTAGGATTCTGGGGGTTTTGGAATAGGATTTTCGTCACTGTGAGGCACAGGTCTCATCGCAGATGGTATGTTTGGGTAGTTAATAACCGATTTTTTTTCTTGGACATACCTGTGGCTTGTCCAACACAAGGTACCATGCAAAAGTAACAATCATTAATATGATTTGTAGGCTCTCTCCAAACCATTGGGACAGCAAAGCGGATAGACCGTTTTTTGCCATTTAACCAGCTCCTCAGACTTGAAGCACATGTATTACAGCAGATGTGGGGTGCCCACTGTTTGTCTTGATCACCTAGTTTACAACCGAAATAAAGCTGATATGCCTTTGTTATTAGTGGAGTAATAGACCGTCTCTGAGACGCAAAAGTCACATCACCACACACGTAACAAAACTGATCTGGATTGTTTACACACTTTCGAGACATCTTGCATGAACGCTGTCAGCCAACTGAGGAAAAAATGGCTAATATAAAACAATATAATGTACACGTATGTATAACGTAACACAATCATGCCGATTACATCATCTTTCCTTGCCGAATATAAAAATGTAGCACGTGCATTCTTGTGAATTACAGTATATTAACACTGTCACAGCAGGAACACATATAATTACCGTATCTCCAAAACTTGAACTAATATTGAAAAAATAAGTTTCATTCCGGTTTTAGCACATTAAAAATAGTAATATTTTGTTGATTTTATTTAGGATATTTTTTGGCTGTTGATCAGTGTATTTTGTGCCAAAACTTTAAGGACATTAGCTCACCTGCCACTGTTCCAACTGCTGACTGAGCTCCACCTTCTGCCGGACAGTCTCCAGCAGTTGCCCGTTGGCCTGCATAAGTTCGACCCTCGTCCTGGCCAGCTCCACTTCAGCCCTCGTTCGCCTCTCCACTGCCGCGTCCCGCTCTTGCCTCGCTAACGCCACCTCTTCGTCCCTGTTGGAGGCAAGTGCGTCTCTACGGAAGCGATCGCATTCTTCTAGGGCTGAGGCTAGTTCTACTTCGCACACGGATGCCTGTAATATATAAGAAAAACTTCATTACTACAACTAATTATGGACATAGAAATAGTTTCAAGTGAAGACAAAGGATTACAGAAGCAGCAACAAAAGGAGAGCCTAATGTCGAACTCTTGCTTTCGAATTACGTACATTTACTCATTCTGAACGCCTCAAGTATTTTCGAAACTACAAAAGTGATCCACAAAGCGATATTTAACTGACTTGCTTCATTTGAAAATTTTGTGCCGTAAAAATCGTCCCCTTTACGCCCTAAAATGATTGAGTCTAAAAAGAACGAACGACAAGATCTTGAATATTTGCAAGATTTTTCCGACTCAAAAACGCAAAAAGCGTACAAAAGCATTGTGGGGGACAGTCTCTTGATTACTTTGTTTATTCATGAGTAATATCATAAGTGCATTTAAGTTTGCCGAAAAAAAAAAATCGAAAAACACCTTGCTAAGTAATACCGTGTGCCGGATGTTTCTAAAGGAAAGGTCTCCCTTAAGAAATTAAAGGAAACCTTTCCGCATACAACCTGCATGCTGCGGCTGCATTTTGATGGCACTCTCCGTATATTAGTATTATGTCCACTATACTACAACTATTTAAAACTGTAATGACTCATACGCGTGATCAACACGTGATCAGAGCTCGATCCCGCCTTCCTTCCAGTACAACCGTATAGCGTACGACATATGTCGTTTCTGTGACTTTACGGTGGTCAACAGCACAGGCAGAGATGGAAATAATGGCTGATTGTTCTCCGCGGGTAGAACCAATGAAATCAAAGACGCGTCTCGACCGGCAGACTCATAGGCGTCGGCAACGCATTGGAACGTGTTTTGTTGAGCGATCGCATATTGTGTGTTTTTATAAGAATTGTTGTGTGATTGTTATTGTTGTGGTTTCTGTGGTAACTGTTTTGGTTATACTTAACCATGGAGAGTACAAATGGCACGAGTGGAAGTACTGAAAGCCAGGGAACAAGTAGACGGCTTCGTAAAGCACTGAAGAGGGACGCGAAAGAAATCGTACTCAACGTGTTCAATTATCTGGACAGAACTATGTCGCAGGGAGATGCACTCGCGCGTTGTGAAAGTATGACAGGCGTTCCAGAGTGGACCATTCGGAGGGTGGTGCATGAAAAGAAGAAAACTGGAGCTACTACTGATCCAAAGTTTAATTTGAAGGGACGAAAGGCCGTTAAATTGGATGACGATAGCAAAATGGCGTTAAGGCGAACCGTACATTCATTCTTCTTTAGGAATGAGATACCAACCCTCAAGGCGTCGAGGTAATGAGGAAATCCCTGCACGAAATTAATTTTCGTTACGAAACGCGTCATCGGAAGTCAGTATTGATAGAGAGACCTGAAATAGTCGCCTGGCGTCGAAAATACCTACGCGAAATGATTGAATATAGGCGACAAAGCAGAAAAATCTATTATTTGGACGAGACATGGGTAAATGCAGGTCACACAGTTAAAAAACCTGGATAGACAAAAACGTAGTGAGTAACCGACAAGCAAGCATTGAAGGTTTGTCAACAGGTCTTCGTGGACAGTCAGAGAAAGGTCAAAGATTGATCGTAACTCATATTGGTAACGATAGTGGCTTTTTAGAAGAGTGTGACTTGATTTTCGTCTCTAAGAAAGGAGGTGATTACCATGACGAAATGAATGCCAGCTGCTTCGAGAGCTGGTTTCAAGGGGTGCTTCAGCGAGTTGAGCCCAACTCTGTGATCGTCATGGATAATGCTTCCTACCATAGTCGTCGAGCAGAACGTGTACCGACTATGGGATCTCGAAAAAGTGACATGCAGCAATGGTTGCGCGAAAAAGGAATCCCGTTTGACGATTCATGTGTGAAAGCGGAATTGTATGAAAAAATTAAACAGCACAAACCTGCTTACATTAGTTACGTGACTGATGAGATGGCCCGTCAATGTGGTGTCACTGTGCTGCGGTTACCGCCCTACCACTGTGAACTGAACCCAATAGAGCTCATCTGGGCTCAAGTGAAGGGTTATATTGCGCGCCATAACACAACCTTCAAATTACCAGACGTTAAGGTTTTACTTGAGACTTCCATACAGCTAGTAACGCCCGAAGCTTGGCAGAATGCTATCCGTCATGTTGTGAAGGAAGAAACAAAAATGTGGCAGCTTGACCACCACATCGACACCATCATAGAGCCAGTTATAGTCAATTTCAACGAGAAAAGCGATAGCGACAGTTTATTACTGTCAGATGTAAGTGGAAGCGACGATGAATAAAGGTAATTCCCAAATTTTTGACTTACAATATGTTTCAAACCACTCTTTATTAAGCATGTGACAAATCTAGTTCACCCATGTTAAACATTCATACCCCGCCTATGAACAGCCGACTACTAGTTAAGTGATGTTCACGTGAACATCGATGAGTCATTACAGTTTTAGATAGTTATAGTATAGTTCATTGTATTCGAAAATATGTGCCATTTTTTCGCACAAAATAATCAGACAAATGAAAGTATACGCACTATTAAAAGACTGATACAACTGATCGAACTAAAGACTCGTACTAAATATCATACAATAACAAAAAAAGTTTTGCAAATTTAGATAAACGATAAGAGTAGTAAACAAAAACCCTGAGATTTTACATGGCAATGGTCGAGAATATCAAAAAATCTTGTTTTTTAAAATGTTTAACCTTTTAATATTTCTCTTATGATTCAACTTTTATATAGGTTATTTTTCGTATATCAACTCTTTGACGCGTCCTACAAGCAGTTAAAATAAATGACTCAACATTGAAAACACCCTGTATATTCTAGGCTGCGGCCTTTCAAGTGTTTCAGATGATAAAACATTTTCTACACGATCCTACGTTCCATATATGAATAGCTCTATTTGGCACACTGGCACACATTATTAGGAGTTGGATGCACAGTAAAATCACACTAAATCTTTCTCACTGATACATGGTATCATCACTGTTTCCATCTATATCTAAGGCTGTTTTTGTGATTCCAACATGAACATTGGAAACTGATGTTGAGAAATATGGTTACATTGTATTTTTAACACCTCGTGCAGAGGGTTCTTGTTGCAGTCTACAATCTCGTCATTTTATGACGTAACTATTTTGCTAGTATGGCGACACTACATTTGTTTGGATTAAAAGAACGATTGTGAGATATTTGCATTAGTGCACAGTATCCTTTTACTAAAGGTTTTTTGCGATGTAAAATGGCTAGTACCCTCCGCCTATTCGGGCGAGAGTGGTGGAGAGAATGCCGTCCGACTCGGGCGTTCCTAGAATTTTTACCAGTAGACATTATGGAGCAGTGGACGGATGAGCATCGCGGCTGTACAGCGTGAGTTTCGTAGCCACTTCAAAATTCATCGGAATCGAGATATTCCTTCTCGAAACACCATCCTTCGTTGGGTTCAATCACTTCGCACACCTGGTGTACTGATCAACAAACGACCACCAGGAGCTCCACGAACGGTTCAAACCCCTGAAAATGTGGAACGCGTTCGCAGAGCCCTCCTTCGCAGTCCGTCTCGATCTGCTCTGCAATATGCTGCTGAACTTCGCGTCAGTGATCGTTCGGTAAGGCGTATTTTGCATATGGGACTCCACTTTCACCCCTACAAATTGTCCATTGTCCAACAGTTACAGTCTGGAGATAACGCACAACGAATGAACTTCGCACGTGAGATGGAAGCACTTATCGAGCAAAATGAGAACCATTTTGTTCATGAGTGATGAAGCTCACTTTCATCTTATTGGCATGGTTAACCAGCAGAATTGCCCTTATTGGGCTAATGAAAATCCGCCAGAGTTACATGAAAGACCGCTGCACACCCCAATAGTGACAAAGTAAAATATGTCACCTATAATTCTTATTTTTTGAGAATGAAGTAATAAGATTTTTTGTTTGAGAAAAAATTCTATGGCGTATATAGTAGCGGCTTGGTCAATAAAATCATATGCACGTCTCACCTTAGTATTCAGTTCCATGAGTCTTTCAGCTCTCCGACTCAGTTCTTCATCCCTCTCCTGGATCTCCCTTCTGGCCTGTTCCAGCCTCTCCAATAATCGCACAACATCAGTGTCCAAAACTAAACTCACTAACTCTTGTGCTATTTCGTGGAGCAGGCCCGGCGTGAACCTTGTGCTGTCATCTAAGGAGGTCGTGGAGCAGTCTGAATGCAACCCGCTATCGTCATCTTGTTGCGACCTGAGCTGAGCTACCAAAGCTCTCAGCTGACGGTAGACTGACATGCATTCTTGGGATAAAGTAGGCTCTGAGACGTCCATTTCTGACAGGAGAGATCGTTCTTCGTTGCCTGAAGGAATGACAATATGTAATAATAATAATCTATATTTCAAATTGTACAATCACATTACAAAAATTGTAAAGCCACTACAAAATGAAATGTTGCGTCACTATCACCATAACTATAGTAGTTTACCAGATACCTTTTTTTGTGTTACATGGTTGTAACATCTACAATCTGAAACTATTACAACTCCCATAGAACTCATCTATTGTATAAGGCTCTGACTGTACTAGAAATGGCTTAATAGTCTTTTTAAATTTATGTAAACTGTTTATGTTTTTACTTTCATTTGGTAGATTGTTAAAAAATTTTAAACACATGTAAATAGGACTTTTTTCTGTGGAGGATAATCTGTGTATTGGATAATTGACATTGACTGTTCGAGTATCATCAACAGTTTGCACCTCAAGCTCAAATAAATTTTTATTTTTGAAAAAAAAAATATAAGACACTCATACACATAGATGGCATACATAGTTATGATTTTTTCAGTTTTAAACACCCCCCTGCAAGTTTCATTGAAATTTAGTCCGTTTAGCACTGCTTTTTTTAACAACAAAATTTTTTTTAATAAACCTATTGCGCCCCCAAAAAATAATCGCATCCTTTAGAACACTTTCAAAATTAGCATGGTACAATATTTTAATACTCGTATTATTTAGATATCTTGGTATTACCATAAAACCATAGCAAATGGAATTGAGCCTCTTCAGCAGTTCGAATACACGTGTTGTCCAATCTAACAATTCATCAATATAGATGCCTAAGAATTTTACACTTTCACTCAACTGCAGTTGATGATCATCTATATCGATACATTGTGGCTTAACGACTTTACGCTGCTTAGTTCTAAATAATGTTGCATCAGTTTTGGATTTATTCAGCAAACTAGTTTGTTTTTTAGAAAACCATGTATTCACACTTCTGAATAAAAGATTCCCATAAGCAGTTAGGTCCTCTACACTTGTCCCATCCCACACTAAATTTGTGTCATCAGCATAGCAGATAATTATATGCTTACTTTCATCACCACTAGTAACAAAACAGAGATCGTTTAAAAAAACTACAAACAAAATGGGCCCAAGTATCCTACCCTGTGCTATGCCGGTTGAAGGCAACTCAATTTCTGACTTGTAAGTTTGACCTCCATTAACAATTTCAACCCTCTGTTATTTATTATAGAGGTATGACTTGAACAATTCTAGCGCAGTTCCTCTTACACCATATCTTTGTAGCTTTAATAACAATATGTCTCTGTCAATGCAATCATAAGCTTTTAACAAGTCCAGGTAGAAACCAACCGCTAATTTTCCCTCCTCTAATTGCTTAAGTACTGTTTGAACAAATTGAAAGATTGCAGCATCTGTTGATCTCCCATGTAGGTATCCATTCTGATGTGTATTAGACAAATTAGTTATTCATAAATTCTAATAATCTCTTACTGATGCCTAACCCAAATAATTTTGAAAAACCCGTTAAAATATTGATTGGCCTATAATTTTCTAATTGCTCTGGATTACCTTTTTTGAAAACTGGTTTTATAACAGCTATTTTCAAATTCTCTGGGAATGATCCTTGCCTAAAAGCATTATTAATAACTAAGCACAAAACATGTTTTAAAACTGGAATGGAAAGTTTTACTGTTGTTGTTGGAACTTCATCTATACCACAGCTTAATTTATTTTTCATCGTCCTCGACAGTTCACACACTTCATCAACAGTCATTGGTCGTTTTCTTGTAAATTGCAGTGAAAAGGTACCTGTGTCACATCTTTCAGTAAAAGCGGAATTGCTGATAACAATAAATCATTCATTATTACATCCAATCTACTGGGTGGCAAGATTGGGAGATGTTTAGTTAGTCATCAAGAGGCATTTGTGAATAACCTAAAATCCGCCATATTGCTTACAAAACAAATATGTTAAACTGTCAAGATGGCGTGATCAAAAAATGTCTATTAAAACGGGCTAATTAAGTGAAAGCTTGTAATTATGTGTTTTTAATGTTAGTACACTTATTTGAAAAAAAAATCAGGAATCCACATCTTCAACACAGGATTTCTGATAGATTTTGAATAGGACCCTGTATACCTTTTTCGGAAATCTTATTATACATAAGGTTCTCTATTCAATGACGTATAACAATTACCTATTACTTTTGTTGTCAAATGACAGCTGCATAAAAGAATTTGTGAATTAACCTCCATAAGCTAGAGGTATTACAAAACAAAAAGTAGCAATTATTAGCTTATCTGAAGAGATTTTTTTAAACAAGTGGACATGCAGAAACCATAAGAAGGGTCAATAAATGCTACGAAAATAATGGAGGTCGCATTGAACTGTATCAGCTTTAATATGAATGTTTAATACTTTTTAGCTCGTAATTTTGTAATAATTTTTTTATAACTAGAATCATTGGGCAAAATAGGTAGAATAGGGTAGAAGAGAGTAATATTAATAATTTCAGTTTGTAGTAATCAAAGAGAGTTGTTTTGATAGTCTGTTATTATAAAATAGAAAATAAAAACATTTTTTATTACTTTGCCTGAATTTTTTTTTAATTTGACCACATCGCCACGTTGACAGTAAAAATTTTTGTTTTGTTTTGTCAGCAATATGGCGAATTATAGGTTATTCACAAATTCCTTTATAGCGCCGCCATTTTAAAATGGAAATGTCACTTGTGATACATCGTTGGAAGGGGAATTTTGCAAAGAGTACGATTATGGAAGAAAATATACAGGTTTCCATTTGAAAAACGAAAGTCAAGGTAAATTCCGGTTAAACCGGAAGGGAGAGATAACCCATTCAACTTTCCAGAAATGCCTCTTAATGACTAACTAAACATGTCCCAATCTTGGAGCGATATATTTATTCGCCTCAAAAATACTACGTGTTTCCAATTTTCATTGTCTCGCGGAATACAGGTACAGAATCATGATATTTTTCGGGGAAGAAAGGGGACAGTCAAGGCCAACTACAGAAAGTTTACAATTATGAATATTTGATATTTTACATTATCAATACAGCGGTACGGATACCAGTGAAATCAGAATGGGCCAATTTATCTTTTTTTGTTGAAGTGTTTTCTGCATTACTCAAGAAAAGTGGAACATCGAGGTATGGTCAGATTATATTTTGTATCGATAATATTTGAAAAAATTCAAAACTAAGATTTCGCGTCGAAAAATCGTTCAAATATTATTATTATGGTTGTTTGTATGTATTCCACCATATATGTATAAAGGAATCGGACGTAAATATGTCCTTTGTTTAAAGAGAACAAACGGTATATTTGCTAAGTGGGGTAAGGAATGTCTCTTGAAGAGTCAATAGAATTGGAAAAATAAATGTTTGTGTAAAATACAGATGTCTAGTGGGGAGAAGTCTTGATCGACGCGTTCGGCGTGAGGGTTAAATAGTCACAATGGAACGTTGGACCGGAGCGCAACGGGCTCTTGCTATCGAGGTTTACTATTAGAGTGGTGATTCATACGCAGCTGCCCTTCGGGAATTTTGTACACGATATAACATTCGCCGACGAAGAGGTGCGCCAAGTAAGGGGGGAGGAAAAAGTGGATTAAGAGGTTCCGTGAAACAGGCTCAACTCTTAGTAAACTAATTTCTTATCAACCGATATGTGCGTCGCGTAAGTGATTCGGTCATTGCAAATCCTCGGCGTTCTGTACGGAAGCATTCAGCTGCTTTGGGAATCCCTAGGTCAACACTGCATGGCATAGTGAAGATAAAAAATGGGTTTTCATCCTTATAAAATCCAATCAGTCCATACTTTAAAGGAAAGTGATTACAAATTGCGGAAATCTTGTGCTGAACGGATGTTGAATCTTTCTCCTACGCGACGCAGACTCGAGAACGTTGTTTTCACTGACGAAGCCCATTTTCACTTAAACGGTTATGCGAACAAGCAAAATTGCGGATATTGGACAACAACGAACCCAAAAGAGAAACATGAACAAAAGCTACATAGTCCAAAGGTGACTGTTTGGTGCGCCATATCCTCTACCCGTATTATTGGGCCGTATTTCTTTGAAGATGAAAACGGTCATGCATTCACAGTCAATTCCTAGCGATACAAGGACATGATTGACACTTGTTTGCTCTTATTGTAAGAACAGAATGTCGATTTGACAGAAACACATGGTGTCAACAGGAGGGGACCACTGCCCATACTTCCAGAGAATCGATGGACACGGTGAAAGCACCTTTTCCTCAAAAAGTTATATCGAAGTTTGGAGACCTCCACTGGCCTCCCAGGTCACCTGACCTCACGCCATGTGATTATTTTTGTGGGGTTATCTAAAGTCAAAAGTCTATTCCAATAATCCACGAACACTGGACAAGCTTAAAGACAACATCACTCCGGAACTCTGCAAGAGAGTGTTTCAGAATTTGCGCGCGTGATTAGAAGAGTGTGTCCGAAGGGATGGAAAACATTTGGATGGAATGATATTTAAGAAATAAAACCCGCCGAATTTATGAATATGTTGATAGACAAATATTTTATTTTCATTGTTTGTATTTGTTTTTTCTTAAATCAAAAAGTGAACGTTCCCACTGGACACCCTGTATATTATTTTGAAACTATTTTTTTTCATCCGTCACTGTATCAAAATTAAGTTATAGTCTTATTCTGAGTTTTATTAGGGGTTGGTTAAATCCTTATGAATTGATTCGATTTTTGAAGTTAAATCGATACGAACGATTTAATAGTTAGAGTAAGGGTGAATTTCACAATTTAACAAACCATTATTCTGCACCAATAGGGTACGAGTACCAAACAGTCCGTTAAATATACCCAATCAGCTTCAAATCAGCGTCAAATTTTTGGCAGCAAATAGCATCAAAGTATTCAAAACAAAACACTGTAAAATATGAAGTGACAGCTTGCCATTGAAATATTTTCAGTTTATTAAATGTTATGAAATTATGTAAAACTGAGCCAATATTTTTAAAAATGTCTGAGTAAAATCTATTTTTTCAGATTAGCTGAAAGTTTTTCCATGTTTACTGCAACTTTTGTAATCTATATGTGATTATATCACCTACCGTGTGCTTATAGCTTATCCTATATTTGCAAACTTGCACTTCCAAACCCTTATATGAAAAAGCCTTTTCACTCAAATTTTTGTTAGGTGTTGCATTTCAACACATTCATACACTTCTTTCCAGTTCCCTCAACGATATTTTAACCCCACTGGTCCGAAACTGTTCAACAGTTTCAACATTCATACATACAATTACAGTTGCAGTTTTTTGTATTAATTTCAGTGTATAATCAGTCGCAACATCAACAATCAAACATCAACATAACCACGTATTTAGGGGTTCGTGCAGATTTAATGTGTACACGACGTCATCATTAGGCGCTCCTCTGGCGATATCCGATTGCGTTCAGGTGCCTCTGTAGGTACCTCTTCACCACGGTCAGGAGTTGATACCAGCGCGGCTCTCGTTTTTTTTGCTCTAGGCATGGCCATCCTCAATTAATCGCACAAAAAACAAGTCCAAGGCAGAAAAACACACCCGAAGACGAACACCAAAACAAATCTCTACCGCAAATTCGTCAACAACTCAAACAAGAACAACAGATGATTCACCGCCTGGCTTTGACCGTAAATCGTCGTGGTACACGAGACACCACAGAATTATTATGATTACGTCAATACGAGCATATCCAAGGGTAAGACGAGTTCCGAAACCACCCGAATCATGTCAAAAAATGGCTGTGACGTCACCAAAACGTTTGACCACCACTGGAAATCACTAGCTAGTTACCATCTGGCGGCGTAACATGTGGAGGACACTGGTGTAGAAACAGCTGATCCTTAAATTCGGTTACGTTAAATCGTGCATGAGCCCGACATTATTTTTCAGTAATTACTAATAATTTTAGGTCTATGTCTACAGTAATTGTATTATGCACCTCGGATATATAGGGATTAACATGTTTTACACATATCGGTGTTTTAGGATGGGGACGACATACTGTTTTGATTGCTTTGAAGAAATTCATTAACCCATGAATTTATAACAAATGATTACTATTATGATGTAAAGAGAGATGAGGAATTGGTTGGAATACATTTTTTATTATATTTTCTTGCAAATCCGCACAGTTCAACAGGTATGTGTATAATGATCATAGATACACACAGTATATTGAACTTAACAAATTTCGAGATTGCCATGAATTAACAAACGACCAAACCTGCTGCCAAATTTAACAGCTAGAAAATCGACCTATTATTTCTCCCATTCCCATTCGCTGAGGCGATAACGGATTGTTAAATGTAAACCTATAACATATATCAAAATACATGAAAGTTGTCCTGTTTTTTCTGTACAAAAGCATCATGTTGGAATCAAAAAGCGGTCTTGTTTATAATACAGTCGAATTTTCACGATTTTATTCAACATTTTAATAGAAATGATATTCTGAAACCTTTGACAGCTTCCGTCAAATTGCATTTCGATAAGGTATTTTCCTATTGGTCCATAATAATAATGTTGGTGAAATCGGCCCTAAATGGATCAATCAAGTAACAAATGATACAATAGAACACAAAGTGTTTCTCAATGATTTGCGAATATTAGGGTATTTGGATATTTAATATCAAACATTTATCTAAAAAGCCATATCTTTTCAGAATGTGTTGCAGTGCAAAGGCCAATAAACTTTTTTAATTTTGTTTTAGATTTCTCAAACAAGGACGGTATGACAAGAAGAAAACCGACAGTATTACATGGAGAAATATATATGCAAAAACTTAACTTTTTCAGATTGATATTTATGTGTTAAGAAATTATCGGTAACTATATTGCTAATCGCGAATTATAGTTCTTTATACTTTTCTAGAGAGTATTTCCTAAACAAAAATTATGTTCGTATTAACTAATCCAATCTGAAAAAATTCAAATAAGCTAAAAATAACGCTAGAAAGTAATTTCGGTAAAAGTACTGTTTCCGCTCAGTATTTCTGACGCGGACGAAAATAACATTTTAGATGGGCATGTAACAAGTTGAATACTTGAATGATGTTACTCTCGACAAACTTGAGTAAACATGGACTACTATATTTTAAAAGTTAATGGCTTCTTTTTCATTTATTGGTGGTTTTAGATAATGCTGGAGACTCGAGATCTCCGGGATAACTCTTATTCTTAATGATTTAAATTGTAATTCTTTGAGGCATCTGACGCTAGTGGGGTTATACCGTACACAGATCATCCTGAGCTTGTAGCAACCATACCATTAAAAGCAATCCAATTTTTTATGTTTAAGCGAATCGGTTTACTCCACAATAAAGTGATTCAGATCAATATCATTTGCTCTTCTGATTGTGCCAGTTTTGACAAAAAAAAGTGGCAGTAGGGTGGTAGTGACACTTTCTAAACAGCTGGCATTGTGATAGCTGTTAGTATTTGTCTTTAAATAAAGATATTACATCTTACCATTTATACTATCGTGAAAAGCTCCGCCTCGTCTTTCTTGGCCTATCATGACTTGCTTTTGCTGTTCTTGGAGCCTATGATGATCTTCCATGCTGACTCCTCTTTGATACCTGAAGAACATACAATAATTTCGTTCGGAAATACTCAGGACAATTCTTCATGCATCAATAGTGAATAATAACAGTTTGAGAGCTAGCACAATTCAGTAAAGCAAAATTGATGTGTGCAGAATGATCGTTTAAGAAACGCGGAGCTGAGCGTTAAAATAAATACATGCTGATGCTTTTTGGAATACATATCGCGACACGTGGTCAGAATGATAAAAATATGAAACGTGTGCAGTTGCGACACCAAAGAGCTCAATTTCACATAATACAGTGATTTCTATCATAACAGAACAGGACACAAGGTCACTTTTAGGTGCCATTATTACATTTTCTAACTATAGTGTTTACTCTCTTTAATGCAACCTTCCCCCTCCCACGCTACGCTGTCATCAGGTCGTAAAAGATTATGTTTGGCACTCTTCTGAGAAAAAAGTTAGCCACGAATATGGTATAACAAAAAATTAAATGACCCCCCCCCCGGCAATCCCGCGTGAATGACGAAATTGGCCTTTACCATGCACAGTTCACACAGCCCACCAGATTATGGAAGCGATTGCTGACTGCAATGTACGACCACCGACGACGACGCTTGTCCATCGGGGAACGGCGTCGTACGTATCGACATAGTTTTGACGGTAAATGTACGGAGACCACTAAGACATACATAATAAAACATTGAGATATATCGTTCCCCATCCCCTGCAACCCCTAACCCCCAATTTTTAACCCCTATAAATTTTCGTTTCAACGATTTTTATTTTTTTAATATTTTGGCCTTTTCCTCCGCCGCCCCGTGGATCGATTTTCAAACTATAAAGCTATAAAGCCTCCCTGGCATAGTAGCAATATTGTGGAAAAATTTCATCGAAATCCGAGCAATACTTCTCAAGTTATAGGCGGTTATAAGATTAGTGGACAGATCGACAAACAGACCAACCGAAATGAGTGACATGTTTTTCGTGGTCTACATTTCATGTAACATCCAAAACAATATAATATCTGATTTTCGCGATTACAATACTTCGCCGCCAGTAGGCGTGAGAAGTAATAAAATTCCGAGGTCTTATCTGTTCTGCTGATGTTTATAATATGTAATATAGAATTAATTACCTTGCTTCTAATTCTCTTTGTTGCCGTTCTAGCACCACAATTCTATCATTGGCTTCGTCTAGGTCAGCAGCTATAGCATCCCTTTCAGATTCGGCTGCCGTTAGTCGGCGTTCTAGTTCTCGGTTTTTTGAGGTAAGGAGATCTAATTCATAGCGTAGACCGTCAACGCTGCTCATATGTTCCTGGAACAAACATTATTATTGCGGCATGCGTACAGTCGGAAGCAAAACTAATTGAGCGATGTTGCAGCTTCGTGACCCCCTGGTAACCTGACAGGACATGTTAGGAAAAACTGAAAGCAAGTGGTAGCCGCGCCGGCCATGTGGCAAGTAGTTTAGGTTTCTTATGAAGGTGCTGAAAGAATGACTCATAAGTCAGTAACCACAGTTCAGGGTGCATCCACATAGAAACGGCTTTAGGGATCCGGTGTAATAACTTGGGTGAGGGTGGATCCATAATAGAGCCGCCATATCAGGAAAGCTTTACGTCACCGACAGCTTATTTAACGAAATTATAGGTCGATTAAGGGTCGTATCGTCAGTCGTTCCCACAATATTGAGGGCGCTTTTGTGATCTTGATTTTCATAGTTTTCTATTGTTCCGTGTCAGCGCTCTATTTTGAGGTTATGTTACAAATATCTATTCACATCAAATTGTTCATGCTTATTGTTTACATCATCTGTTATATCAGCCTGGAATTTCCTACAATTCAAAAAGAAAAGATAGCCTCATAATAGGAGAGCGCCGACGCTGACATGGAACAAGAGAAATCTAGAAATATCTCAGCCTTTCTGAAGGAGAGAAAAGTCGTTCAGAATCAAGGAGGCTATAAAGCGCACTACGATTGTACTTGTAGGAACGACTGAAGATACTGCCCTAAATGATGGCGTCCGGGACCTCGCCACTCGGGTTGCTAGGCAACGAGGTGCTTCTTTCTCTTTCTAACACACGTATTGCACGCTTCTTGCGCTTTTCTCTGGTACACATTACGACGTCAGTGGTAGAAGGTTTTCATTGTATGTATACTAAATGACATAGAAAATGCAACACCGACTACTTAGGAGTGCTGTAATTTTTTAGGTCTACTGACAAATAGAAACTGATTAAAATTTTAACTCGACATTTCGCAAAATAGTTGAGATATCCCACCTTAATGTTAATAATGTGTTGAAGCTCCTCTGTTCGCTACACATTCGCTAAGTCGTCGCGGCATTGTCTGGATTAGGTTATTGATGTCTTAGTGGTGTATTATATCCCAGACCATCTGAATTTGGTTTCGTAGAGTCTCCAATGTTTGTGGAGCGTGCGGTGAATTTTGCAACCTTCTTCCCATCATGTCCCATACATGTTCGATGGGAGAAAAGTCTGGAGTTCGAGGAAGCCACTGAAGCAGATTTAATGAGGACGCATCTAAAAAGTCTAAACTAACACGTGCGACTTGGGGTCGTGCATTAACCTGCTGAAAAAGCGGATCTTGCAATGTTTCCAAAAAGGAAAGCAGATGTGCTTGTAGAACTTCGTGGATATAGCGCTGGGCAGTCATGCTACCTTGAATGAACACTAATCGTGACCTGCTGCTGTAAGCAATGGCACATATAACCCACAGTGCGATGAATATGTCGTTCGATCGATGGAATATTTGACCACGTCTCGTCCTTACTCTTGCACGGCGAACATGTGTGCCCAAACAGAATCTGGACTCAAAGCTGAACACGACTGAGTTCCATTCCATATTCCATTCAAGTCTCTCCATAACAATCGTTGTCGACGGTCCTGTGAAATCAGAGGGACTACAAGATGAGGACGGTATAAAAACAGTCCAAAAGACCTTATTCGGCGATAAACTGTCCTCATTGTTATCGCCCTTCCGAAAACATCAAACCACTAGTTCGCAACGCCTTTGTTGAGAAAAGTACCTCTAACTCGTCGAATTCGGCCTTCTTGCAACCACGCTCGACACATCTCACTACAGTAGCTCTGTTTCGATTCATCCGATTAGCGATTTCTCTAAAGAAAAAAAAATCCGGCTTCAGGTGACCCGATTATCCGACCACTCTCAAACTCGGAAAGTTGAGTGAAATTAGCGCGTCTGCGAACTCTAGGCATGATAATGCAATGAAACAAATGGAACCAACGCAGAAAAATCACTGAATATTACGTAAACATGTTTATATTGCTCGTATCCTGATATGACGAAAAAAGTACGGATCGGAATGCCCTCAACATTTTATCAGCGTATACTTAGATGATAGCAAATATGTTTACAGTTCAATAAATAATCCTGAGTGCTGCATTTTATATGTCACTTAGCTTGAATTGAATTCTTGTCAACATTGTATTTAAAACTTCTATAAGCTCGATCTATCTGTCTAGCTACAAGGCGGCTTTTTCTGCAATGAAGCTTCCTTATTACTTTGCATAGTCGTTAACTCCAACACTTCCTTATTCCATTACATTTCTCAAGGGATGCAAGGGCCTACTGATGTCTACAGAAAACACATTCTCAATCAAGCATCAAATTGAAAATAATAATGACACTAACCTGTAAGTTACTCTTGCCTAACGAGACCATTTCCTTGTAAGCCTCCAACTGCTCAGTAAGCCTATGTTCATGCTGTTGTTGCTCTTGCAGTCTTTCGGTCAGTCTCCGATTTTGAGCGGTAAGCTCCTGCAATAAGGCCCCCTTTTCTCGTTCCCACTGTCTAAGCAGCGTTTCTTTACTAGCTAGCTTTGAGGTGAGTTCGGTTATGTCGTTTTGAAGTTCTAACACGCGGGCTTCCAGTTCCGATTCGGCTGACGCTAGACGGCGACGGAGCAGGTGACGATCTTGCTCTATCTCCTGCAATAGAAAGGATGACATAAGGACTGGTACAGTGAATAAATACCCTTGATCTAATATTTCTTGTTACGTCATCTATTGCTAGAGGAATGTGCCACAAATCACCGCTTTCCTAAGGCGGACCTCTGGTCTCACTGGCGTTGCATTCTGTGAAATTCCAATTGTCAATTGTAGCTTAGATATGGACGCAGGCGCATTACCCATCACGAGTTATTGTTTGTTCTCGATGTATGTTGATAGTGTAAAAGTGTTTGTGCAGCGCTGCAATATTCATTATTATTCCTATACGTATACATTTTCTTGAATGGTACACAATTTTAAAAACATAAATATAATGGAAATAAGTAATAAAATGAAATGAAGTCCTTCTAAACTGGTGAACAGTGCAACATGGAAAATTTTACCCAAATTCAAAACTCGATATTTTCGGAACGGAGAGAGTTGCGGTATTCGGGAGGTTCTTGACCAACTCCTTGAGAACACGTACTGGGTTCGACTGGTATATTTCTTTTATTTATCCACTTATACAGGGTGAGCAAAGGAAGTCAGGTTTTTTGGCAAAGTTTGGCTATGTCAGATCCTCGATTGTTGATCTTGGAAATTTTTCTATGCATCTTTTTTATCCTTGGACTATAATAAAAAAGTGATATCCCAAATGGGCACGATCCTGGCACGACCATCGTGCATGCCTAAACAAAATCGAGACTCGTCACTAAAGACAATACTGTTCCATTCCTGATATCAGAGTGACCGTTGTCTGCACCACTCAAGGCGATTACGTCGGTGTAAGGGTTAGAAGGCGACGTGGTGGAAGGAGGAATCCACAGTTTTTTGTTGAAAGACATGTTCATCACACTGTTGGAGTTATGGTTTGGATCCTATAGCTTATGGTTCCAGGTCACCTTTAATCTTCATCAGAGGTAACATGAACGCGCAGCGTTATATCCACGAAGTTCTAGAACCCCATCTTTTACCCTATCTTGACACCCTGGCAGATCCAACTTTCCAACAAGATAATGCCCGACCACATGTTGCAAGAGTCACAATAGACTTCTTTCAACATAATGATGTCACATTGTTACCATGGCCACCAAGATCTCCCGAGTTATCCCCAATTGAGCACGTGTGGGATATGATGGGTAGGAGATTGCTCAATTTGCAACGTCCTCCTCAGACTCTAGAAGCACTTCGAGAGGAGTTGGTGGTTGCCTGGAATGAGATACCACAGGAGGACATTGACCACCTGATCAGAAGCATGCCTAGGCGCGTTGGAGAATGCGTAGCACATCAGGGTGCATCCACACATTATTAAAGGTCAAAGGGCTTTAAAGCAGTGCAATCATTTTGAAATTTTTATCATTTACTTATTATGCTTCATTAAGTACTTATACAAAATTTTATTTAAATAAAACCATTTAAACTGGGTGTTCGGATTTATGTCACTTAGTATACTTTAATTGGAAATTTTAATTTTTATTGGCAGAGTTTTAGGTTGATTAATATTTTACGAACCTATTTTTATTTGTTTACCTTTTTTAATAAAGATAATGACTTTATTAATGATTATAGGAGGTTCTTTAATTGGATATGGATTGGCTAAATTTAAATTAAATTATTTTTTAAAAAGAGTAAAATATTTAATTATTAGATATTTTTTACTTTAGGGGTAGATTTTTATCCTTTATTTTTAGGAAAGGTATCTACAAAAATTTTTGATCAAGGTTTGCTTGAATATTATGGAGGAAAAAATATGAAAGTTATAATTAATTACTCTAATTTTATTCAAATTTTCTCTTATAATCATTTAACATTATATTTTATTTTAATAATTTTATGACTACTATTTTTATTAATATTTTATTTAAATAGCTTATAAGCATAGTATTGAAGATACTATGGAAATAAAAAATATTTTTAGATATTTATATTATCTTAATTTTACAATGGAAATGTAATGTTTTGTATAAACTATATAAATAGAAATACAAACGAAATTTCACCGCTTAAAGATTAAATTAGAAGCTTATCTTTGAATATCGTATTTCCTTGATTGGAGAAAATTCTCAATTTTATCATTAACAGTGACATACCTCTTTTTGGTTTCAATTAATTTATTTAATTAAAAATAAGAACATATAAATATCAATTTTTTTCATAATACGTATTCCATTATTGAAATTATTCGATTAATTTAGGACGCAGACTGTACCACTCGAGATGGAATGGCACGTAAGTGTGAGCAATCCCAGCAAGTTCTCAGATCTCTTCCTACACTTGACGAGCTGTACATTATTGCCTCTGTCAAAGTCTCCAGACCTAAACATAATTGAGCATGTGTGGTCTCGGCTAATTTTTTTAGTCCGTTCAAGTTAAAATGCTCCTGAAATAATGGAAGAGCTGTCTGAGGTCATTTAGGAAGAGTGGGAAAACTTATCCCGAGAATTTATTAATAACGTTCTGGGAAGTATGCTACGAAGATACCAGGCTGTGATCGATATGCAGGTATAAGGTACTAACGAGTTTCTATTTTGCAAAAAGGTCGTTTTTGTCATAAATAATTTAAATATACTAAGTGAAGCAAATGAAGCATAATAAGTAAATGATAAAAATTTCAAAATGATTGCACTGCTTTAAAGCCCTTTGACCTTTAATAATGTGTGGATGCACCCTGATGTGCTACGCATTCTCCAACGCGCCTAGGCATGCTTCTGATCAGGTGGTCAATGTCCTCCTGTGGTATCTCATTCCAGGCAACCACCAACTCCTCTCGAAGTGCTTCTAGAGTCTGAGGAGGACGTTGCAAATTGAGCAATCTCCTACCCATCATATCCCACACGTGCTCAATTGGGGATAAGTTGGGAGATCTTGGTGGCCATGGTAACAATGTAATATCATTATGTTGAAAGATGGGGGTCTAGAACTTCGTGGATATAACGCTGCGCGTTCATGTTACCTCTGATGAAGATTAAAGGTGACCTGGAACCATAAGCTATAGCACCCCAAACCATAACTCCAACAGTGTGATGAACATGTCTTTCAACAAAAAACTGTGGATTCCTCCTTTCACCACGTCGCCTTCTAACCCTGGCACGACCATCGTGCATGCCTAAACAAAATCGAGACTCGTCACTAAAGACAATACTGTTCCATTCCTGATCCCAGAGTGACCGTTGTCTGCACCACTCAAGGCGATTACGTCGGTGTTCTCGAGTTAAAGGGAGGACCCAGTGTGGCCGGTATGAAAACAAGCCAAAACTTCTCATTCGTCGGTAAACACTTCGCATGCCAATCGGTCTTCCGTGTTCTGCAAACCATTCATTTGCAATGGACCTGGTAGTGGAGAAACGGTCCCTTAAGGCCAATAATCTTAGGCGGCGATCTTCACGGTCTGTTGTTCTACGGCGGCGTCCAGTGCCCCTTGCTCTTTGCGTACGGCCTTCTCGAAGCCATGCCTGACAACACCTAACCACAGTGTCTACACTTCTTTGCACTCTAACTGCAATTGCCCGAAAAGAAAGTCCAGCTTCCCGAAGTCCCACTATATGGCCCCTATCAAACTCACTAAGTTGACGAAATCGTACAGGTCTCCGTACTCTAGGCATCGTAACTATCGTAAAGCATGTCAAGAACCAAAATCCGCCAACGTTGATTCTTTACTGCGGCTGAAATATTCATTTTTAGAGCGTCAGTGAATTAAAAAAAAGCAGTATAAAAACCGGAATGTCCAACTGATCAGGCTGAAAATTTTTTCACTTGTTATTTACAGCAAGATAAATACATTCACCAACTTTTATTAAAATAAAACCATTTAAACTGGGTGTTCGGATTTATATGTCACTTAGTATAGATTAATGCGCGGGAAGTATCAATTCAATCTTGACTTTTTTGTTAAGTCATCCTATTTCACTGGACATGAAATTCATGTTAAATAAATATACTCGTAGCAAGAATGCATGAAGAAAATGCATTTAGTAACTATTCTTCTTTTAGAGAGCTATGTATAAATGTACACAGTATATTAATTTTATCATTTTGACAACCGCACAGCTCTTGTGTAGTAATAAAACATGTTAATCATATTTATTATAAAAATAATTGCTTTATGCAGCATAACCTGATTCGTAAATACATATACTTTAGCTTTCATGAAACGCGTAAAAACCTGGCGGTATATCAGATGCATTGTGTAATTTTTTGTGGTGTTCTATTGTTAAGTAACCGAGCTTCTAACTGTTCTAACAACACGATATGAAAATGTAATAAAGGAGCATGTAGTAATTAAAATAATACGAATAACTGTTTTACTACATGCTTCATATCTGTTATGCTCCATATAGCGGACAAAAGTCGTAAAGTCTTATGTTATGCTCATTATTAAGTTCAAGCGATTCGAATACCAGTTTTCTTCCGAAATGCGCTCTATTTTGAGGTTAAGTTACAAATATCTATTTGCATCAAATTGTTCATGCTTTTGATTTTTATCATCTGTTTTATTAGCCTGAAATTTCTCACAATTCAAAAAGAAAACGTAATTAGGAGAGCGATGTCACGGAAAAGTAGAAATCTAGAATCACCCCAGCCTTTCTGAAGAAGAGAAAAGACTATAAAAATAAAGGAGGCTACAATTGTAGGAACCACTGACAATACGGCTCTAATCCATGTTTTATGAGTTTAATAAAGAAACAACAAAAAAACATCATCAGAAGAATCTTGGACTGCCTAGACGTACTTCAAATGTGCGAAGTAGTTTTATGGTATACAGTGGGTCGAAAAATTATTGGCAGACCAATTTTTTTCATTAAATCTCAATAACGAAAAGATGATTTTTTGTTACCACCTTTATTTGAAAACTAACATCCAAATAGTAATTTTTGATGGCAATAGAACGAGCAAATTACAAATAATATAAGAATAATAATAAAAAAAGTATTGGCACCATAGAAAACAAAACGAGTAAATGAACTATACAACATTTGTTTACAGCTAGTACTTTCATACCATTTGCATCAATTATGGTCTAAAGCCAATTGTGGCATATAATTTTCGAGTTATTTCTGGTCTAATTTGGTCCCATTTCTGCACAAGAACAACTTCTGCCTTCTCTCAGAAATTTTATTCTGTCGGTCCTTCGGGTC